ATCTATAATCGTCTTCCAATTAGACGCACAATTCGCGAGGCGTGCTTCGAAGGCTGCTAATCGAGTACAAAGGTCGGTCTATCTAGGATTCCTCGTCTCCGATGACGCAACGCGAGTCTCTCACCTGCTTGGATCCGGATTAGCAGGCGAACTTACGTAAAGCGTGGACGCGAATCGTTCGTGCAGCCTAACACGGTAATGGCATCGCCTATGTACGACAGAATTATTGGCCAACTACCAGCGAAAGAGCTACGTCTGTTACAGCGAAATCCTTTTCAGTTTCCTCTTATAATACACGATAAATCTAACCACATAATGTAGATGTACGTCAACCTGACAACAGTACATAAATAAAGTTTTCTAGACGCTATTTCAACTTCTGAGCATCTGCTAGAATTAGAATATGACTTCACAATTGAGAACTTGGTATTTGAATGAAGCTTCGAGCGTAATCCTGGGTTTACTTGTCCTATCTAATTTTTTCGAAGTCAAACTCATCTCAAATAACTCCTTATATTCTACTGAATCGTCTGAGTCATATAACACGTCATCCCTGTCATTAACATCCTCGTCTCTGTCTTCCATCCTCTCTAGCCTCGATAAACCATATTTTTGGCAACGAATGCGAACGTAAAAACGTCGAGCGGTGCCAATTGATGCGATCGTCCAACGCGCGAGCAAAGTACCGCGCCAAACGATCCATAATCAAGAACGCGCGATATTTCATGGCTGGGAATTCCGTAGATTCGACGCGTAGATTGCGGGTGAATAGATAACAGCGAAGAAAAGTCACGCAAAGTCGAGGGAGAAGTACCAACAGCGTCGAACAGAGAGAGCCCTCCTTCGCCGTACGAACTATTCAGCCCTTAACGAATACCGTGCCTTGTATTCGATGCCCGGGTGTATCGGTACTGGGATCTGACGAGACTGAAATTGAATCACGAAAAGCGCGGAAAGCGAAACTCCGACAAATTTCAACGATACTCGCTTTGCATAAATGATCGAAAACTGAAACGGAAGGAGTTTCGAAAGAGATGGAACAGACTCGCGCTCCGAACGTTGTTGCATTTCGTATTATCTCGTTCATTTATATCTGGTGGAACGATCGTTCTGTTTATACAATTTTTAGGTCCATACGTCGCGAGGAATCGTTGTCGGAACAATGGGTCGGACGATTCGTAAGGGCGGTTCCCCGGATTCGTGGGCGGTGGGAAAAAGTCGTGGAAACGACGTAAGAAAAAAAGCGGGGATAGCGCGATACAATAAATCAGGCTAGATCTCGAGAGCGGCGGTGCAATAAATTCGAGTTCGTTTATCAGGGAGTAACTTCTATTCGATTTCTCGTCGGGAAGCCCTTTCGGAAACTTTGTCAGCCTGATGGGGCCAACTTGACTGCAATTTTAGTCCGTGAAACCGGAAGTTTTCGCCGGGATCTCGCTTAAACGGGACGCAGGGAACCGGCAAGTCCTCGCGAACGCCGCTGCCAGACCGAGTCCCGATGAAAATCCTAGGCTAATGTATTCCAAAGCCCTCCCCCTTCCTCTTTCTCTCGCGATCGTTCGTCTCCCTCTGTCCTCGTGTCCTCTATAGTCGATCCGACGCGGGGTCAACCAGCGATCTCTCCCCGTGACTCTCGTCAACCTCTGTCTCCCTTCTTCCGCCACTTCTCGCGACCACCCACACACACAGACACACACACGTACACACTCTCGCAAAGTACGGAGTATCGCGTCGCCCACGCGAACCTGGCAACCGGCCGAAACCGGGAAGAAGGAAGGGAACGCGCGTACGAGACGTGCCGCGAGGAAGAATCGTGCACCGGCCACCGAAAGCGTCTGAATAAAAGAAAAGCTGTCGTGTACGGACGATGTGTCCCTCGACGAGCAACTGGGAACAAGAACGACGAGAAACGCCGGCAGATTCCGATCGATTCTTCGACGTACCGGCTAAACCGGCTCCGACCGCTCTTTCTCCATTAGCGCAGGACTTTTGACTTTTACTTCGAATGCCGTTTATTCGATAGCCAACTCCGATTTTCGACTGATTTTTACACGCATCTAACACTACCAACAGGTTACAGAAATGAGCACAAGAGAAAGCGAAACAGAAATCGGGATTTTCTCACTTTATAAGGTTAAGAAATAACTTTTCGAATATTTTTGGAATCTCTACATATTCTCCGCTAAAATACGCGTCGTTCGCCTGTTGAAATATTAAAATCCTTCGATCCGTTCAAAAGTTACGATGTTTTAAAGATACGCATGACATTTCAGTAGAATAAGTTCTGGTCAGACATCATATTTTCGGTAAGGAATTTTTTTCTCGAAAGTGGGCAAGAATTCGGTGGTATGTATATTCACCAAAAATGATTGTAATAGACCCCTGCAATCGAAAATAATTTTTCCAGAATGATTTGAAGTTTTTTAATTTCATCTAAAAATTTCAGAACCTACACGAATTTTTTTCTCGAAAGTGCGTAAGAATTCGGGGGTATGTCTATTCACCAAAAATGTTTGTAATTGACCCCTGCAACTAAATATAATTTTTTTAGTATGATTTGAAGTTTTTTAATTTCGCCGAAAAATTTTTCCACCTACCCCTTGCAGATTTTTCTTTAACATTTGTTTTCGATTAACGAACCCTTCCATTCCTGTACATACACTCCTCGACCGACCATACAGTGTCCCAGGGGCTAAACCCAGAGCCTTCTAAGATTGCCTCACTGATACCTCCTAGTAGGAGGCCCAGAACGAAACGCTCTCGTCTCCTTTCCTTTTCTTTAATTCCCGCTATCTCGGATACCATTCCTGCGTAGAGCGAACCGGCCCACACAGAGGGTGAAAACACAGCCAAAAGTCGCTGCACCCCAGGGCGGGGGTGGATAGAAATTTTGGAGGAGAAACCGCGCGCGATTATACGAGGCGCAACGAGCTGTCGAGGTCGGTGGTTCACGGGCGGAGGGTTTCTCATCGGTCTGGGAATGGATTTCGGTAAACGGCCTGGACCGAAACGGCTCAATAACGACCGTTCTCTGGCGAATTTTTGGTACGCGTGCTTTTCAGACACGGAGAAAATAACGGTACAGGTGCGTTCGCGTGCATACAATCCGCGCGGCAGAGCTGCCAGCCTGAAAGCCCCGGAGCGGTGCAACGCCGATGCATACACACACGCGTACACGGACGCACACAGCGGGACATAGGCACGTAGGATCCCGCATCGGCCGTAGGCACACGCCGCATGCAAAGTGCAGGCCGACGCGAACGTGTGCGCGCGGTGGTTGGAGCCGCGCTTCACTGGGCTGGCTTGTGTCTCGCTCGTCGGAGATTCGTACGAGAAACAAACGATAGCCAGTCACAAAGGAAGTAAAATAACAGCGTGGAAAGAAAGGGCGGCCGGGGGGAGAGAAAAAAAAAAAAAAAGAGAAAAAAAAAATGGAGAACCAGAGAGAGACAGAAAGAAGCGCCATTTAACGCTTCAGGCGGTACGTACACGTTTTCTCGCCGACCTTTCACCTCCAGTGGTTCTTTCAGTCTCGCACTTTTTGATAATACTACGTCTGGAGGCGGCGTACGATGGCGCGGGAATTCGCGCGGAAACTGCAAAGTCGCCGGAGTTCCGTTCCCCAGACCGAACGAGGGTAACGGGAGAAAAGGAATCGTCGAGCTTTTTCTCTCATCGACGCCTAAGCGCGACAACCCCAAACGCCCGTACCCCCAACGGCGCATTAATCCGGCTAAAAGCTCGTCCCCCCTAGTCGGACACAACGGCCGTCCGTTTCTCTCCCTGTTTTCCTCTTTTGTCGACCCCCCACGCTGTCGTTTCTTCGTTTTTTTCTCGTTCCGTTCTCCAAGATAGCGAAACACGCTCCAAGTAACGCGACAACCGTAGCCGCGCAAACGACGAGGAACCAAGGCTCAAAGAGACACGGAATTCGATATTAAAACGACCGACGGGGGCTGCCAGGAATCCCTGCGTCGGAAACTTAATGCGCCGTGTACTCGGGGCTAATTCGAGCGAAAACCTCGTTAATGTCTTCTACCCGCCCCCCACCCCCTCGCCCCCCCCTGTCTACAGTCGGAGGTTCCCCCGTAGCTACTTCTACTTCCGAACGAAACGTTTCCAACGACCGCGCGACTGAACGAATCTACCGTTCCCGTTTGCAGCAATCGGACTACACGAACTTAGCCGCGCAACCTAATTTTCGGAACGTTCCGACTATCAATTAACCCGAAGACTGGTAGAATTACCGAGTTTGTTAATGCGACGACAAAGATCTACAAACGACTCGATCGGTTTCCTCGAGCTTTTCAAATCGTTGAAAAGGCGAGTCTCTAACAGGCTATTAATTATACTCGAAACCGAGTACCATTGGATAATGGTCTAGTTTCTTAACACTTTACCTACCGCTCGAGATTAACACTTAAGTGGATTGTTGGGGCAGCTGCGGCCCTCTGCGAGTTTAAACTAATAATTACTTAACCCCTTGTTCTACGATTTAAAGTCCAACAGCGTGAGCCCAAAATTTAAACAAAACTGCCCAGCCTTCCAGCCATTCCACAGTGGCACGTGGTGTTTACATTCGGTTCTACCTGACCACGAGTCCCACACGTGGTTGCAGGGAAAAGGGTTAATATATTTCAAAATTTATGTAATCCTCCGTTAATTCATTATTTGTGAAATACTTTAAAGGAAAGTTTGGTAGATATCAACGTTAAGACTCAGAGTCCACTTAAGGGTTAAAGTAACAGTTCATCTATATATAATAATATATGTATATAGATATAATCTATATAGTATTATATATAATACTATATATAATTTCATCGTGATTTATAATTGCTATCAAAATGAAAACCGATAAAGTGTTAAGATCCTCATAGCCCCTGTCGCCATGAGTCTAAGCACGATCAGTAAGTATCATTGTTCTGGGAGAATAGCAGCTGATCGTTAGCCGAAAAGGTCATCGATAAAAAGAGAAAATGGCTGTGTAACGTGCTCACCTTCGAGCTCGACGACCTTGCCAGCCCTCTTGAGCGCCTTCACCGCTTCGTCGTGGGTCGCCTCGCGTAGATCCTCCCCGTTCACGGCCAGGATCGCGTCGCCCACGTAAAGCTGCTCGGTGGCGTCCGCCGCCATCCCCTTGAAGATCTTCGAGATCAGGATCGGCATTTTGTTCTCCTTGCCGCCCTTGATCGAGATGCCCAGACCGTTGTTGTCGCTTTTCACCACGCGCACGATCCGCTTCTGATTGGCCACGGAGTCGGGCACGTCCGGGTCGTTCAGACTGTCCACGTTATTGTTGTTGATATTGCCGTTGTTGAGGGCGTTGTTACCCGTCTCGCAGCTCTCGTCCAGAGAGATGCTCAGGTAATCGTCCTCCAGCGAGACGAACACGCGGTACCACTGGCTGCGTACCTGCGTCTCGAGGACCCCGGCGCGTCCCGACGCCGAGGACGACGCAGCCGTGGTCGACGTCGACGAGGAAGAGGACGACGTAGCCGCCGACACCACCGATCCGATCCCCATCACGCCCATCGCCGATGTCGGTTGTCCGCTTCCGCACAACTCGACCATTTCGATTTCCTCGCAAGCGCCACGCTGTGGGACACGCAAAACCACGACGATTAAAACACAAGACAATAGTTGTTTCGTTCAGGTTGTCGCCGTTATTATTGTAAAAATGTTCGATTCGGAGCATAGCATATGTATATCGGTATTCGTTGTCTCCTGCGCGCGTGTCCGAGCGAAAAAAAATCGAGGCGTCGCGACACGGATCGGTCGGCAGCTCTGTGCCGGACGACGCGGATAAATCAATTGTACTACGGTGAAATTCGTAATTTGAAAATAATTGATACTGCCCCGGCGGTGACGCGACCCGACTCTCTGCCTCTCTTTGTCACCATCCCGCCTATTATTTCCATCAATCCATTTTCACCGGGCAACAATGGCGTTACCCGTTAGTCACGGGAAAATGTCCTACAAAACAGCGGACAACTGGTATAATTGCGTGAAAATTGGCAACGGCCCCGCCGCTTGCGGCAGCTGCTGTTCACTTTTAATTAATTAAAAATCTCGCCATCGTTCCGTCATCGAGAACACGGGGATACCTCCGTCTCGTTCGACCGCCTCTAATTATTCTCCTTCCAACCCGTACGCGACTATCTTTTTCCCCTACGACGCGATCCACGTTGCGTTCTACGCGTGGCTGTAAAAGCGAAAGAATTCCTCTCGATTTTACCTCGTTGCGTATTCTATCTCTGGATAATCTCTAAAAATTGCGAAACTGACAAGCTCTGAGACGATCTAAATATGGAAATCGGATTGCAAGGGTTGCAAACGACTCGCGAACTCTTGGAACGGTTCAAAGCTAATCGATCAACGGTTTCTCGAAAAACCCACGAAAAAGATGCGGGAAGAATAATGATTCTCGCGTGAACTTTCTGAACGTGCAATTGACAACCGACTCTTCATCCGTCTTTCGTTGCTTCCCAAGAAAAATAAAGGAAGTTTTTTCGACGAGTTATCACGGATGATCGTGCAAGGAAAATGGCTAAAAAATCTGACTTTTGCATACACCTGACGCTATCGATGTTCGGCTCCTCGGTTCTACTTTTACCAAAGACTTCTTTACGGTTTATGGACGCACTTTGAGAAAGGTTTTTAAAAAAAAAAGAATTCCTCCCCCTCGGTATATTTTCGTATCCGCGTTATCGTGCGCGCACGAATCCCTCGGGAACTGAAGGGAGGTCGCGTCGCGCCATATTTAACCGGCGTATCGCGCTATACAGAGTTTTTCGTCAGCTCCGTGCGGCATAAATAATTTCGCGCAGGGGTCCGCCGTAACCGCGAAAATTGGATAATTTATCAGCGGTTCGCAGCGAGCTCGCGACATCGACGAAAAAAATCGAAATCGCCTCGATACGGTAACCATTTCGAGGGATGCTCTTTTTTAAAACATACTCCTTACGCTTCGAGGATATCAACGCCGAACCGATTTTCTCGTAAAAAATTCTCGAAGAATTTATTCGCGAGCCTGAACCCCTAGAAATACGCGCGAATATTAGGCTCGCGGCGTTAATTAGTATGTTGAACAATTCCGCTGCATAATTAATGTGAAATTATTGATTTCATGAGACGCGCGTTACGCAACATTATCTGGTACGATTACGCCTGAAATATAGCGTTGCAAATGAATCCCGTTACATCAGTATCGATATTCGGGAGGGGCGAAGAGAGAAAATTTGAATCCCGAGAGTCTAGAAATCGAAGAAATTACGGTTTCTGCGAGGTTTGCGGGAAAGCGGTGCCGAAAAATACCGATATTTTCGGTGCAAGTCCCAGGGTGGAACGCACGCGACGAAGAACGTGCATAAAAATCGATTCGGAAGCAATGGCGATATTCTCCGAGCGATTACCATCGACGGAGAATGAAAAGTTGCAAGCGCCGGGCAATTTTTCGCGCTCGTCAAAGGGTTAATTTAATTACACCGACAGGCAGCTATCTCCACGGTCGCGTCGCGTCGCATGCACGACGGTGTCAATTTTTTCCTGCCCCCGTTTCGCCAAACACGCGACGAACCGACGTAGGTGGGCACGCACGCGCGTATATATCGCGGGCGAAAAAACATTGGCTGCACTTTCCGCATCGTCGTCTCGTCGATCCACGTACGTGTCACGTAGCTAACCCGGCGTACCTACATCCCCGATACGAGTTTCGGGAATAATGGCGGACGCGGGTCCTGCCCGTCGATTCATTTTTACCCAATTTCACGCACCGATTCACCGACCAACCCCGCCACACCGTACTCCCCGCGCTCCCGAAAATCGTATCTGTCTGCGTCGGGGGCTTTCTCTGTTTCCTTCGGGCACGCGTAACGGTTTCACGTCGAAAACCGCGCGCGTTCGCTCTTAATTTTCGTCGCGCGTTCTCGCGCGCTGTTTTTGGCATTGCGGTTTATTTCCGCGGTGGACCCACGGCGTACGTGTAATGCGTTTTCCAATTGCGCGCCAGCGGATCCCGCTAACCCTCTCCACCCTCCACGCGTCCCGCCCTCGCAATCACCCACAATGTCGCGCCCGCATCCCTCTATGGCCCCATCGTTTCCCGATAGAAATTTACTCCGCGCTTACGGGCCAGCGTGTTCACGCGTACACGCACCGTACCGCACCGCATCCTGCTCGCCTTTGTGCCGCTCGAAATGAACGCCCGCGTCCGCATTTTAATGCACTTTGCGTAAATTCATTTCGCTCGAAATAACGTTCGCTTCGACTCGCTTGCCTATGACTAAACCCCCGTCCTCTAATAATGCTCTTTCGTTCCCTGCCCCCCCGGGAGCTATTGTCGTTTTTGTCAGCGCTCTGTTGTTATCCGTCGATTACACGATATACCCGATAATACGTCAACTGTCCTACGATTATCAATAATGCCGCGCGCTAGCTTCTAGCTACGTTCACTCCACGCGATAGGATCTCCTGCTCCTTTCCCGTAATTTCATTTCGCAGATCGTTTCTTACACCGTGGAAAACTCGATACCGATACTTTAGAGAGGCTTAACTTCGATGTTAGTTACACTTTTCGTATTGTATTCTTCATTATTCTGTGACAGCTTCTGTTTTATGTGACGTACGATGTTGGATCGACGAGCGTATACAGGGTGTTCGGCCACCCCTGAGAAAAATTTTAATGGCGGCTTCTAGAGGCCAAAATAAGACGAAAATCAAGAATACCAATTTGTTAATGGAGGCTTCGTTAAAAAGTTATTAACAATTAAATTCAAAAATTTCAAGTCGTTCTGGAAAAATTATTTTCGGTTGCGGCGGTCAATTAGAATCACTTTTGGTCATTATACATACCCTCGAAATCCTACGCACTTTCTAGCAAAAAATCCGAGAAGGTGTGAAATTTTTCGACGGAAAAAAAGATTTCAAATCGTTTTGGAAAAATTATTTTCGGTTGCGGCGGTCAATTAGAATCACTTTTGGTCATTATACATACCCTCGAAATCCTACGCACTTTCTAGCAAAAAATCCGAGAAGGTGTGAAATTTTTCGACGGAAAAAAAGATTTCAAATCGTTTTGGAAAAATTATTTTCGGTTGCGGCGGTCAATTAGAATCACTTTTGGTCATTATACATACCTTCGAAATCCTACGCACTTTCTAGAAAAAAATCCGAGAAGGTGTGAAATTTTTCGACGGAAAAAAAGATTTCAAATCGTTTTGGAAAAATTATTTTCGGTTGCGGGAGTCAATTACAATCATTTTTGGTGAATAGACATACCTCCGAAATCCTATCCACTTTCTAGAAAAAAATTCGAGAAGGTGTGAAATTTTTCGACGAAAACAAAAATTTCAAAACGTTCTGGAAAAATTATTTTCGGTTGCCGGGGTCAATTACAATCATTTTTGGTGAATAGACATACCCCCGAAATCTTGCGCATTTTCGAGAAAAAAATTCAGTACGTTCGGAACTTTAAACGTTAATAACTTTTTAACGAAGCCTCCGTCAACAAATTGGTATTCTTGATTTTCGTCTTGTTTTGGCCTCTAGAATCCTGTATTAAAATTTTTTCCAGGGGTGACAAACACCCTGTATACAAAGAGTAGGTGATCGAGTAGTTGTGAGAGAGTTAAGAACATGGCCCTCTAGCAGCGAGTGAGCCAAGTGTTTCTTTATTCAAAACACCAGTTTTCTTATAGAATCTACCACGCAAACGGCAAGATCGTGAACATTGAAAAGCAAATCTAGGCAAAACTTAATCTACAGCGTAAATTGTATGTGTGAACGAAGGCTTATGGGACCAGATAAGAGTTTGGGAGAGTGAAAGTGAAATAAAGAACCAAGAGTGAATTACATTATTTTATCGATAATTACAACAAAGAACATCTGTGTTTCTTAATTCCCGTTCCGTGGTCGCGAAATTTCCTTCGATCGTCGTACCTCCCACACCTTCCCCGTCTGTCGATCCGCGTTACGTATCGACAACACGATACTTGTTGATTCGGTACGGTATCTGGGGTTACAGCGATCCGAGAAACACAATCTTGCAATCGCGAACGTTCACCGGAGGACGTTGTAACCAAATACGCCTGCGAGGCGATAGCCTGTGGAGGAGGTACGTATTGACCTCGGCGAACATTATAAGGAGCGATGTACAATACACAATACCCCGGCGTTCTCCGATGCCGTGCGTCATCACGCGATACCGTTCTTACGCGGGCTTCATGCTAACGAAATGGATGACACCGGAACACGCCAAAACACGCTCCCGATAATTTTCATCGTTTCGTGAGCGTATCCATAAACAACGCGTGCTCGAACCTACCTAACCAGCGGCTTTGAATACGTAACGCCCCGCACTGCTGCGATTTATTAATAATTCTGCAGGGAAAAAATGCAAAAGTACCTCAAGATTTACTCCGCGATCGAAAATTCGTCCTCGCAACGCGGTGAAACTCCCCTATACGAACGCAAATAGACGAAAAGATGAAACGTTCGACTGGTCGAGGACCCTTCCACCGAACTATGCCAAAGGCCATAAATTATTCAAGTTCGGCAATTGGCTATGCAAATGTTATGCCTTATGTTCGGTGTTTCGAATGGATTCAGAGTATTGTTCCTGGGGAGGCCTCTGTTTGCATTAGACTTATCTAAGCGTATGCTTAGATCATTCTTACGGCTGGCTGAGGAGTTATCGACAGAAATATTGTTTTCTTCCACCGATTTTCCAGCGTGGAAACGAGTATTTTGCGAGCTTGTTAAATTCTCTCTAAGATCGCGATAAACGCATTCTCGATCGCGATATCGGAGCCCTGAAACGTTACCGAAACTAGTTTCGCCTCCGGGATACCTTTTTCGCGCATACTCTCGCAACGTCGATCGTCGCGGACTCGAAATATGCTCGGAGTGGTCCGCGCGGGGAAAGAATAGGATCGCCGTGGGCGCACAACAGGTCTCGGTTTTGCGAAACTCGGGGCGTAAGGGGCACCGATAATCGGATAATATCGTTAGCATATCACCGTGGGTGCTCGCGTTTAATAAAAGCGTCGGTATCGCAATCGCGGAACACGTAGCTGCGCGGGACGGTTATAATTAAAGTGTTTGTCTGTGGGAATTAGTCTCGCGCGGATTCTACCGCCTGCCCACGTGTGTCCTTTGTGTGTAACGCGCGTGCAGAGCAGCTGGAGCGACCAGGATGGACTAAAGGGGGCTATCGTAGCAGAGAGAGAGAGAGAAAGGGAGAGAGAAGGTGGCTGTAGATCGGGTCCCTCGGACGCTTGTATACGGCACTGTCGTGCCCTCGCAAAAACCAATAACCTCGGCAAACGTCGGGCACCGGTTGTTTATGGCCTAAAAGAGAGAACAAGAGGCGAAAAGGAAGAGAAGGACAGCGCCCGAAGGAAGAGTTGGAGGACGAAGAAGGTACGCCGGAGTGGGGGACGGGAAAAAGAAGACAGGCGCCGCTCTAGGGAAAAGGAAACACGTCGCTTCGAGTTCGAGACCGTTTCGTATACCTGCAACGGACTCACCGATGCCTTTAGGAACCCTTCGAACAATTAGGTCGTAACGCCGCCATCATCCGTGGCTACTCGCTTAACCCCCTTTAAAATATCCGCAATAGTGGTTCGCATTATATTCCCAAACGTGACAAAAACCAGTCGTGTTCGTAGTAAAATTAATTGCATTACGAATCTTACGGATGGCGCTCCAAAATTTGTTTGGAACAAACTGAAATGTTTCTCTTATACAGGGTGTTCGACCACATCCGGGGAAAAATTTTAATGCGAGATTCTGGAGGCCAAAATAAGACGAAAATCAAGGATATCAATTTCTTGACTGAGGCTTCGTTAAAAGGTTATTAAAAAATTTCAAATCATTCTGGAAAAAATTATTATTAGCTAGGGGGGTCAATTACAATCATTTTTGGTGAATAGACATACTCCTGAAATTCTATCCATTTTCGAGAAAAAAATTCGAGTAGACACTGAAATTTTTAGACGAAATTGAAAAATTTCAAATCATACTAAAAAAATTATATTTAGTTGCAGGGGTCAATTACAAACATTTTTGGTGAATAGACATACCCCTGAAATCCTATCCATTTTCGAGAAAAAAATTCGAGTAGACACTGAAATTTTTAGACGAAATTGAAAAATTTCAAATCATACTAAAAAAATTATATTTAGTTGCAGGGATCAATTACAAACATTTTTGGTGAATAGACATACCCCTAAAATCTTACCTATTTTTGAGAAAAAAATTCAAGTAGGTAATATAATTTTTAGACGAAATTAAACTTTCAAATCGTACTAAAAAAATTATATTTAGTTGCAGGGGTCAATTACAATCATTTTTGGTGAATAGACATACCCCCGAATTCCTACGCATTTTCGAGAAAAAAAATTCTTTACCGAAAATCTAATATGAGGCCAGAAATGCTTCCTTGAAACATGCGAATCTTTAATATGTCATAATTCTCGAACAGATTGGACGATTTTAATGTTTCAAGAGGCAAACAACGCGTACTTAGGTGAAGAATATGTTGAAAATCCCAGAAAATTCGAAAAGTTGATCCTTATCCCCGTAAAGTTACATAAACCCCATAAAACTGGTTCAGTCTTCAAACGACCATAACTCCTACAATAGTGAATATATTTAAATGAAACTTTTTTCTAAAGTAGAGCTCATGGATACATACAAACAAATATTAGAAAACTTTTCCGTACGGCGTTAACCAAAATTACTAAAAGTGAAAAACGAATTTTTAAGGAAAATCGACAAAGGAGTGTCTAAATTTTTCGATTAAAAAAAAAATTTCAAATCGTTCTGAAAAAATTATTTTCAGTTGTAGGGGTCAATTACAATCATTTTTGGTGAATAGACATACCCCCGAAATCCTATCCATTTCTGAGAAAAAAATTCGAAAAGGTGTGAAATTTTTCGACGGAAAAAAAAATTTCAAATCGTTCTGGAAAAATTATTTTCAGTTGCGGGGGTCAATTACAATCATTTTTGGTGAATAGACATACCCCCGAAATCCTGCTCATTTTCGAGAAAAAAAATCCAGTACTGGCGGAACTTTAAAAATTAATAACTTTTTAACGAAGCCTCGATCAACAAATTAGTATTCTTGATTTTCGTCTTATTTTGACCTCTAGAATCTCCCAGTATAACTTGTGTGGATACGATTGGATACGAGAGGTTACACGCCAAGAGGGCGACTTAAAATACGCTCGATCGTTCTTTGCAGAGCAGTTTACCAGCACGAATGGTCGCACGATTGTCCTTTGGTTTTCATGGAAATCGTAAACGCGACCCTAGTTAGGCGATACGTCAAAAATGGACGTGTCAACGCTACGGGGGGAACGAGTTCGTTCCAGTAACGCGATTTCCTCGGTCAAGATGTCAGATGGACGGGATAAGACGACAAAGTTGGAATTCCGTACGCAATTCTGCCATGTTTCTAGTGGATCAGCCGTTCGAGAAACCACCACGGGGCAATAGTTGAAATTGAAGTAGCAAGAATCCGGGGAATGCGACGGAACGGTGAACCCCGAGGAGAGAGTTTAAAACAAGAGAAATTGAAAATCGTACGAGTTACACGCTTTGCGTTCGAAACTTTCCGGGGGCCCACGAATTCGCGACGCTCCGAACCTTTGTTTTTTTTTTTTTCGCTCGAGATCGCGGGATCGCTCTTTCGACGCGGTCGTTTCTAAACTTACGCTAAGCTTAATCGACGACAACGCGCGCGAACGCCTGCATAAAGTATACATAAGTTCGAAAAGAAATTGGTAAACGACGAGCGGGAAAAGAAATTCGTACGTGAACGCGTCCACATTGTTCGGGGGGTAAAAAGAGAGAGCTTGCTTGCAATGTATACTTTACACGGTTAGCGCGGGAAAAAAAGAAAAGAACTGTTTACCTTGTCGACGTACCTCGGAAAAAGACGAAAGAATCAAGGCACGAGACGAACCAAGCAAAACAAAACGGACAGAGTTTGAGGAGCGGGCGTGCTTCGGGATCCAACGTAAAATAAACGGGTGCGCTCGTCAGAGGCGTTTGCTTCTACGATGATTTACCGTTTTACGCGCGTGTATGGGCATATGACTTCCGGTAGGCAATAGGGGGCACGAACTGGCCTGGCCTGCTTTTCTTTCTACGGCTAAATCAGAAGACGGTTGTCGTTCCTTCGATGGATAACCAGCGTGTGTCCCGGTGTGTCTCGTCCACCGCCGCTCTTCGCTCTTCTCTCACACCACGCTACGCGTCATCGGCGGCCCGGTTAATACATTCGACGAGACGCGTCAGAGTCAATGACATAACCGCCCGTCGGTTCGCCTTTCAGCAGCCTCGACATGTTTTCCCGTCCTTCCCTCTGCGTCCTCGATATCTGCGCGCTCTCCGGCGTTTACGTTTCTATCGTGATCAGCCGCTCTCCTCTCCTACTAGCGCGCGCGTAGACTCACTTTCGCCGGTAAGGAATCGCGCGCCGTGGCGACGCGAATTCTTTCGCACTCGAATTACCGATCGCGCTGGCTCGCTCGTGCGCGCGCGCCGCACCGCAAAACGCGACCGACTTCAAACCGAAACGAGTTTCCCAAGTCCACGGAAGACACACGCCCCCCTCTCCAGCGTGAATCGTACCCGGCGGTTGATTAATTAGCCGACCCCGCTCGGCGCGTCGTTAACGCCAATAGTCCGGACTCGAGTAACGGACGATCGGAACGATCACGAGCGAACGCGTACGAGCATCGCGTCGCGGTTCCGTTCTTGCACACCGACCGCGACAGACAAACGAGACGACGACGCTCGACACTGCCGTTAAGACGTCGCAACGACATCGACGACTGCCGAAGACCTCGATCGGAACCGAGCGGTCACGATTTCTTCCAATAGTTTACTGGCGATCGTCGACAGGGTTGAATTCCCGGCGAACAGGCACGACGACGGATGCGGCGAGACGCACGCCGGAAACAAACGATTACACGTTCCCTCGCGTTTTACGTTTTGAAAATCGAGGTTGCTGGCGTACGCGATCAAGCGTCGAAGGATACGAGTAAAGGCGCACGTCACTTTCAAGAACCGGTCACATCGCCGACAAGACGGCCACCGCGAACACCAGGAAACCGAACAACCAACAACCGCGACGTCACGAGTCGTACTAACTTGACTAGCGGCTCGTCCGGCCCGATGGACCTATCGCGAACGATGGGAAGCGGCGCTGGATGCCAGACGCAAGGGGTGAGACTCGCGACGACCGACCGTGGCGCCATCCACGGTCGCCTATCCAAGCATCGAACGTTCTCGCTCGCCTTTATCGACGAACTGGTAATCTAAAATGTTGCACGCGGATACATGTAAACAACAATAATTTTTTATTTAACGGCTCGATGCCCCTTTCTATATATTTAAAATGAGAAGCAAAAGATTCTCGAATATCTCTGCTACTCGTCTATATGTCTCGAAGATAAATTAATCTTTCACGAGAATAAGAAAGAGAAACGGAAATCGTACAGCGATATCAGCTTTCGCTTCGCATCTAATGAAACGAACGCTGATGCTCTATCATTTATTCCATCTTCCGTGTACGCTTTAATTCGCAGAAACGAAAGGTTTTTATCCGTTCGGCATATTGCGGCGCAATCACATTATGCGTCTCGTTTCGCGTGGAACGTCGAGAAAGCAAAGACCGTGAAAAGGGAGAGACTTATAAAGATACAAAACGGGATTACCTTATCAGTCTTACTCTCCGAAACAATCAAGACGTCCGCTCTGAATTTCATCCCCGTGGCCCGTTCTTCCTTCGGAAGTTCCCGACTTCTTTCGCTCCCCGAACATTATCGCGGCCGGAATAACTGGCGGGAAGCAGAGAGGACCGAGTATACATCATCCCTCTCGGCCGACTCCGCCCGGCCGTATCTCGATTATGGTATTGCTGTCCCCCGGAAGCATCGGTAAACGAAAGATATACGACGGCTCCGCGCTAGACGGCACGGGGAAAAAGTTTTATCTGCCGTTTCAGAAAATATCAATAACTGATCCCCCCGAACAGTTTCTATTCGAACATGGGAATATACGGACAGAGAAGACTCGAGTCCGCTTTCGTTTCCCCCTCCCTCCCGTCGCGGGAATGCCATACGGAACGTGCCCGAGCGTATCCCCTTTTCAAATCGGAATGCACCGGTATCGCGTAGACGTTCAGGAACTACCCCATTCCGAAAGATGGCACGTGTCGTTGCCAGCGTGGATTTACTGGTTAGAATCCGTTTCGAGGCGAATCCGGAAGACCGAGCGCCGGTCCTCGTCTCGTAGTTACTCTTCGGTTACGCGATTAATCCGAGCGAAGCCGGCTAGAGAGATCGTCGTTACGAGTGAATTCGAGTACCCGGTGACACTTGTCAGACGAAATCGAGGTCGAGCTGTTAAATTATGAATCCGCGAATCGGAGCGTGAACTTTCGAGCACGCCGACGAATACTTTGCATCCCTCTCCAAACCCCCCCCCCCCCCCCCCCCACCCCCGTTCGGCGACCCCGACTCTCAGGGTTAAAAAACAAATCGGCCGAACCGATCGCTCGAAACATTTCCGACCGTTCGCCCGTCCGATCGCTGAACAAAGGGTAAAGTTTAATTAGGCTTCCGCGCGTGGTCCCGAGCACCGGTGCATTATGCCAAAGTTACGAGTACAGAAGCGAACGGAAAACGCGGAACAGTCGTCGTCTACCGTCGAGCATCGGGCACTCCATAATTACGCCGCTCAAAATCGAGTCGATCGCGTTGTTCGAAGCCAGTTAGGAGAATGTTTGCTGTTCGAATATCCGCTTTGCGACAGAGAGATACAAGGAAGAAAAAATGGCGATTGCTCGGGTACACGGGCCAATGGAAACAACGCGTTTGTCACTGGCGGGCGAATTACGTTTCCCGGTGCTCGGGAAGATCAGACGGAGCGCGGCGAATTTCTTTCCCGATGTCAAACGATGATTTCACGGGGGAAGATGGTAATGCGAAGAGAGCAACTGCGGCGGAAAACGAAGACAGGAAAAGGGCCGACTGCAGTATGGTGCCTCGCCGTTCCGAGATTTATCGAAGCCGAACACCGATGCATTAGCGACGGAAGAGCGCGGAAACGAGATGAAGGTAACGAAGCGAGGGAGGAAAATCGACGAGGGTGCCGAAGAGAGGAGGCATCGACCAAACCCCTCCACCCTTAACCGCTCTCCCCCTCTTCTTAATGCCGAGGAGGTCCCTCGAGACGTGTAACGAATCAATTGAGATCAGACGTTCGCGCGCGCGCGAGACTTTGAGTTCGAGTAACTCGATGAATCCAAACGAATGCGAGTACGACCGTAAATCGGCTCGTTCTACGCGTCCTTTTGGGTGTTCTCGAGCACTCGATACGATGCACGCGTACGTAAACGTCGTCTTACCTATTTAATAATCGCATTCTTCGCATCCGGTCTTCTCCCGGACGTCGATCCGAATTTGGAGTACTGTAACATTCAACGAATAATAAAGTCTATGTTAGCGTCTACTCCAAATGTAAAAAGCTGTCGTAAGTAAAATTGCTACTTTTTCTGAACATCCGATGAGCTGGGAAAACAAAACCTGTTGCATTAGCGACGCGACGCTTATGCAATTGTGTTTATCAACCTGTCGTCTATCCCCGTCCGCTTCGGTTGGCCGTTTCAATCGTTGCTGATAACGTAGCGGGCGTGTAAACATGCCTAATACGATCCACGCCCTCGTCAAGTGCCGATGCTCGATCTGTAATATAGTTTCTCTAAGTCGACAGACTCGACGCGACCGAAACTCATCGGACAACGATGTATTATAAGTATCGTACGAGTCTCGACGGGTGATTTTCACGTACGAATTCCATAAAGTAGGCGATGGCGGTTTATCGGTAACGAATACCCGTAGATCCGTCTTTATTAATAATTTTGTACAGACGTGGAACGTGCAATGGAACATTTCTTGAATTCGTAGATAGTTCGATAGCACTATTTATTCCCCTGCAAACTTTGCACTTTCCTCGAGAGCGTTTTCAGCTATCGCGGACGAAATACTTTCGGAAAAAATATAAGAACGATATCACTGACTTCACTGTTGCTCCTCATTTTCGAACGCTGATAGAACTCGCTGAGAACGATTGAAATTAATTCACATGTCTCTGCTATGCTGTATTTTATATTAAACGTATAAAAAGAGTGAGAAAATGTTGAGAATTGTTCGAATCATTTCGTCTCCGAGTTTATAATATTCTGCAGGCGCAACACGATACGCGACACGTACTCCTGGAGCATCGTTTGGCTCGCCTTTCCTACGTCTATCACTTCCTCGTGGTTCGTTTCGTCGTGGTTCCCGTACTCCATGATGCACTTATTCGTGATCAAGCTGAAGGCGAATACGTCCATGTCGCAGTGTTTGGCAGTGATTACTTCGTGAACGGTGGACATACCTAGAAATATAGAGAAATGTCAAGCTGGTCCGAGGTTTTAACCTTTTAGAACCTTGGTACTAACCGACGGCGTCGACGCCGACCATCTTCAGCATCCTCACTTCCGCGACGGTCTCGAAATTCGGCCCACCCAGGCACGTGTAGACGCCTTTGTGCACGATGTCGGCGATGCCCATCTCGTCCGCTACATGTTGGCCTATTTCTAAAAGATACTTGTTGTAGGCCTGGGTCATGGGTGGGAACCTCGGACCAAATCTGAAAAACGAACAAAGGGGCCACGGTGAAAGTGTGTTCAAAGCGGTGGACGGAGAATTTTCACGGGATCCCGTCTCGTAGAAAACAATCCTCGGGTAGAAAAACCGGCAACCGTGTTTCACGGACCCCATTAATACATAGGACTGGCAACGAAGGAAAAGGAAAAAGGGGGATGGACAATCAAGAAGCCAATTTTCGTTGGCTGCCGGATGAAAGGTCAACGTAAGCTCGACTGAAAACGAACGAGACGGGAAAGCAGATACGAAAGATCGAACGAATGAGAAAGAAATAAAACGAAGGGAAACGCGGAAAGCTGGAGGGAAATTCTTGCGTAAATACATCGATCAGATTCTTTATGTCGTCGGGTAAATAGTTCATCAATCCGATTCAAGGGGTTGTTCCGACGGAATAGATTAATTTTATTCGGTAGCTTCGCGATCCGCGAGCGAACGTCGTCCAAGACTTTCCTTCCGGAAACGAGCCCGAAAGCCTTTGTCGAGCTGAAGCGGATTCGAATTCATTGCCGTTCACGCCGTGAATCTCGCCCGGGCTGCCTCGTTTCTTTATTTTTTATTCTTATTTTCCCCGTTCTAGCTCGCCCCCTTTCGATTCGTCGCACTCGAATCCTCGTCGGCTGTTCGTTGATTCGCTCGAACGCGATCGGAGCCCGACGCTAATTTCTGGCCCGTCGCGACGACGCTTTGATCGCTTTGCTCGTCCCCCCCCCGCGTGAAAATTGGAAATCGAAAGGGGGGTAAAGGAGGCCCGTAACAGCTCGAGAAAGAAGCCTCGTCGTACGACGCGGATGAATGGAGTAACGCGAGAACTGTTTCATAACGCGACGCAGGACAGGGAGAGCAGGAAGAAGATACCTGTCGTCGTTGGGTCCATGAAGCGGGTTATTCCCCGCAAAACCCATCATGTTCACGTGATCCTTCACCATCATAATGTCGCCAACATTGTACGTGGGATTTAGACCTCCCGCCGCGTTTGTCGCAATCAGATGGGTCACGCCCACGAGCTTCATAACTCTTACTGGCATCGAGCACTGTCCGTGGAAATGAGAGAACAATAAGCATTTGGTATTCCGATTACAAAAATTTACAGCGAGTTATCTTTTTTATCATAAATGTTTACGGAGTTAAACAAAAGTCGTTGTAACGAGTTTTGGGCATGCCTTTATCGCCCAAACTAGAACAATTAAAAAATGAGGACGTTTCTTTTAATAGGACCTGACTTCGATGACCTGTAGTATAGTTTGCGTTATTTTTACTTGTAAGAAATATTGCTCTCGAAATATGAATAGATATAAGTCTGTGATTTAAAAAACAAAGAGGATCGCAATTATTGCGAGCGTACATACCTTCCAGAGCGGATAACCTTCGTAATGATGAAACCTCCCTTGCATACACATGACCGGGACGCCCTGGAGATAACCGAAGACCATCTGACCTGCGTGACCCTTGACAGTCGATACAGGAAAATTGGGGATTTTTTCATAAGAGAAGGACTGCTTGTCGTCGAGCATGTCCGCCAGCGAACCTGGACACAACTCGTTTTGTACAATTGTTTCTGTATGGGAATAAGAAAACGCATAAACTAGCGATATATATGCAATCGGGACCCAATACCGACGACAGCAATAAGCAGTTCAGCGTGTATCGAAGCGAGCGGACGTGCAGTTTACCAAAGCCATCGGAGATAAAACATCGCTAACCTATTCCAGAGCCGCATATTATTCCAATCCTCGGCCTGATTCTGATGCGGTCTAAGAAATACTGTGCCGTTTCCTGCAGCGACTCGAACGTGTACCTAAAAAGTTTTTTTAACTAAATAAAATAAAATAAAATTTTAGCTTCCTTTCATTTACAAAATTGCAAGATCGTACAATTAAATCTTTGTCCTCGCCCTGGTCAATATTTTCTAAATGCTATTTCTACGCTCTGGCCAAATTTTCATAGCGGACCAAACCGGCCATTTTGTGCGCTCTACTTACCCAGAGGTGGGTACCGGTTGAGTTTTAAATTTCAAGTGCCTCGAATATTATGAAATCTAGGGTTGCCAGGCGAGCAGAACTTCTCGGAATTTCTCCTGGAAAAGTAGGAGTGGGGGGAATGGGGAATAACACGCGGCGTGCGTAAATGAGGATGATGACATCTTTGCAAAAACGGCGGAACACAATGAGTTATTTCATCATTCGAATTTGTACAAATGGCATAGTTACATACAATATCATTGAGGAAGTAACTTTGATAGAAGGATAATAAATGTATAAAATGTATACAAAATAGAGTATATTTGCAAAAGTACATAAAAATATGAGTAAATATTAAAAATAGATGTTACACATACACATATACCATACAATACAATCCAATAACAATTATTTTCAGTCTCTCCACCTTCACCTGTTGTATCATCTGAAAGCAGAATAATCTATTTCTTAGTTTTGTCCTGTCGATATCCACATGAATTAACAAGTGTTATAGTATTCTTAAATATAGATGCATTACTTTCTTTCTTCTTAGTCTTTTCTTCACCTAAAAAGTAGAGTGCTAGCCTAAACCACTCATCTTTTACTTTACCAACATACTTTCCAACGTGTGTTTCTGGAGAAACTTATTAATATTTTTCAGCACTTGTTTCACTGCATGACTTATAATGAAATATATAGAATAACACATGCATTGAAGAACTCATATTTCTTTATTCGCTTGTAGGAATCGAGATTCTGTCATTTTGGTATCTCTTTTCAAGAGTAACACTCACATTTGTTTTATGTATATTAGTATCACCATGCTTGAGAAGCTGACTTTTTCCAACAACAAGAATAAGATCTTTGTCCACTCTTTTTACCCAAGTCCTAGAGCTGGATCACAAAACCACTTGTCGCTAAATGGTTACCTTCTATTGGTTCTTTTCCTTGGAAGACCCATGCTGCTACACTGCCTATTTATAAAATATCCATTATTATTCATTATTCATACTACAATAATATATTTATACATACCAAGAGAGTTCATAATCTCGCTCGTAACTAAGAATTTTCGACGTGAATCCTTAAATTGTATCGATATAAAAGTATTAAATGACTTACCAGATTGGGCACCCATATTGCACTTCCAAAATACAAAACAAACTATAAAATCTCACAAAATACACAAAGCGTTAGTACACAAAAGCATCACAAACAGAGTGACTAACATGGCGTCCCCGCGACCCACGCTACACTGCCGCGCTACACTACCGCGCATGCGCCGGACACGGACGAGGTAATTTCCCCACTCCTACCCCTATTTTCAAAATACGGTTATGAAAGTTCTGCTCAAGAGTAATTTAGTAGAATGTATGTGCACTAGAAGCGTATATTTATATAGATTTATGTTCAGTTTGCCTATTATTGAAATTAATTTGAGTCTACCTGTAGTAAATGAGAATGCTCAGATCTCGAAAACTTTGGAAGAGCTATCCGAGGACATTACAGTACTATTACAGATATTTGATTATTCTTTATTCGAGTTTACAACTATTCTCGATATACCAAAACAATACGACTACCAGTGCGACTGCACAGAATTGCGAAATCACGGCGAGTAAACCTGGTCTGCTGTTATCTCGTACGATAGCAAAATACACAAGAAGAGAGTTCTTGGAGAAATCTGGCAGCATGGATTTTAATTTACCTGAGTTAAGAAGGGAGTTCAATTAGTAGAGTTTGCATTTAAAGTTATCTACGAAGTATGCCCAGAGAAAACAAGTAAACACGCAAACTGCAAGTCGCCCTAAGCCTGCCAGGCAAGGATTCCATAAATAAATAACAACGAATATGCAAAAGAAAGCATTATCGAACTCGAAGCATGGACGAGGTACAATTGCTTTTGGTAAATTTCCAGAGAATGATCCGACAATCGCGACAATGAGACGGGGAGCTCGCCACGAGGATCGGAATGCGGTGCCGTAAGGGACATCGAACAATAACTCGTCGAATACGGTTGAATATGCATTCCCGTCGCCGATCTAGCCAGTCTGAGCCTGAATCCGCGGCATTCAGACGCGTGTCTGAGAATCGGTTCGGGCGGGCGTCTCGCGGAGGAGCTATGATATAGCCGCGGGTATGCCAAACGTCATTAGACCAACCGCATTCGCGGATGCTCCATCGTAAAACGGGATTGTACGGTCCCCGTTATGAATGGCAAATGCGAGGTCGACGATTATTATAACGACGTGAATGCGCATCGCTCGGAGGCATAGCGTGGATTCAATGACGGCCTCCGCGAATCTGGCTAGAATATCGCCCGGCTCTGATCTCGAATACGGATGCGCGCCGCGGTCCGAAACGCTCGCAGCGTCTTCCTTCTTCGGATTTAATCGTTCCCCGACACTCTGCGCCGCGGTCGCGGATACGAGCGGGGCGCATCGACGCTTTAAACGTCCGCCGTTTATCCGCGTCGAAGATCGATACGCCTTTTTGTTTTCCACGCACGCGATGACCCGCCTGTTTCGCGAAACGCTCCGGCGGCGCTCAGGTGAAGTGCGCGCCGCTTTCAGGTACCGCGTCCCATTTTCTCATCGCACGTTTCGCCGAGTGTATAAGAGCACGGCGGAAAAGTCTCCGCGATACGGGGAATATCGAGCGCGCGTTTCGAGCGAAACTTTCCCCCCTCCCGTTCTTGCAAAAAGTTTAATGTCACTCCGGATTTCTATGCGCCGATTCGAGCGCGAACGACGGGACCGGGGGAAGAACGGGACGCGGCGGAAGGAAGAGTCGAAGCAGAGTGCGCGGTAAATATTAAATGTATCGAGTAAAAATTCATCCCGGGCAAGCGAAACGGTGAACGTAACGCGGGGAATAAAATAGACGATCGATATAGCCGAACGCAAGGTGTCGTAATTAAATAAGAAACGCCTTCCGTATCGGGGCTTTGGCGGTCCGTGAATGGAAGGGTTAATAGCACAAGAAACAGCAGAGTGTCCGGAGTAAACTCGAGCTACAGAGAGCATCCGTAGCTTTGACGATAGCGATGTTGTTATGAAACGGATTACGAAACAGCAAAAAAAATTGGTCGTCGGCCGATGATAAATCGACGATTACAAGTTCCCTCTTTCTCTTCCTATTATATTTGAACGTCACTTTCAACATCGATGTTTTTAACTTTACGTTCGCGTATTTTTCTTAGTAAATGCAACAGTTTTCGTCAAATATTTTATAGAATCGCGCGGCGATAATTAACTCTCTCGATACAGCAAGGCTATTCGCGAAGACAAACTTCTTACGCAAGTTGTATTGGAATTAGAAATAAGTGGGTGATTATAGTCGCCGGTAGAATGCAACGAGCATGCAATGGGTGATTGTAATCACTGTTAGCATTGAAAGGATTAAATATCGTGTCGTCGATACGAAGAAATTGTAAACTGAAAACTGTAAATTGAGAACTCGAACATAACTTGCAGTTAATAAATATCATCGGATCGGCGGTAACTCGATAGTAGACCATTAACTTTTGTAATTAGCTAGGGAATAACGCGCGGCTGCGGTGCACAACGAGGGTCAGAAAAGTCCCGAGTAATTAGTTGTGTTTGGAAATTTCATACACATTCTGGAGGATGCCTAATGTGTATCCAACTACTGGCCAGTCTGCTAGCAGTGTCAAACTCTTTCGACGTTAATGAGTTCGCGGAAAAGCAATGAACTGTAAATGGATTGACGTTTCACTGTAATTCCTCGAGCTCCACACGCCTGTGGAACAGTATGGCGAGAATCAAGATGTAGGACTAATAGAAATAATTACATGTAATAAACGTTATTGTATTTTAACGGTCCTCCTCCAACGCGACGTGACTCGATGAACACATTCGACACGCGTTATCGTTTTAACCGTACACACCAACAAAGAAGCATGCTTAGTTCGGGCTGGGTGTATATAAAAATGTTGAGTTTCCATGCATTCAACTTACGAGTCGAATTGATGTTTAAGGACCGTGTTTATGAATTCATCCTCCGAAGGTCGCTTGATCGGCCGGTAATGGTTGTTGCTGTTGACGATGTCGGGTCCTGTGAAAGCCATTGTTCCACCAGCGTCGATCCAGTAGGAAGTGTCGCACCACGTTGAATCCGCGCGAAAGGAATGAAAAATAAAAGTGGGAGAAGAACTCGTTAACGGTCGGTCAACGCGCGCGATACAACGTTCCGTATCGTAGATTTTACGAAACTCTACGGACAGCGGGCTGCTGCAGCTCCAATCGCTTGGCTGTTTTATACGAAACTCGGCGCAACGGAAAAAATATGTGCTCACACGAACCGGCCAATCGTTTCGGACGAATACACTAGCCTTCCTCCAATCCTCACGGAGTTCAAGATGGTGGGGAAGTCGGTGGAAGGTAGGGGCCCGCGATGATAACACATTACGAACTAAGTGCTCCAATTGACACTGCTAACAGTGCACTGTTATTTATTTCACGCGACTATATCGCTATCGACGATAGCCGTTTCTCGAATATTTCACCGAGCGCTCATTCACGAAGCTCTCCTACTTTAATCCACCGTCATCCTCCTGTATCTTATCTCCAAGGGTTAGTTATACGAACGCGAGCAATTATTCGAATATTTGCAACTTGGACGATTGATCTTACCACACGTGACAGCTCCGATGCACGGACACGTGAGCTCCTCGACGCATTGGCGTCATCGGGACGATGTTTCCACGCGCGTACGAAGGACCAAATGTCGGATTCAAACATTCCTGTTCTAATATAGGTTCGTTATAAAGTTTGTAATATAGGTTTGTTATAAAACAATAAATGTTTATTACCATGGAGGGACCTTGCGTGTCCAGTAGCACAGTGGAATATGGCTGATAGACTGTGAACTGGAGTAGGGATGTAAACACTGGCAGTATATATGCATGTAGACATGCGCTCTCTGGAGCAATTAACTTTCAAACGGAGCAGGCCTGTTTCACTATTTTCTCTTCTCATTCACAGTGTGCTCTAGCCAATGACTATGGAATAACGATGGAATTTGCAGTCTTGAGAGTCTCTCGCTTCAACAAAGAGTTAATAGCGTTTTATCAATTTATTTTAAGACAAAGTCGCGTATACGCGTCATCCGTACCTCGTCAAAGAATCTGAATGAAGCGTATGCGTGTCACCCGGCGCCAATGTGATAATTGCATCACGCGCTCGCAGTGTCTTTGCAAAACTCGTACACCTTGCTTGGCTAATAAGCGGGAAGTTCGGTTGGCTTTCTCTCGACGAACAGCACTCGCCTGAAAAAGCAAATCTGTTGTTTTAGATTAGATATTTCGTTATTACGCGATAGCGTCCCCCTTGTTCCCGTTCCGTTGTTACAATTCGAACCTGTTGCACTCCGAGGGAATTTCAAGTTCTTTCGTTATCGACGTCGTTGTGACCTTTGCAATTGAGAAATTATTCTAGCCGTTCGGAGTGATCATTCTGATCGCCGACGAGCCCTCGATCTAATTTTCGTCGAACCATCTTCACGAAAGTGTCCATCGTTCCTGTAAAGAACACCTTTATTAGTACATTATAAACCTGTATAATAGTTTTTAGTCTTTTACTCTTTTTCTTTGCGTTGCATAGAACGAATCAAACTGTTGCTGCTGACTTTTCACATTGAAAAGAAAACAATTAATTCTAAAGTCGATACATAAAATAAATACTAAGACAAATTTTAAGTCGCGTAGGTTTTGGTCTGACAGTCAATTCCAAGGCAGATTTACTTTCCGGTGATGGCACGGGCTAATTTGAAAGCATATGAATTTTTGATAGCACATATTGCCCCGTGTAACGTGTCGAGCATGACGCTTTATAAACATATTTCGAAAATCTACGCAATGTGGGATCGAATCTGACAACATTGTTTAAATCAGATGTTGCCTAATCCGATGTCGAAGAAAAACAAAACCCATCTCGCATAAACAATTTGTTATCTCCGCGCGCTGATAATCGTTAACCACCAACGTAGTAACAGCCAATTATTATTGCGCGACGGTCCCTCGTTTGTTTACTAGATAAATTATTTTTTTACGAATATCTTGGGTATATCCGATGACTCGTTCAGACAAAATCAATAAATCAGTAAATTGCACGATCGAACAATCGTGGAGATGCTGAGCTTGAAAATTTCTATCAAATCTTTTCAAGTAAGTATGTTTGGCACGCATATTCGAGCATGGAACCAGAGCTGGACAGAATGTAATCTGATTACATGTTCGTACGATAATTACCGTCCAATCGCGATGTGATTATAATGATAAATCTTCAAAGCGCGTAAAAACTAATTATCGTATAATTACACCGTGATTACATGCAATTTTATCGTGGCAAATGTAACGAGATTACACTTTGCGAATAACGTGTCTCTCGGAGGGGAGATTCGTCGAAAAATAGACTCCGATATTACAATTTAACGAAAGAGGGAAAATGTTTGGATAATATCAGATACCGTTCGAATTCTTTGTTCGTTATCGAGGGGATTAAATTCTCGTAATCGAAGCGGAAATCGATGTATTATTCATTCTCGTTCGACTGTGACGTTGACCCGTAACGCGGCAGCCGCGAAACACGTTATTCGTAAAGAATTTTACGCGGGTTCACGGAATCAACTCGCCATTTACGACTACGGTAACTTCTTTGTTCTTTGTTTAATGCCAAACAACTAACACTAGTTCTCTCAGGTCGTTCGAACACTTTTCACATTTCACGAACACTGCCTCGGGAATCTTGTTCGAGTCGTCGGCCTATAAATGCACAGATTACAGTTTCACGCTCTGTCGTATGAACGTAATGGGCCTCGCGATCAAAAATACAAAAGGAAAAGGTGCGTCTCGGAAATCCCGGGTCCGTCGAAAAAGGGAAAATTCATGGCCGTGACTTGCAAACTATGGTTCACCGTGAAGCGGCGAGGCCGGCGTCGAACAGACTGTAAATTTAGTTTTCGTACCAGCCCTCCCTCGTGAGTCGGTGGCTACTTTGCGATGCAACGAGTGATGCATAATTTCGCTGATCGTCTACAAAGAACCGCGACCCTTCGGTCGTAAACAAATTTCGATGGGGCGCTGTTCTACGGGACAGATTTTCAGCGTCACCGAACTTTCCTAATTGAAACTTTATACAGTCGAAGAGCGGAGGCGGTGGAAAAAGAATAGAAAAAGGACGCCGGGAACTTTTCAATGGTATTCAACGGGAGGGCCAATTGGAACGACGCGAGGCGTCGCAACGAACGCGGAAAGTACGCTCGCCTAACCGTGGATCGTGACGTTTGTCGAATTTTAATTTGTTTACCCTCGATATTACTATCGAACGAACTATAAACTAAACAGAATCGCGTAATCAACTCGTTCTACGTCTTGGTAACGGACCATTGTCGTTCGACGCGCAACAGTTAATGATTTCATCTACGATCCTAGAGACGAAGAGTTCGTTTAGTCGCGAACAGGAGCTCCGATTATTCTCAAATGTTTTACTATTCATCGCCACGCCACGAACGGGTTTTCCCAATAATCGCGCGGTAATAAAACCGACGATCGATAATCACGATCTAAGTCGCGAATAACGAAGAACCACGTAGGGCATTCTTTTCTTTCCTATCCGCTACGTTCGATCGCTGTGTGGCCAATTACATTGCTCAACGACGACTTAAACTCACGCTACTTTCACACGACCAAAAACAAAATTCCCGACAATTCATACTTTTAATCGTACAAGTGACGCAATAGGCACTGATGCATTGTTTGCAAAAAATCTCGACGAGATTTTCTTGTGAGTATGATCGAATACGTGTTCGCGATTTTCAATAAGAATTATTGTTTGTATCGACGCGACGATTGCAATGACCCCCTGTTGAGAAATTGACCCCTCTATGTAAGATACGCTTATTTTTGTTTTAATCGCAGCGAAGATAAATATAATAGGCCTGAACGTTACGAAATTGTTCCGATTCTCGCGAGTGATCGAGAACGATCCGCTGGGGTTCTTATTAATCATTGACCCCTATTAAATTATCGTGATAGAACACTTAAAAATGTAATCGCGTGTAAATGCTACGAACTTGGGCGATTTTCGTGTCACGTTCGTTGAACTTGAAAATCGTATCGATGGGCCCCTGTGAGTTGTTTCCCGAGAAATGAAATTCCGCTGAAAAAGGAAATTTTTCTTTTAATCGTAGCGAAGATAAATATAATAGACCCGAACGTTACGAAAATGTTCCGAATCTCGCGGATGATCGAGAACGGATTCGCTGAGATTCTTAGTAAGCATTGACCCCTATTAAATTATCGTGATAGAACACTTAAAAATGTAATCGCGTGTAAATGCTACGAACTTGGGCGATTTTCGTGTCGCGTTCGTTGAGCTTGAAAATCGTATCGATAGCCCCCGTTAGTTATTCCCCGAGAAATTCAATTCTGCTAAAAAAGGAAAGCGCGCGTAAATCGCGTGTACAAAGCATACCTCGGTTTCGTTCCGACAAAAAGGTATAACAGCGCACAAACGCCGCATCTAAGGCACGAGCCGCGGGAAATGCTTTGCTGATAACATCACCGACAAACCCAGGCGAAACGCAAATTCCTTTTTCTTCTTTACAGCATTAATCTCTTTAATCATTATTTTTACCAATGCCACAGGATCAATAAATACTATATCCATCTAGCGGCTATCTGGATGAACTACGTAACGCATTGGTTATACGTAACCAACCGTCTTTGCATATTGTGTTTTATTTCGTATCTTTATGTCTTCTAAATACTTGATATCGCCTTTTTTCATAAATGCATACATAAATGTATATTTCATTAACGATCTATAAAACGATTTACGAACTATTATTAGAAACTAATGTTATAGCGTATATAGCCCAAAGAGACATAGTTTATTTAATTAATAAACGTTTCTATATATTTTCCAATATCTAATTCATTGTACATTGCATGACTGAACTTTCTCTTTAAAAAAAAAATTATATTCTTACTCACTTTATCTCTTTAATTATCACTATCGACCGTAAGTATCTTCAATTTATCTAATTCAGGAGCTCTTTGGATTACGAGTTTTTCTTGAGTTATTCCGAGACCTTGTTTATAGAATCATAATGTAAGCAAATTTCGCAGGCAACAAAGAATTGAAAAAATGAAATTTCTTCGACAACATTACGTCAAACTTAATCTGACTTTCCTCTTTCGTATATCACAAGTTGTCACGTTTCTTTGATCCCCCTCCCCCCTTCTCCTCCCTGTAATTTATAGACAGCTCCTAAATAATTATTTAGAATGAATAAAAAATATATAAAATATATAATATTTACCTGTTATTACTCGAGTACAATTTTGAATACGCATATCCATTATTTCAATATGAAATTATAATACGTGATATATTTAATATTTCATACGAACGTGACCTATATACTCGAATCCATCTAAAGCCGTTCCTCTGATCTGATTTTCATTGCTTCTGAAATATTTATTTCTCTTGATATTTTAATCTAAATTCTAAATTCTAAAATTCAAAAAGTCGTATTCTAACTTAACCTGATAACATTGGCAGCGACATAGAAATAGGAAAAAAACTTGTGAAACCTCAATCCGTGCGACACAAAAAAGCATCGCTTGCAGCGTCTATTCTATACGTTGTTTATGCCTGTACCTTGTGTATATGTATATTCATCTGTGATATTTTCATCGACAAGGTATCTTTTGTGAAATTATTGCCTGATATTATCGCAAATTGTTGTAACAAATAAATTGTCACTTATGAAATCAATTTTCTAATTCTACTTTGTACCGAATGTTTAGATATTCAATATTAATAATGCGACACTCTTTGACTTTTACAAATGCCTTGGTTATATTAAAAAAAGTTATCTTCTGAGAAAGTTTAGCTATAAATGCGTTTCGATAAAATCAACGGAACTGCAAAGAGTCGTAGGAGGGACGATTCCCTTTGTCTGAAAAGTAATTTTGTGGTGTCTGTTGATTATCGAATTGAATTGATTTTTTTTATTCGAAACAATATTTGAATATTTAACGTTATAGACATGAAAGAAGGGCACAATGTATCCAACGTAACGAACGACGGTTGTGTCCATGAAAATGGAGAGGTAATTTTATAATCGAGTATTTTACATGATTGCAGTGCGATCAGTTTTGTTCATATTTCTGTATCGTGGCCGCCAACAAGTATCTTTTCGTGAAAAGTTATGTATATTTTCAATGACAAGATATTTAACCTCTTAACAATGTCAAATAATAATTCATTAATTAATAGCTTTTGTTTTTACATACCATGTTATATCATTTGATTTTTAGTTTTTTTTTATACAATATTCGTTATAAAATCTATTATATAAATAGAAATCAAGGTACATAGTTAAGTGGTTAATGTTCAGGAAAATGTCAACCTAAATAAAAAATATTTCATTTACAAATTCATAAATTTTCTACTCGAGTTGCTTGTAATTCAATAAATATTACATAACTTTCATTTATCGATAACATGTGTACAATACAAACAATGGTAGTGTAAATTTATTTATGCAATTACAATAGGCTGTTAGTACAAAGGACTCCCCTGCAAGGAAGAAATTGCGTACATGGCTAAATCGAAACTTAAAAATAAAAATGACAGATGGTCGTGTCTTAATCGGTTCGTTCTTATGTACCGATCGTGATGCTAATGTGATTTTGGGATCGTGTTCAGAATATCTATCCGAGGATCATACAGAAGCAAGAGCTCTTGGTTTGGCAATGATACCTGGTAGACACATTGTAACAATACATCTTGATGCTTGAGCACCTGTGGTCTTTTTAAATTAGTTGTACACGAACCATTATCCTTTGTTTTCTCATATTATATAGTTCGTCTGTTACTTAACTATTTAGAAAATTTATTTAATACAAATAAATTCATTAAGAAAGAAAATAATAAGATGAAAGGTTACCTTTTAATATATATTCTATGGAGGAACATTGTTATCATTTGTTTTACTCGCTGAAACATAAAAATAAAATAAATTTCTAACATTTAATTAACTATAAATTTAATGATACTATTATGCTTACAATTTCTAATGCATTGTTCTTGTATATCACAGTACTCTCCCTCGAGCATTTCGATATGGTCAACTTCTGTCTTTATACGTTTTAATACGTCGTCAAGTTGTTGTGAAAGACTAAATGATAAATTGTCCATTCCAGATAGATAACTTAGATCTGATGCTGCTACTGCCAGATTCTGTACATATTGAATGTACCCTGTTAATTTCTGATAGAAAAAGTATATTTTAAAACATTTTTAGTCGGTGCAGTACATTGATACAAATTTATGTTGCTTTTTCTTACGTTTAGCTTTTCTTTTTCACTCTGTACTTTTGATCTTACTTCGACTATCATGTCCAAATGTTTATCATTTAAATTATATTCCAAAGATTCCCTCAAAAGAGAGATCAATAAATTTAACAATGTTCTGCAAATTATTGTTAATCATTGACACGAATATAATTGTAATGACATTAACCCTCGCTATTTTTCATATGATTTTAAGTTAATCAACCTTTATATACTTATAACAATGAAATACAAATCTTACTTATACTCGCTACTTGTTCTCATTACAGCCATATGCACAATAGTTAATGTTTGAGTTGCATTGTTTATAGAATCTATTGTCGATTGCTGTATCATATATTCAATAGTTAATTTTTTAATATCAGGGGGTTCAAGATTTAATTTATCTTCAGGCATAGGTTTCTTACTCTCCGAGTGATTATTGAACACAAAACTTGTAGCATACTGTAAAACAAAAACGATGGAACATTTGTTTTATATCAATTTGTATCGTGTAAGATTACAGTATTCGTATTTTTTTTTTAATTATACCATTACAGGGCCAGCCCTCCTCAATAATATTCGAACAGCTCGACACAGTAACATGATTTTTAACAAACAAGCGTCACGATAAAATTTTAACTGTGAAAATTACGAAACAGATTTATTTGCTACATAAAATCATTAATATGGTTAAAATATAACGTACTCTTCATGTGACTGATCTGATTTACACGAACTTAGAAACAAAGTTCTGATTCACGTATTAACAATCGTAATTGTACATACGTACACTTAGAAATTATTAAAATAGTATGAAAATTTGGATCAAATAAACGCTTCTATATTTGTTTACAAATCGTAGGATGCCGTAATTGTCCTTTTGACTTTACTACGACGCCAGAGCTATCTGGTTACATGATATAGAATTACTTTGAAAAATACAACATGCATATACATATACAATTGAAACAAAAGTAGGTACATCGTATATTTAAATTTAATACTATAAATTAATTATACGTATACTATTTGTGGCATCTAACCTTAATTCTAATTAAGAAAATATTAATGACTCACAAAAATAAAAAATGTGTGTTTATAGATTTATTGTAATCACTAATAATATCAAATGTAGTAGAAATAATATAATAATTTCCTATACAATGTCTGTTCAGACATGAAGTATACCTATGTATCTCTAAATTCGTATAGGCTAAAAATTACAACTCTACCTAATATATTAGGAAGTAGAAAGAAAAAAAGGATAATGCTTGATTAATTTCCATTGAATCAAAGGTAATATCAAATTTATCTTCAATTTAAAATTTCAATTTCTCTAATTCAACCAATGTTAAGAGACACATGTTGAATACATAAATCGGCTGAAAGTAAAACATCCCATTGATAGTAACGTATATAAATATACAAATACCTATTTTCTTATTAATATGTTTATGAAACATACACGAATAATAATAATGCTGCCTTAAATATATTAAAATAAATATGCAATTATAAATTAATTCATCAGCCTAAAGCTGTTTTAATTGCAGGAAGACGCATTTATAAAATAAGGTATCTATGCTTTCCTTGTAAACATCAAGTTGAAATATACAAATTAAAAATTGCATTGAGTTTTGCTATCTTTTACTTCACCAATATCTTACACGCTGCTTTATTCGCCCAAAATAATAAATAACATAATCAGAGGTTTTAAATTACATCTGTATTCGTTGGAATGATTTGATTTAATTCTTACCGAGTTCCTAAATAAAAACAAATTATTTACGCGCAAAATCGAAATCTCTTTAAACAAATTACATTACCACACACGGGTTTACATCGCCTTGTTAATTCTATACAGAATACGTACGGTCTCATCGTGAAATTCAATACATGATTGTTTTATCATAAAATAAATTATGTTATTGATACAATAGGGTATACATAGGGTGCATCGAAGTTAGACATTTTATAGCGAGGATTAATTAATTAGAAATGCAAAAAAAAAAAGAAAGAATGAATAAAAAATTCTTTACGACGAAAACATTGTCACGTATGTTATTGTATGTAATTATAATATTCAATATAGATATCTGTAGAAAATCATTTTAAGCTATAGCATAGAATATGCCTAAGAATATTGTATCAAGAAGTATCACAATTAAATATTATATTTGTAATAGACGAAGTCTGACCGAGTAAAACGTTTCGTCATTTGTAAATAACGACTTCACGCGAATAAGGAATTCATTCGGCTGTAAAACGCAGTGCTGTTTGATTGTAATACAATTATTTGTAATTGTTCAGCAGTTATGATATAGATATAGATCAGGCCTGGTCAAATAGACTTCTCGCAGTGTCATACACCCGCCGTTGCCCCTAAGGAATAACTTCGGAGAAGTAACGTTAAAGCAAAAAATGACTGATGGGGAGATCAACTGCAGTAGTAGAGATTCAGCGTTGTACGCTTGTATGTATACTTAATTTCGGTTACCAGTAATTATTGGCCACTGTTGTACTCTTACACACTTTAAATTTATAGAGTATCCCATCAATGGGACCCAAGTGTTCAAAGAAAGCTAACTGCTCGAGTATGCTGGGTAACGAATTGACTAAGTCTGACACAGATACAACCTTGAAACCTGTAACTACTTGGCACTCAAAACACAAAATTTTTTATAAACGGTGAATGGTCGATTTTACTTTTATATTCGAAATTCTGCGAAGTACTAATTCCATTACTTTCTCATATAAAGAACAAACGAATTGCCTTTAGAACCATGTGCAATTAGAGAGAATAACACTTCAGTATTCACATTCGCGGAATAATTGATCCGATCACAATAACTAATAAATAATTTCTTGAATTTGATTTAGGTCTGTAAATGCATTCATAAACCCGACCTACAACATAATAAATTGCTTAATTTATTAACTAAGACGGGATCGATCAATAATAAGAAGACACACTTTTAAACAAACTTTCCTTTTTAAAGTTCTTCATGTGCCCCTTCCTCTTGGACACTTTCGCGATTCGACCTATCTTCGTTATCTTCTAACGTTACAGTTGCATCATCCGAAGTATTAGACTCTATTGACTTTTCATTTCGTATGTTCACATTATCGAATGATGTACTTTCATCCGGAAACTTTTCTTCTTTTGTCTCCGTTGCGTTCTCGTTTGCACTTTCTGTCTGATTCGACACAGCGTCTTGTATTAACCTCCAAGTCTTTGCTTTGTTTGTAAGGTATTTCACTTCTCTATCGAGCGTCGCTAGTGTATTCTTAATATCGCGAACTGTAAATTTCGCGTTACCATGCGAAGCTGTTTCGGTGGAGGATTCGATAAGATCGACAAAATATTCCTACAAATGAATCGATCCAATAGATTATCAAATAATATACGATCACTCGATACAAAAGAAATCGAATTATAATTAAATAAATTGTTCTTAAATGCAAAGACAATCACTTACCTGAGTTTTATTGATCACATTTTCTAAAGTATCAATCTCTACTGGAGTGAAAATGTCACTCGATGAGCTCCAGTTACGAACATCCTGTAAAAGCGTATTACTAGCGTTCAACAGAGATGTCACGCCTTCTATTAGTTCTAGGCGTCCTCTATTTTCATAGACACGTTCATACACGACGTTAGTCAACTTCTGAAGTTCTGACAATTTTTCTTCGTACATTTCTGCGGTCGCGGTGAATCCATCTTCGTACAACCAATTAGATATCGAGGAACACACTTTCAATATATTTTCTGCTTCTTCGGGAGTACAAGCAGCAGTGTATTCTTCAGATTGTAATTTTTGTTGAGCGTCGATTATATATGTTTCTAAATTATTAAAAGCCGTTTCGCGTTTTGTTTTCTCGAAATCGAATACGTCTAACTGATGCAATCTAAAATTAATATGTAACATTTGTATTGAATATAGACGGTATACTTCACGTGCAAAGCAATTCTGTAATTACTTATATTTACTCACTTTTCACGAAATTCGGTAAGTTTATCCCCAGAAAGAACCTGCGGTCCTAACTTAATTTCAACAGCTTTAATGGGTTCTTTAATTGTTACAATCATAACTTTCTTCTCTTTCTCCGTTTTATTTGTCGCTTTATCCTCTGTGATTGTTGTTTCATTCTTTTTCTTTGTTTTGTCTGCTGTCTCCTTTTGTAATTCAGGGTATTCTGGTTCTTCGTGAACTGGTTTTACATCTTCCTTTGAGGGTTCCTCTGCTTTTCCTTCGTTATCTTTATCTTCTGAACCTGAGATTAAAAAATTATGTTCATCTAAATATATAATTTATGTCGTGTAAATGTTATTCAAATGTAATTACACCTGTTTTACATGATTTATAGTTTACAACAGAAAAACAGTGAGAAAAAACATGCTACTCGTCTACATAATCCACTTAACATTTGACACTTGTTTTGAAACTATAATTTAATTTTCGTTTGTGTTATTGTACTTGATTCTTTATTAGAAATGCTTGCAAAAAATGGCTGTCTTAAGAAAATCGATTTTATAAATTTTTCTTTACTAATAATCATTTGTAAAATATACAAACAATACTTATCAGAAAAAGCAAAAAATAATTATTTTAGACAACTCAAATTAATACAATAGAAGGTATCATTTTTTGCAAAGCATTCAGCACAAACCTGCAAAAAGTTTACTAATAGTTGAGCCAAGTATTGAAAAAGTACCCTCTTTTTCATCAGGAGTTGGACTTGATTTTTCTGATACTAATTCTACATTCGCTAAATTAAGTATACCACTTTCGTCCATAGCAAAATGTGCTTTAATTCCCTTGTTTTCTGCTCCATCTTTAATATGTTTGTCTAAAGCTTCAGTTACTCCAGTCAAAGTTATAGTAGACAGATTTAAATTACCAATAAAACTGAAACCAAAGAAATGCAATGTCTATAAACACAAATATCATGTAGTATACAATAGTTGTCCAAAGTACTCACGCTAATTCATTAGGTGATAAATAGTCTAATTCGGCATAATTAATATGAAATTGAAAATTTTCTCCATATTTGTTAAACGTGATAATTTTCTTTTGCGGATAAGGATTCATTTTGCTAAACAATGACTTTTTAACCTAAGAGTAACATATTTCTTATAAAAATTAACCCACCTTTCTTGCAAAAATTAATATATAACAAGAATAAAACCTTACTTGTTTCATTTTGTTATCAACGGTTCTATCAAAAGTAATTTGTATAGGAAAAAGTACTGCATCTTTAGTAACAAACTTCTTTACTTTGAACCCTTTACTAAGGTCCGCAGCTTTATACACTGCTCCTAATGTAGCTGCTTCGTCTGTGTTGATATTTTTAGATAACTCAACTGTCAAATATTTGCTTAAATATTCCTGTACCTTTGGCATTCTGGTACCAGCTCCCACTAATACCACTTGAGATATAACATCCAATGTCAAATCTGAAAAGTTCAAATCACTTTAGAACAATCACGTTGAAAACAACAACTGTGCAAAAAGTTAAATAAAATTTAAACTTTTTTTTATACCTGATGTTTTTAAAGCAATCTTAATAGGATCTGCAACTCGTTCAAATAAGTCAGAACAAAGTTGTTCTATCTTTTCTCTAGAAACTGGCACTCTGAAATCATGTTCGTCTATCAGCCCCTCAATTTGAGCAACGTGATCACTATTTGCACTCAACACATTTTTAACACGGCCAGCCTCTTTAAAAAGTTTCGCCATTGCTCGTGGATTATTGAACACAGAATTTGACGTTTTATTTAAAGCATCAAATTCTTTTGCCAAATGATGTTGCAATCTGAGTTGTACCTCTAGCCCGCCTAAAGTACGATCATAACCCACACCCAGGATACTGACATGCGGATTGGTTTCGACAAATCCCTTCTCTTTTGTTTTCACATTTTGATAACTGACAACTGTAGCTGTTGTACTACTGGCTCCCATATCATAGAACATAACATAATGTGCAGTGTCATTTATCTCTTTACTTCTGAAGATTCCATAATTCAGTGCTACAGCAGTATAGTCGTTGATAAGTTGCAGAACTTTGATTCCTGCAAGATCAGCAGCCTGCATAAGAGCTCTTCTTTCAATTTGATTGAAATATCCTGGAACAGTTATTACTGCTTCACTGATCTTCTGACCAGCTGAATTTTCTGCAAATTCTTTTCCTTTGTGCAAAATTTGTGCAAGTAATTCTTCCGGTGTATATGAAGTGTTTTCATCAATTTTAAATGCAATTGTGTTCCGTTCATCGTCAGAAATTATATTGTAATATGGGAATCTTTTTGCATATAGCTGCACCATAGGGTTATCTATTGATTTTCCTAAAAGATCTAATATATAAGAAAAACTATTTTGTGGTGACCTAACTCCTACTACTTGAGCATCTTCTCCAAAACTTCTTTCCCCATTACGAAATGCAATGGTAGCTGGAGTTTTCCTCTTTGTCTCCTTATTAAGAGCTATTTCCATAGGAACACCAGGCTATAAATATCATTATTTAATGTTACTGATAACATTCAATGTTAAATCGATTAAGAGATTCATAATTCAAGACTACATAATGGACAATGTTTACTTACTGAAACAATTGCAACTTTCATAGACTCACTGCCAATATCAATACTCATAACAGCAACCCCATTGCTACTGCCAATAAAAGTTGCAATAATAAACAATAGCAACCGAATAACATACATTTTGAATTCAGTCAACTTCATCTACAATTTAAAAAAAAAAACATATATAACAACTCCTGCTTTATTACATTTAAAAATAACGTTTCATACAATTAATGAAACACTTTTTTGATTTACAAAAAAGACTTAAAATTTTTAAAAACTACAGTACCCTTGGAATCATCCCGATGATCTTTGAGTATGTTATAGGGGTTGAGATTGGAAGCAACTTTTATGTGAACAATAATTGTCGATCGGCCTCAATTTTTGAGATATTTGCAAAAATTGTTAGTACTACCACATTCATCCCGCTTGTACGTGTGCCGTAGGCGCGTTGCGTTTGCAAGGGGTTACCGATCGTCTTCTGTTCACATCGAAGTGACCAACAGGCGACCGTATATAACGGCTGAAGGAAAAGATTTAATTTAACCAATTTCAATAATATACTGGCTCGGACCTAACTCATATATGCTTAGTGCCGCACTCGTTCCGGGCCGGAAGCTGCCCTCCTCTCGGCGACGAAATAAAAAAGTAGTCGGACCTAGCTTAATCACTAAAACTAATTGTCGAAATATTGATTAAATTAAATAATTAGTTTTAGTGATTAAGTTAGGTCTGGCTATTTTTTATGTATGCTCGTCTGTCGGTCACCTCGATGTGAAAAGAATACGATCGGCGAGCCCTTGTAGACGCAACGCGCCTACAGCACACGTACAGGCACAGTGAATGTGGTAATACTAACAATTTTTGCAAATATCTCGAAAATTGAAGCCAAACGACAATTATAAAATAAGTTCACATAAAAGTTGTTCCCAATTTCATCCTCTATAACGTACTAAAAAATCATCGAGATCGTTCCATGGATATTATAGTTTCTTAAAATTTTAAGTCTTTTTTGTAAAAAAAAAAAAATGTAAAAACGCATTACTTTTTCAACCTCCCCCTATTTATATTTCTTTTTAATGTTAAAATATAACCTTTCTGAAAAAAACTGAAGAAAAATAAGCACATTTAGGGCAAAGTCACTAAACTGCAGAACTACGCAAATAACTATTAAATGACACGGAAAAAGATAGTTTAGAAAATAATTTTCATTCACGTAAAACACTCATAAACACACAGCGAATGATCTTGCGATAGCACGAGGATTCCCATAAGACTTGTCAAACTTGGTTATGAAAGCCGGATATCTGAGAAAGAATCTCAGATAACAATGTTAAACGTCTTCAAGCATTACTTACTTTTCAAGACTATTCTAAATAACTAAACAAGACAATTAAGAACAATTGCCTTTAACTCATTAGGCATTCGTTTTAATCCTTTATCAAAGTAGGAAAACACACAATGCGCTCCTGCTAATGTTTCGTCAAACTGAACAAGAACCATGTGTTTGTGTGGCACAACGCGATTGGTAAAATAAGATGGAAGAAACCGCTCATATTGGTCCGCGTTGGCAAATGAGAACCAATAACAAATTATTCTGCTCCGACCGACAAAAAATAAGTATTTCAAATGATCGCCAATTCCGGGAAATGAATTTTTGCTTTTCTTTCTATTTCATACATCAAAGTGCGCCTAAGTTCCATAAAGAGAACTTAAGTTTAACTGTATCATAGCAAACCTTCATATACTAGAATAAAATTTCGTATAAAAACTGTACACCATAATGCAAATTTCGACAATAAAAAAACAAGCCGACAAATAAAAGCAATCGCAATTTATTTTAAAAATTGGAACACAACATCGTTTTCAATTAAATTATTATACCAATAAATGCAAAATTTATTGAATATTTTATTAGTACAATCTTATAACAAGGACAATATATTTATGTTTACTTAAAACGTAAAACTTTAATGCAACTATTTCTTATGTACTTTACAATACAAAAATTATCACAAAAAGGAAACTGTGATTCGCTACTATGTAAACTATTTTTACTTGAACAGTATAATACTTATTATGTTTCATAAAATTTGATGATTATTTGGATTTTAATTAATTTTTCATCAATGTAAGTAAGAGTTTTAAATAAGTACCTTTCTGAAAATAAATACAATAAAGTGGCTTCATTTTATTATGAATCAATTCAGTTCTCATGTATAATGCAATGTTTACAATCATTTACTCCATGGTTTCAAGTGTATCACTTCAAAACCTAATAGGACCAGAAGATTCTGTGCAAAAAGTAAAAAACTTCATAATGTACAAATATCGATTAATCTCAAACTTCTTCTACCCGTCCAAACTTATATATGAGCGAGCCCAAAAAGATGAACATGTTCTGTAAAAAGAGGGCTATGCCAGGCCAATAATGTTGTGGCCCTAAAAAAATAAAATTAACTATATTTAATAGTCGTAATTCCTAACATTGAATTATGAAATGTGTACAGACCTGCAGCTATAAAATCTGCAAACAAAATCCAACAAGCTGCAATTATTTCAGCAAATCCCATTACAAATCCAAAAAATAACCAACATCTTACACCTCTAGCTCCTAAAAACCCACCATTGTATGCGTCACCTCTGACCTGTGCGTTCGTAACAGAGTTTACCCTAAATTAAAAAGTTAACAATTACCAATAGTTAAAATGCACGAAAACATCAATACAATAAGAATATTAATTTACATAATGAAAGAAATAACTCCAAATACTGCACAAATGTAGTACTCATTTAACATTTCACCAGGATATTTGGCATGTGCATCGATAATAAACCACCATCCTACGAAAAACTGAAATTGCAGAGAAAAATAAATCCATTTGTAAGTCTATAAATTCTGATACATGTTATACTTATATAACTGTTAAGTTTAATATTATAACACTAATAATAACTTTCAATTATATCTTTTTACAGCTTCATGATTATTATTGTCACCTCTATCATTTTGTTATCATTGCTATTTAGAATCATTGTTCCAATTGATGCTGTTGTTGTCCCTTTAAAACTAATTATAATACAAAAATAGGTAGTAAATTCTAATAGAAATATACTAGATTATTTATTACCAAAAAAAAAAGTAAGTATCAAGCTGCTTAATCGAAACAATATTATTGTAGGTATATAAAGCAAACCGACAGTGTTCACATATATTATTAAATAAAAAGGAATAAAAATAAGATGTAATGTAATTAATGTCAGTGTCACATTCAGAGCAATGTAAACTTTGATGTTTACCAATGTTCCGGCCAACATAGACGCCAGTATATTTCGCTTCTCGCCCATTTCGAACCATAAGCATGTCGAGGATTGTATATTTTCGAAATAGGACGTCATTTTTTGGAGTTCTCGATAAAACGGTACGGAATTGAATTTCACGACTAGACAGCTAACCTAAATGAGAAGACATCAACTAAGAGTATCATCGTACAATCCAAACCAGGCATAAAGAAAGACTGCGATCTATGACAAATTATTTTTTAGATCACAAACTCTCTTTAACTTTGAGCGACTTGCCTGCTATGCCGATTATACAGTAATTAGAGCGCACTTGTTTTAATGAAATTTTAGACACATATTCTGAATTTTGCAATGTTCACCCCACAGACACTGATTCATGCCACGCAAGGGGAAAAACACCAGCGCCGACTACCCTTTCTCCTTCGCCGTACATAAATAAACGCAACTCGCAATCATCCGCCATATTCGTACCGTCTAAGGGGAAAGTTACTAGAGTTATTTACCCTTTCTTTGCATCTGCGTTTTTCTATTTACAAATATTATCTAGTAGATATTTTTCCGATTTCTATTTTTTTATTTCCGGTTAAGAGTTATCCGTCGGATACATACAACCTACCTTCCTACGGCCAATTAAAGATTTGGATGCCAAATATCTGTTTACGCGTTTTACGATTTTGGAGAAAAACAGATGCCAAGAATAACACGCATTACGAGCAATTGGAAGATTGTATAAAACAGAAAGGGATACATTTAGTAAGCCATATTACCCTGAAACAGAACAAATGCGTGTCTTCGATCATACATACGAAATTAGCCGTCAGAAGGATAAACGTTTTATTATTTGTCTCTTTACAACAGAAATAAGTTCATTGAATATACTTTGTTAAAAATGACTATAGACTTAGGATTCGTGGAAACGTGCGAATCGTGGCGATTGGAGAGTAGATTCTTTCCAAGTAAAGTTGGCGGTAAACCAGCATGGCTTAATTTAAAGGATGTTCCTGGAGAGAGAGATCTTCAGTGTGAATATTGTAAGGAACCCTGTACCTTTTTATGCCAAATTTACGCTCCATACGAAGATAATGAAACCGCTTTTCATAGAACTATATACGTTTTTATATGCAAGAAGTTGGAGTGTTGTAAAGTGAATAAAAACGGGAATTTAAAGGTCTTTCGATCTCAGTTACCAAGAGTAAATGAATTTTATCCATCTGAGCCGCCTATAGAAGAAAATGATTGGAGAAATGACATTAGTATATATCTTGAACAAAATTAACTGTTTGATCAAGTATGTATCCTAATGAAATATGTATATTAAATTAAATGGTTTCAGGCGTAAATCGATGGATAAAAACATGTCATGTTTGTGGAATATTAGCGCCTACTCATTGTTCCAAATGTAAACATATAAATTATTGTTGTCGCTCTCATCAAATTTATGATTGGAAATCTGGTCACAAGGAGTGTTGTGGCATTAATAAGGGCACAGCGAGAAATAGTTCACTTTTATTCCCTGAATATGAAATAATAATAGAACCAGAGGATGGAAAAGAAGACAATGATGCAAATATTTCTGAAGAAGATGAAGAAGAAATTAAAAAATATGAAACAATGGTAGAAAAAGGAGAAGCAGGAACTTTTCAAAACGAGGATGTTCAAACTGAATTATTAAGTTTGGCTAATCAAAACGAAGACGAAACATTTTTGGAATTTCGTTTAGCTACTGATAAATATCCTGATCAAATTTTAAGGTACAATTTATAAGTTAAATTAAAAATAACAAGTATCCTTAGTGTACAAGTTGTTAATTTTATGACCATAGATATAACAGAGGAGGAGAAATCTTATATATTTCGATAGAAAATAAAGTCAGTGAAATACCAAAATGTTCAGACTGCAATGGAGAAAGACAATTTGAATTTCAGGTAAAGTGACTGAACAGGTACAAACTTTATTTACCATTTGAACAAAATTGTGCATAAGTAATATAAGATTATTCATTATAGATCATGCCACAACTGTTAAACTTCCTCAATTTTGAAAATCCTCTTAAATGCATTGACTGGGGTATTTTAGCAGTATTTACATGTAAAACATCATGTGTACCTAAATATGGATACAGTACAGAATACATATGGAAACAAGATATCGTTGAAAATAATCTAGACAATGCGTCTTAGGAATATAATAACATACATTTAATTAGAACACTATATAATTGTACAGTAATATCAAAAATATTATAATATTTAGAAAAGTAAAGTATTCTAATTGTTCAAAATGAAATACATAATAGTTTTGGTAACAAGATTTCATTATTCATGATTAATCCTAAAATATACCCCTTAAAACAATTTGACTGCAAGTATAGTTGAAGCAAAGTATAAAAAAAATAAACAGTAATTTGAAGAAAAATATGTTGTTCCTCAAATTAAGTCAGTTACTAAAGTATTGTCATTAGTTCATAATTTAGCAATACTTGCTCGTTTTAAAAATATAGATTTTATAACAAAAATAAAAATTGGTAGCACAATGATTGTAAAAAAATATAAACTTTCTTAAAAAATTATTGAAACTTGTAGCAACATATTTAGTTATTAAAAATGTAATTGCGTTTCCTTACTGTATAATAATGCTGCTTAAAATATACTTATTACGTATAAAGTTCTTTGATGTTCGCTGTAAGAAACTTAATATATAGAAATATATTCTATAGATATCACAAATATTTAAGTTCTAATAATATTTATCATATCTTTTATAATTATTTTATATATTGTTTTTACGCATTTATCTGTAATACTTTCATGTAAGTACAAGTCAGTCATTTCAATCTAAAAGTCATAATATATATCCTGATAAATCTTTGATCCATTAAAATTAATTATTTAGTTTCTATATCAAATAAATCTTAATATGTAGGTATTATCTTTTTAAGAGTAGAAAAGTATACATTTAAATCTCATAATGAAATATACGGTATTACGTAAGTTAGTGCATTCTAGAAGACAATATTGTTGCACTATCTTGACAATATTGTTTAAAGCACTTCAAGGTAATACTTTTCACAGCCTTAGTTAGATTATGTGACAGATCAAATGGATCTTGCACACATAATGGAGAGTCAATGCGGAAGTATTCTGGTCTCCCAAATACCAATTTATTTTTGTAAGGTTTCATTTCTTTGGGTAATGTATATATTTTTGCAAATGCTTTTTTAGCCAGTAAGCAACCCATAAGTGGACAAATAATGTAATGTTGGTAGTCAAATTTTGCATAAAACTTAAAAAAACCCAGTAACAATGTTGGAATTGATTGCACAATTTCATTATTAGTCTTAGGTAGTGCAACCCCAGTTTCCCAACCTAAAAAAAATTTTTATTAAATTATTTTCGTTCAAACGAATTATATTAGTGCACAAAATGTCAGTTAAATGAAAAAAATGCAAACAGTTAATTTTTAAAAAATATATATGTACTTTATGCATTAAATGTAATATAATAATTTACCGCATATAAGTTGAGATTTATTTTGGTTTTTTATTAGTGTAGCAACACTTGGCAAATGTGACTCTGTTTGCAAATAAAATATAACTATCCAAGAAAGAGCATAATTTGATAACCCATGTCTTTCAGGTAAATTAAAAAGAGACAACCATTTTTTTAAAAATAATATCAGCTTTCTGCAGGGTGGAAATGCGTCATTGTACGATCTAGGAATTATAATTAATCATAAATACAATCTTCTATAATACAACATACTACTGATAAGATAGATTAAGATAAAGATGCAATACCGTATCAGTTTAGAATTCTCAACAGAAAGACCATTTGTGACAGAAATATCACAATCTACACCTACACGTTTATATATTAATTTTATTATAGGAGTTCTAGTTCCTTCCAGTATGTCCTTCACTTTCCATTCTTCCTTTTGTCCACATAAAATTTGTACAATACATGAAAGGTATTGAATGCTTAAGCTCTCAGAATTATTTGTATAGTATGTATTTTCTATTGAAATGTGTATGAATTTAAGTGAAGTTTAAAATAGCATAAATTTATTCTATATATTATAAAGTCATGTTTAAATATATATTTACCACAATCAATGTATACATCTATATCACTATTAGCAAATCCAAGTCCATTAACTCTTGAACCAAATAAAAATACTTTGATGGATGGAAAGTGTACTCTTAAGCTATTTTCTAACGATTGTTTCACTTCCTCCTGTATATTGTCATTTAATAAATCTTGTGTTTGTTGAAATAAAATATTAACAGTTTCATCAACTTGAGTTAACAGTTTCCTTATACATTGTGGAAGATCCTCAATCATAAAATCTTTACTTTTTGATAAATATTTGTGTATTATGTCATTACAATGCTCTGTATAAGAATTCCATTTACAGTACCATAAAGTGGCACATGGAATACAAAAATCAAACATATACAATTTTGATGATTGAATATGATTTATAACATGCCGTATAAATTCCATTTTATATTTAAAATTTGTTTCACACAAAATGCACGAGAATCTTTCAATACTGTAGCACAAATTACTAAGATTTTGCAATATGGACTCGAAAGTTGTATCTATAATTGTGCTGAACTTTGTATAATTTTGTTTATGTATGTCACTATTAATATGAATATCAATCATTATAGATTCATTTTTAAAGATGTTCCCACAAGGATAACATTTTATTAAATCCTCTGGCATTTCCTTTATATATTGTCTTGACAATTTTTTAGTATCCACATTTTCTTCGATTTTACTAACATTTTTAACATGTGATCGAAGACACACATGTTCATATAATAAATATATCTCTTTTGAAATACTTATATCACAAACTAAACAATAGAAATATTTTTCTGTGTGTGGCATAAGTAATTTGAACCTTGATTTTATTGCATTCATTTTTGTTTCATTTAAACTATACATTTCTTCTTCAATTTTTAAACAGCTGGTATCATACAGTGTATTTAAACGTTCTGGTAAGGATGTTTCTTTACATGTCTTTATGCTTTCTTCATTTCCCATCTTGTATATTTTTGAATATATTGGTGATTCATGAAGACACTTGGTAACTTGAGTATAGATATCGGTTGATAAAATCAATTTATCAATTGTTTCTGTATTTTGTGATATCTTATCTGTAATAGATATCTTACTAAATTGATTTGTTAATGGCATTGTATTGTCATTGATATTGGAATATGCCTTATTACAAAATTGTTTCGCTTTCCACATATGCATTCTTCCTTGGCAATGCTCTATTAAATTATGATTTGTATTTAATTTTGATCTGCAAAATGTACAGTTATAAAGAATCTTTATACCATTATCAAATTTAATATCTGATGTATCACAAGATATGAGGCACTTTTCAATCAAATTTGGAGACACACTTTCCACATTTGGAAGAAGAATGTTACAAAGCATAAAGTTGTTATTTTCTAAGACATTCTGATTATTGTGAAATGCATAGACAGATATTTTCTTCTTGATCGTTTTAATATCTTTCAAAGTACTTTTTAAATTGTTTAAATGTGTCTCTAGACGTAAATGTTTAATTAATATACGATTTCCTTGCATTATTGATTTACAACAAAGACATTTATATAAAATAATATCATCTCCCATATGCATAGAGAATATATTACATTTATGTGTGTCTGTATTAATATGCCCAAATAAATTACTTGCATCAATTTGTACATTACATAATTCACAACAATAGAAGCAATTCTGAAAATTAATATCATTCTCATTTTTCACTTGTATTTTGTTACAGTTACTATCAATATTATTATTTGTTAGATGTTCCTCTTCGTGTGTATTGTCTGTTAATAGCTTTGTATAATGTGTAATATTGTGAATGTTATTATTTAAGTTTTGATATTGGTTTGTATTAATATTTATTTCAAGGTCTAAGGAATTAGTAATTGATTTTTGATCTATTATATTCATTTTAGTATTTTCATGTGCACTCTCATCGCTTTCGTAAGTTGTTGAATTTACATGTTGACATTTCAACATATCGACATGAGACCTTCCTTTAATATGTAATAAAGTATCATGCAATGAAGGAAATTTACGTATGCAAAATTTACAGGAATAAGTATCAATATCACAACTTATAATACCATTACTTCTTAGTAATTTCCGATCATTCTCTTTTAATTTAGTTTTACATTTTTTATTAACGTTTAAATTTGATTGACACTTTAGTGCTTCTGTTTTTTTTGGTAATGTCACATTTGCTGTGGGCTGCAAACATAATGTTTGAACAGATTCTAATTCTTCTTTTTCAATGTCTATTTCAGAATCATAACATATCTGATGTATTATACTCTCCTTACTATCCTGTTTTCTACTTTGTCGTTTCAGTTCACGAACATGTTGTTTTCCTTCAACATGCGATAAAACATTATCTCGAGATGACAAAGGACAATTACATATTTTGCATATCAAAATGCCTGAATCCGTAATTACAATTTCGTTATCGCGAAATATTTGACATTCGTTTTGACTGTCTAGTTTGTTTACAGATAACAGAGATATATCTTGACTACTTTTATTGCACTCTGTATCCTGTTCCTTGTATATTATTACATTTGTGTCTTGTGATACTTGCACAGTCTTGTTCTCTTTTTTAAGCCAGTTTAAAAAGTCTATCTTTGCATTTTCTTTGGAGTTACTATGTATATCATATATATTTTCAGTTTCACTTAACGTTGCAACATTATGTTTTTTTGCTTCGATATGTGATAAAATATCACTTGGAACTAAATTACAATGCCAACAAACTAAACACATTAATTGATGATATTCGATTACTACAATTCCATTATTAACCAAAATTTCATAGTCTTCACTTAAGTAATTATGAAATATTTTTACAACCATAAGAGGTACGCATTTATCATGTCCTTTAATTATATATGTATCTTCTAGCATTGCATGTTCTATCTGTGATACTTTTATACGTTTTAACCTCATTTTGGATTTAATAGATATAATATGTATTGCATCTTTTTTTTCATTATATAAGTTTATATAATCATTTCTTAATTTATTAATATGACATTCGCTTTGAATATGACTGGATACATCGCTTACAGTTTTATAAAATTCTTGACAGGGTAAGCACATCAAAATATTTCGTGCAACTATTGCTACCTGATTATTTGCAAGTTTTTGATATTCTTTTTCTGTACATTTTTCTAATATAGTAATTATGCGATCATTTTTAAATGTTTGATGTCTTTTTCCTTTAATGTGTTGTGAAACATCTGCAAGACTTGATTGCACAGTCTTACACAAATGACAGAAAAATTTCCCATTGCAACTAGTTATATTATGTTCTAACAATTTTTTAAACATTTCTACTTCATTTAATATAAGATCATTCATACCATTCAAGCACACAATTTTTAATTTTTTCAATAAGTATTACAGGTCACATTCACAATTTTTTGCACAATTCTACGAATTCTTTCACGTGTTCATACTACACACAGCCTACAACTTTCTGTTTATCACTTGTGTCCTCCTGAAATACTATTTCTCAAATTCTTAATGTAATTTTCAGAATTGCCAATGTTGTTTTAAAAATAATATTTGTTTAATAACAGTATAATTAACATAATTTAAATAGTAAGTTTTATTCGAAAGTTAAATCTAAGACAAAAGGCAAAGATTCTGTACAATAATAATGATAATAATAAAAATGTAAAAATTCTACATGATTTTATGCGCAATACATATACATATATTTCTTAAATTTAAATTACATTTTATGTGTCGCTTAAACAACAAAGATTGATTAAGTAACAGAAAGCAATGTTAATTAAATGTATAACTATATTAGTAGAATTCGGGAAAGCACATACCTTTAATGGAATAACAGTGATTCCCAATTGGTAGAATGTGGCATTTAGTGTGTACCTTCATCAGTGTTACCAACGGGTAAACTAGACATAGAGGAAACTGTCACGTATACGAATAATTGTTGTGGTTGCATGCACTGCTTTTTTTTATCGGTTTACACTGGAATTCGAATTTAGCACTCATTGAAATTACGGCTATAATTACGACATAATCTATCCTATACCCGGTCTGTAACAATACTCTAGAATTTTTTAATCTAATTAATTAATTAAAAGATTAGATTAAAAGATAGATTAAACTAAACTAATCTAGTGAATAAGCTCTATATTTATGATAACCTATGCATGGCGGATCGCAGCCAATTTGCCCATATTATTTAGTTTTTAAAAATCTTATTTAACTTTGAATCGATAATATTGGATTTAGTCCTAACCCTCCCATAGTTAACTCACACGTCTTTATACCTCCGAATTTTCAGATCGGTATGGCAGTCATATCGAGCCACGAAAGTCCATAAGGTGTAAGGTCTACTCGTATACCTCGTCTGTGGTTCAAGTTTTAATTTTCAAAATTATGCGTTATATGAATTGAATATTAAAATATTATACTACGATACTTGACACAAAAATAAAACATTTCATAATAATTATGAGTTTAAATTGTTCCCTCGAATGCCCGATTTAATATATTCATCAAGTATAATAATGAATGTTATAATTCTGGTTTGCGTATCCGTGAAGTATTTTAAAATCGGATTTCAATGCTGTGTACCTTTATTGTTTTATACGTGTATAAATATTTATGTATACGAACGATAATTATCGAATAAAATTTCAGAAATTTTGAATACAAAAATGCATAATATATATATACATATTAATCGAAAAATACGGTTTCGATTCGAGTGTACTGATTAACGTAGTTCAATTGACTGCCTTCACACGGAAGTGATAGGAATTGCGATTGGTAGGGTAGCGTTATTTTATTACGTGTCATGTATAACACAAATCTGCTTTTCCTGATTGCTTGAAAATTTCAAGTCGGGCTCCTGAAGTGCTTCGATATTTATTTATTTTAATCGTTAAAGGTATTAAAAATTTATGTTCCCAATTATTTGCAGCGAATCATGCAAGTTAGTCACTTTCATATATCTGAAAGTGCGTGTATTTAGTGGTGTTTAAACTGTCATAAACATATGTATCGTAAATTTGTTTGATATATTTTTACAATCGGTAATTTACTAAGTTAGCTGGGAAATATGATTAAAGTAACAATATTTTCCATGTCAAAGTAAAAAGTAACATTCACAATGGTACATTAGTAACACTTTTAAGATCTAGTAAGTTAGAAACACCAATTGTTTTATTTCATAGTGTCTTTGAAGGAATAATTATCTCTAATATTCTTGTATAATTTTGCACTCTATAGTAATATTTAAAATTGATTTTTTAGAAGGAAACTGGTATTCCTAACTTGTGTTTTCTTTTTAAACTATGCTTAAGTTTAATACAATAACACATATTATAACCATATCTTTTTACTTGTAGCAAGAAGATGCGTCAATTGAAGGGAAAGACGAAAGAAACAAACAAACAGAAGAAGGAGAGAAAAAAAGAATTTCTAGAGAACAAACAACGCGTCTTTACAATCGTATTACCTACAATTGCTGCAATATTTGTTGTAATAGCAGCATATGTTTATGTTAAGACCCGTCCAAAAGTTGTTGAGTATTAATTAGCATTTTCATCATCATCGATCATTAAAACATGATACACAGTGTATTTTGAGAATGCCCAGACAGTTCCTTGATACATTTGTACAATCACATTAGAATTGTTTAAATAAGTGGGCAAATTTAAATGCTTACTGATAAAGTATTTCATTCCTGTCACTCAATAATCAAATGTATAAATTATATATTAATTGTATACCTTTTGAAAAATATTTTTCATGCAAAAACGTTATGTAATATCAGAGCATAAATATCAATTAAGGGAATATCAATAAGAAGGTTTTATTACACAGAGAAAAAGTTGGGGTACTCGTATTATTATTGTAAAATTTGTCTATACAAAGGTAGTTATTTTTTAAACATATATATTCCATTATAATCTATTGCATTTTTTCAAGTGCAATTCTACAAAATAACAATTAACTTTGTTGGGGAATCATTCCAATATTAAACATGATTCCAAGTATATTGTTGTATTTTTTAGTATATCCAATACATGCTTTTTCCAGAAAAATTGGAAAATGTAGTTAAATAAAACGCTTGTAATTATATAATTTTTTAAGATAAACTAAACAACATTGTTTTATAAAGTATTTACAAAATAAATATGAATATAATATAACTTTAATACATTTTAATTACTTTTGTAATATATTCTTTCATGTCTGCACTCTGCCTTTTCCTTTATTACAAATTGTTAGTAGGTTTTTATTTTACATAATATATCAAGTTATTTTTTGCTATTTTTTTTATCGTGCAACAAGTCAATTATTACGAAACTTTTATTATATTGCGGGTAGTGTTTTCAAGAAAATATAATTATGAATTATAATAATTTTAATTTACTCAGCAAACTACAAACATGTCATTTAAGATTACAAAAAATTGGGAACCACTGACAATGAGATAGATACATACACCAATAGGAACTTACCACGTATTACATGGATACACGTGTATTGAACTTTCGGCTTCTATTTTTCCGCAAATTAAACGTTTTATATTGTTTAAAAAATGAGAGAAAACTTAGTTTACTTCCCAGTTGTTGCTTTCACAATATTTCTACTTTGGACAAGTTCTGCAAAAGGTAAATTGATATTTTTACTATTAATTATACATGAAACGTCAAAGTTGATAATTGGGTATTTTTAAATATTGTCAATTCTCCAAGTACATCGGATTTATTATTGTATTTCGTGTTTTACAAAATTTATCATATTTGACTATTATAAAATATTATAACTTTATATTAACCTCTTCTGGTAAACAGTTAATTGCAAATTTATAGTAAATTAAATTTTTGTTGTATATTGAAATTTTACTAAATATTATCTACTTTAAAATGCTTTGACAGTTAATATAATATTATATTAATGCTACCAAAAATTTTCTTTATGAAATTCAGAAACAAAAGATTATACTTATATGTGTTATATAAATGTTATTTATTATTCTTTTGCAGCTAAAGGAACACAATATGTGACATGCGGTTCTATGTTAAAACTAATGAATGTAGACTACAAAGTCAGATTACATTCTCATGATGTAATGTATTTAGATGGCAGTCGTCAACAATCGGTAACGGGTACACCTACAAAGGAAGATGGAAATTCTTATTGGCTTGTTAAAGCTGGAACAAAGAAACAATGTAATAGAGGGTATGCACCTTATGATGATGTATTAAATATTTTATGTTTCTTATAATATTCACTTGTACTATCGAGCAAAATTAATGTATAATAGAATGCCGATCAAATGTGGAGATATCATAAGGTTAGAGCACATAACAACCAAAAAGAATCTTCATTCTCACCGGGTTAGTTCACCTCTTAGTGGTAAACAAGAAATATCTGCTTACGGTGATGGTAAGGGAGAAGGCGATAATGGAGACAATTGGCTTCTAATATGTAGTACTGATGTTTGGAAACGAGATGAAGCAATTGTATTAAAACATATAGATACAGACACGTAAGTTATTTACTGTTTTCCAAATGTTAAAATTTGTATTTTAATCGTATTAAGATGCAAGAAACATACAGTTTAAATACTTAAAAGTGTCTTCATTATAGATATTTAGCAGTAACTGAAAAAGTTTATGGTAATCCAATTAATGGACAAAGCGAAGTAGTGGGCGAATATTCTCTTAATAGTCCGCATGTTGAATGGGCAACAGCCGAAGGAGTATTTATTCATCCTAATGACTTTAAAGCCCAACATCATGCACATACAGAATTGTAAAATGAATTCCTTAGACACAGAATTTTGTATGGCAAATTACATTAAAACTATTTTGATTGTACATTACTAAGAATAGAAATTCATGTCAATTTGTTTTCAAATTTTATTGTAAATCAGATTGCAGATATGCATTTTTATGTGATCTGTTGTTCGAACACTAAATACATGCAAATTAATTTAATACGTCAGAACTGAATAGGAAAATGACTTTTCTATTACAATAATCTGTAAGAACAATTTTAGAAAGCCAAATACAGTTATTTATTATTTTTATGTGTTAGATAAAAGCCAAGTGAAACTGTTGTTTCATAATATAACATATATTTATAGATGTCTTTGAAGTCGTTCTGAAAATTTATATGAAGAGTGCAGTGCAATATGATTTTATTTATGCAAACGTATTAAATACATGCGGTATTTATTACAATATACTACAGTTTGCAGTAATTGGAAAATGTGTAGTTAGTTTCTTATGCATAATTTTTATACATAACATTGTATATACACGTATGTCTTGTATATTTAATTTAGTAATTTATGTTTGTCATTATTATATAAGTAAAGTTCTTCCGTTTCCATTTTTTATCATTTCTACACGTACAAGTTCTAGAAACACATTTATACGTGTTTTAATTCATACTCTCCGTTGAGATCTCTAGTTCCTATGAGACCATTGTATGGAAAAATAATGTTTGAAAAACCATAACTACCAAAAATTTCTCTTAAACTTTGTTTTCCTGATATGTTTGCATACCGTTGTTTACCTGTAATACAACTGTGCAATTTCCAAGTTCCAAATACCAAGCACATACATAAAATAGTAACTAATATATCAAACATTGTTACTAGTAGTATGTAAGTAGGTTCTCTAGAATGAAATAATTTGATAAGAGCAATAGGAAAGCAAAAGTTTAAAAATATGTTAAAAGAGTCTACATCGGTTCTTATTACACGATTAATATATTCATATAAGTAAGGCCCAAGAATGCATAATGAATATATACATGTCAATGATGTATAAAAACAAAATAAAATAAAATTGCCTATATTTTGTCGTAGTATGCAAGCACCTAAGAAAAAACAATGATGATCTCTAAAATGAAAACACTTTTTACAATAAATGCAATGGTGTGCTGGTTTGCATGTATAATTTATACACTTTCCGCAGTACCAATATTTATATTCTGCATTATTTTCTACCTTATTATATAATCCTCTTTTCGCCATTTCTGTAATTTCCATAGTTGTTGCCTTACAACTTATACTGTATACCGAATACCAATTTAAATATACTTGAATACAAAAAAATATGAAAACTGGAGTTATCTTTTCATTAATATATGTTGTTAAAACGATATCGACCAAGGTATACAGCAGAGCAACGAATGGACAAAACCTTAAAATAGTTTGAGGAAATACTCTCATATTTTATATTTACAATAGCTTAATTATATTAAACATGCATTTAAATTATCTTTGAACGTAAATGTTTGCTTCTCATTTTATTTTTAATATTAATCCATAACAATTATTTCGATACATTGGCCGTTTCTCCTGCAAAACAGAAAACACCTATGCGAATTCACTTATGATTAAATTTAATAATTGTAGGTACACTAACCCTCTCTATTTTTATAGATTGTCCAATTGTAATTGTTCATTTACTATCCAGGATATTTAAAGATATATATTTTTAACTTTTATGCTATTTTATCCCTTATGTTTAATTGTTAATCAAAATTAGATAATTTTTTAAACGTCCCAAATTTTATATGGATTTGTGTAATGCGTGAATTAACGAACAATAATAACTTTATATATATATGTCAATTCATTTTGTAAGAAATATAAAATGATGAGTGTTTATCGGAAAAGTTGTATTAAAAGAATACCCACATCGACGACGACACTAGTAACGACGAACTTCCTCAGCGTTTACGCGTGCTCTCCATTATCAACGACTCCGAGATACGCACGAGCAAATATTCACCGATCTAACCTCAAATAAACGATTAGGACAAGAATATCTTTTTCACAGCGTACCAGACGCTTTGTTTAAATTTTCCTGAACGTGTATTCGCGTACGCGACCCGAACTTCACCGAACAAGTTCTGGTTCCTTTGAACATGAACATGAGCAAAATCTATTTCACATGTATTGAGTATAAATGCAATCAGGTATTTATACTCAATCGTATTAATAATATACATATGTATACATTATATATATATATACTTAATAATAAACTCTGTAAGATTATCCGTGACGTTTGTTTCATATCATCGAGAAAACATGATTCATAAATAATTATTATCGATAGCTGTTTGATTTATTTTGCTATAAAAACAATGACTTTTATTATATGTATTCGTTTACATAAAACTACATTATTATGAAAAAACAGCAGATCTAATATAATAAATACAATAAAATTTTCGTGTAAAAATTTGTTTGTTCAACACTTAAACATTCTACACGAGATTCTAAAGTATATTTCGACATAACAATTGTGATACAAAATCAAGATTAAATTATATATAAACATTTCAAAGATAAGAAGAATCTCAGTAGTAAAAAGTTTAATAACAATCACGGCATTTTGGTCGCCAGATTTTTTTAAATTCTCGTATAAAATTTTTAAAATGAGTATTATATATCAACTAGATTTCTTTTTGTCGATACATTTTGTACATATTTATGCATTTAAAATTTTATACACAATTTTTATTATGCTTGAAGTTTGTACATTTTTTTTTTAACAGAAAATTGAACTTGGAACTTTAACTTTAAATGTTTATGAATATATAATACTTAGTAATCATGTTCATAAACATTTAAACATACATACGCCTATTTTACAAAATTGTTTCTCTTCTTTATTTTTTTCTTGCTAAAAAAACATAACTTATCTAAACTAAAAAATTCAACAAATATCATTAATAAATAATGCTTTTTTATAAAAAATTTGATAAGATATCGACAATTATTTACATTTATTTTATGCAATTAGTTTCATAATCTTTTCTGTTATATATACATTTAATCTTCTCTGTTCAATTAAATGTAAAATTATTATTTTTTTTTTAAATTGTGCATCGCTAATTCACGTGTACCCGTTTTATACGTTACTAAGGATCGAAGGTAGGTTCTGCTTAGAATAAATACTATCATATGTTTATAGTATAATCTATAAAATTGCACCATTTCCTAAAGATAATCCGTGCTATACTTATAAAACTATATAAACATACTGTAGGATGATTTGTATAAGTTATCAAAATATACTACTATACTCAAACTATGCTTGTACAAATAGTGATTTTCCAAACAGTGTAAACAATAAATTTCTGAAACCCTCGATTTAATCTGATGCGTAGGCCATTTGAATACACGGTTTATTTCTGCTTTAACAACTATGTTTTTCTTCTAATTAGTTTTCAATGATGACTTTCATAACTTCACGAAAGTTCACCAATAGGTGCATTTTGTAGCCACAAATCGTGTATGAAATTATACAAATCGTCACTGACAGCCACCTGTGCAAATGTTTTTTTTATTGGCAACATTCTAATTCTAAAGAAAGATACGTAGAGTCTTACATTCACTACTTCCTTTTTTAAATTATGTAAAAACATACCTTGTATGGTGTAGGATTAAAATTTCTTTTGTGATCATTCCTAAGTGTCTTTAAAGACTCCTGAACTCTATTTCGTATTTCATGCAACGTAGGTAACGGTTGACATAATTTACCGTTTTTCCAATATACCTATGAATTATTGTAATTTAACTATTTATATTATTTAAGATTACTGGAATTTGTAGATAAGCGTCGCCAACTTCAGAGATCGTAACTTCATTTTACCTTATGTAATGACTCTACTCGCGTTGGAATAACGTAAGCTCTCTTTGACTCTTGAAATGGATGTCTACAAAGAACCTTTTGTTTTACTTGTGGAACTTCCTCTGTGGATTTTTGTAAGAGATCAATTAAAGCATATCCATCTGCACCATATAATCTGAATGAATCTTTCTTTCCTGGTATTGTTACTTTACCAACTTCCTGACTGAGTTTAATTCTGGGTTGACCATTAATTTCAACCATCTTAAAAACACAGCCTAACGCTGGTTGCCTTTGGCATGTCACCAAATGCGTTCCAATTCCAAAACAATCAATCTTATGGCTCTATATAAACAATGTCTTTCATAGGAATTACAAATTTATCATAAAATGAATTTGCATTAATTTGTCAGATACGTATTTACCTGTTCGTTTAAACTTAGAATAGTTTCCTCGTTAATGTCATTTGATGCACAAATCATTAATTTTGCAAACCAAGGTATGTTATATTTGGCAGCAATTCTTTCAAAAATGTCCCTTGCAGCATTACTTAAGTACGCCAAATCGCCGCTATCAATTCTTATACCAATTGATTTATAACCCAAATCATTTAAAGCTAATGCCACTGCACAGAAGTTTAGAAGACCACTCCTGAGTACAAAATTTTGTTGCTATTATTGATTAAAAGTGCATTTATTTATATTTTACTGTAGAAGTGCTGTATTAGGTATGTTATATTCTACAGTTCCAGCTACATGAAAGGTATAGACACATTGTAACAATTCTATATAAATAAAAATGTCATTTGAGTAATATTAAAATCCACTAAAGATATTAATACTGTATATTAAGTATGAGTATGAGACATGCACTATTATTGATTAAGCGAAAACGCATGAGGTCCTTCATGGTTCAATATGTGTATCACAAGTAATTTTGTAATAGAACATGCAAACTAACAGTTTCAAAACTTTGCAGATTATGAAGATTATGAGTTTCTTTTAACAAAGTTTAAACTTTGCATTATTTTATCAACATTTTTTTTAATTACAAGGCATGTTTATCATGTCTTTTTTAATATCAAATATAACAAATTATTGATTTAAATGGCTGAATTGGGAAGGGTACTATATAAGGTCGTACATTTATGACAAAGACACTATAAACTTGCAAAACTTTTATCAAAATTAATTACTGTTGCCTTATTCCTTTAATTCTATTTTATGATGTAAAAATGACACTGTAAAATATAGATTTGCCCGCTTTACAGAATTATATTTAAGATATACTTATTTGAATTGACCATTATTTTATAATTTAAAAAAATTAAAATTATTGATAAAAATTATAAGTAAACATAGCATGTTTAAATCCAATGAAACACACAAACATTAAATTGAACATAAAATACTAGCAACATATATTTATTATTCATAAAAGTAATGTAATTATTAATATATATTTTGTAGATTAAAAAAAATGATGATTTATCCTGCAAAGCAGACGGGATAATATCGTACCTCACATAGAGCTCACCCAATTCGCCTCGTCTTAAAAAGCCATTCTTGTGATGTGAAGTCGATTCTGATATAATTGGATTGTTTTTAACACCATTTTGGGCATGTGTATTGGACCCATTTGTTAGACGTTTATTCTTTACATTTAGGCTGGCTATACGTGCCTGTCTCTTGGCCGAGGCTTCGATACTATAAACACACTCCTGTTAGGCTACAGTGTGTATATGTTTCATCATGCCTGCTTTGTGAATATGTAATTATAATTACTAATGCATGTATCAAATTCATTAAATGTATTTTTCGTTAAAAGTGAAGTTACTGATGAAATATCCATAGTATTTAGTAATTTATTTACATTAATTAATGTTTCATCTCATAATCAAATGTATATGTTCCCATATTCAAGACAACATGTAACACTATTTGATACAAGTATACACTTTTCATCCATGACGTATTTCACTAAATTTTTTATGCTATGGAATAAATTACATATAATTATGCTTGAATCTACATATTGAACAGTTACAATATGAATTATACACATAGATTGTGTTCAAGATTCTATGACAAATACTTCAAAGCAGTAAATTTTCTAATTCAAAACTAACTATAAAAAACAGTTGACTGACCTCCATAGCAGCGTTTCTCAACCTATGGGTCCGTGACCAAATAGTGAACCACGTTAAGTTTTTAATGGTCCGCGAAGTAATAGTTGCTTGAAAAGACTCAATAATTGTAGTCTGTTACAAACAGACTTGAAATTCGTTTGAACCGCTCTTTATAGTAAATGATATTCTTTATGTACATCATATGATTCAAATGTAAGACGCCCACTTTAAATCTTGACTTAAATCGACTTAAATTGACTTTTATTTAAAGTGGGCTGTGGTAGACAAAAGGTTAAGAAATGCTGCTTTATAGAACTGGCTTCATTAAAAAGATTTCCCTTTCAATGAAATCTTTCAAATATTGTACTTCAAAACATTCGTATTTTTCTACTACTAATATTCATGCATATTAAACTACAATAAACATTAATATTTTAAGAAAAATATATTGTTAAATAGATTTTATATGTTTTAAGTTTGCAATTAGCCAAAGATTTTACAAATAAAATGATACTAAATTTAGTATGTTGCTCTATATATTAATATACACAATCTAGAAACATGGCAGTGCACATTTAAATATAATTCTGAATCTATACATGCAGATAGTCAAACATAGATGCATATCTAATGTTAGAAAGATAGATCGCCTGTATATAAAATGAAATCAACATATAATATCTACTCATATGTACTAAACAATACGAAAAAAAGACTTGCTAAACAATTTCAAAGAGAAGAAAAGTGTGACAAATAAAATATAAATTATTATTTATATTAAAATATAAACATAAATTAATAATGTCATACCTTTTCACATCGTATGTGTCTACAAGAGCGACAAATCGTTGCGGGAAAGCAATAGCATAACTAATCAAAGCAGCTAATTCTCCACTAGAAGCCTCAGAAACTAGTGTCCCTACATCAGCAGCAATGGAATCCCGATGTTTGTAAGCTAACTCTAGAAGATCATAAACCTCTCCAGTTTCTTTATGCGCCAATGTCTAAAAAAACACGAAATATTAATATAAAACGTATAGTTGCTTAATAAAATTATTTAAATTATAAAACTTACTTTTTCCTGTAGATCATCGAAGCCAGTGAAGGATGTGATGTATGCATGTGCGTGAGTTCCGCTTACGGGAATATTATAAAGCTTCCCGGCTAATACATTACTAGTACCATCAAAACCACCTAAAAAAATATTAATTCGTTAAATATGCAAACAAAATTAATGAAAATAAATATCAGGACAATTTGTGTCAAAACATGGGCATTTCTACATTTATATCGATGTCTAAAATAAACTGGAAGGAAACGAAGGTAGAAAAAATATTTACCAATATAACTATACTTAGATGCACTCAATCCACCATCAGGACCCTGAGCTCTTCGAAGGCCAAATTCTAACAATGTTATATTCTTCCCTGCAACCATCCGGTATCTGGCTGCATTAGTTGCCATTAAACTTGCATAGTTAACTAAGGTTAACAGTGTTGTTTCCAAAAGCTGTACCATTATTAATGGGCCTTCTACTCTTAGTAATGGTATTCTGCATAACATATTAATTTGCATTGAAATTTTAACTTATTAAAGTTTGATGTTTCATCAAATATGTAATGTCGACAAGCATTTGAATATTAACTCTAGCTGCTGTCTTATGAGCAAGAAAAAATACCTTAAACAATGACAATGATGACAGTGATTAACATAATTGAATAATATTTGCACGATGCATGCAAGTTTAATAGACTGTTTACTAACCTTGGAAAAACAACAGAACCCTCTTCTATGGCATATATTGTAACATCTTTCGGGGTAAGGTCTTTTAAGTACTCAAAGAATCTTTGGTCGACCGATAATGGCATTGTTGATTTCAAATATTTGATATCTGTAGAATTAACATATAATGCATATTTTATGCAATGTATAAAAGTTGTTATATTAATTTAAAAGCTGTTTATACACAAAGTATTTAAAAATACATATATACATACCACTAGAAGAATATCGAAATTTTTCTAAGAATTTAATACACTCTTCCAAACCAGCAAAGATTGTAAATTCTCCTTGGAAAGGATTTTTACGAAAATATAAATCGAATACAGCCCGATCATTCATTTTTCCACTTTTCCAATACGCATATGCCATTGTAATTTGATATAAATCTGAAATCATGTCATATACATTTAAAGAATGATGTAAATATATCTTAATGACATAAATAATGTAAGTAATAGGTATAACATTTCTATTGTATTTAATTTTACAATATTTTATACTTTTATTTCAATGATATTTCACAAATAGTAGTGATTACACTACAAAGTTACATAATTTAAGATGACCATACAAGATATAAAAACATACAGCATGGTTAATTGAAAATGACAACACATTAATGTTTTCTAAATTGTTGACATTCAACTTCTGAATGAATCGAATCATCGTTATTACACTTTCATAAACAATATTGTGATCTTCTCTTCATATACATTGGTATGTATATCTAACAACTGGTATCGCTTAAAAGGAGTAAATAACGTAACAAATATGTTGTACGCGTTGAGGAAAACGAGAAAATATATGATAACATTGTATCAAAACTGTCGCGGATAGTTCACGTGTTTTATATTTCGGAACACCACGTGTTACATCATTATAATAATATATATCAGCAGAGTAAACCATGAGATAAAATAGAACCGCATATTTTGAGGTTACTTTTTTAACTCCCATATCGCGATGTAATCATTTCGAATACACACACCCATTAGAAATACCTGTCAGGAGCGGTTGCACGACGCAGTTTTGCCGCGAATGACACCACAATTTATCTTCGTCATCTGACATTTTTCGTATTATTTTGAAGACACGGTTAAAAAAAAAGTAAAATAAAATAAAAAGGCGGTATATTCCTTTTTTAACGGCAACAAACGCTACGCCAGTTACTGGACGACAATCAGTCAAGTACCGTTACCGACGAACTAGCATGTTTCGACGGCGAACATCGTATTATACGCCTGGTCACTCTGTATGTACACTATTAGAATCGATAGGAACGTTTGAAGGACGTTACGAACGACGCGACCTGTTATTCCGCCATTTCCACCAATAAAGGCCCCCTCTTAAAAAATAACTAGGAATCGAGTTATCTATGTATTTCGTTCAACCACGTGAATGCGCAGGAAGTATTACGATTTTTCGCTGCGCCGATTTAATTTTTTTCCATTTCTTCCGTCATTTCCTCTTTTTTGTTCACGTTGAATCTAACTTCACTTTGTCGCCGCTTTGTACATTCCTTTTTTAAAAGAAATAAAATTGTTAATCTATTGTTTTTCCATTACTACTTTATATTCTGTAGTTTTAAATACGATCTTCATTTTTTTTCCTAGTTAATCGGTATAAAAAGATAGGGGGGACTGTATTTAAAAAGGGTATTCGTACGCTGAATGCCCTACTAATTAGTATTTATACTTTATTTATAAGATGCTTATCAATATTTATAAGAATGGTAAATTTATCGAAAACTCATAAAAGATTAATAAGAATATATGCATTTATAAATCGCTTGGAATTTAATACATAAATAATTTAAATTGTAAATTTCTTGAAAATTTCTAGGTAATTTTCAAAGTATTTGAATTGATAGAACGAACGAATATAAAATTTAAGAGAATTTCGGTATTATCACAAAATGCAGTATGTCATTTGTCACGTGTTACTTGTTCTAAGTGTTGAATACATACATTTTTAATATTTTAAATGAATTTTAATTACATCGTACGTGTCGTTCCCTATAGTTATTATTCTACACATTTATTGCTAGAATTAATTCACTATTTTTCTTGCAATGACGGTAACGACGGTAACAACTGTATCATCGGTTATATCACTGTTTTAATTATCGTGATCGTTGTTACGTTATGAAATTAGAAACGAAAACAAATACGATTTCTTTTTCGTGCCTCAACAACATTATTAGTATATTATTCGGTATCGCGATCCTGCTTTATTAATTGCACAATTGTAACCTTTGGTCCAGACAAACGATTAACACTTCTAAGTTTACTGGTTAGTTTAGATAAGATTTGGGACCAAATTCAATATAATTTTGAGATAAACGACTCGGAGAGACGACAGATAAAATTTCATTTTAATAAACTATGAATAAAACCGAGGAATGGTCTCAGGTATCGCGACTGTTTGTATTGTTATTTTGATAAGTTTCTGTTTAAATAATTATTAGAAAAATATGCTCGTTATATACGATCCCCGGAGTTCATTCGAAAAAAAAAAAACATAGTTGTATCTGTAAAGACCGGTATTTTTCCATGATCGAGTTGCATCAAACGGTGCCGCATAACAGAAAGTATAATTATAGTGCAAGAAAATCGTGTAGCGATCGGAGGATCCTTCGATTAAACACGTATTGTTAGGGGCAACATGTTTGTATATGATGACCTTGCGGTAATGATACGGCATTGCAGTTCTTCCTCCTTCGGCGCGCGAAACTTTTGAAACATAGAAAATTAATGTTATAAGTTTGAAACAGAATCACGTGCCGTTACACGTATGATGCAACGTCGAAGTTGAACTCCTTCCGTGCCCATCAATTGCATTACTCGAATTGCCGGTTGTGTAACGCCTCGCGTTTCGCGATTTCTATAAAGTTCGACTGATGTTTTAACGATGAATTTTTTTCCAAGTTGCGCTCGAGGTATCGCGTACGGAATGCGAATCGCGAGTTTAACAAATTCGCGAAACGCGCAGAACGGAGAGAGATTTATGTAGGTCTTCGATAAATTAAACAGAGCCGTGTAAGTACGCGTCTCTCGGATAGGGCAATTACGATCGACGCTCGTCTTTCGAACGATAACGTCGAGATAACGTCCCGAGGAAGCTCACACAATCGTAAAAATGAAGGCGTCGCGGTATCTTTGTTTAGGTCGTTTACTGGAACGCATTTCATAACAGTAATCTCCCGTTCTTGCGTTAGATTTTACGCAGAACTCCTCCGCGCGGTACACGATAAACGTTTAATCATTGAACTTGAACGTATCGCATGCTCGATTTTTAAAGCGTCTTGCACTTTAATATTTGATATCCAGACGTTGGAATATTGAATGAATTTCAAACGTCAGAATCGGAGATTAATTTCATAATGCAATAGAGACGCGTGACCGCAAACGTATGTACTGTGTTTCTCTTATCGGCACGAACATGCACAATTTGAGATCATCGCTTGTAACAGATATTACAGTCGATCGTGTTTCCTTTGCGGAATCGCGCGTAAAAGTTCTGGTTACGGCTCAATAATCATAATTAGAGGTAGTGTAAATTGTCCGCCGAGGTCATCGAGACGCTTTCGTGCTTCGTGCGATTCACGGTCGATGATCTTGACGAGCCAATCTACCTATCATGACAAATCGTATCGAAACGGTTATTTTAAGGTTTCAAGAATTAGAGCGGACGATCGCAGTTCGTTTGAACCATCTAATTTCTCCCGACTAAACTTCGGCAACAGAGAAAAGGAGTTAAATGCATTCTATTCTGAGCGCTGACTCAAGAAACCACGGTGACGTCAATTGTTCTGGCTCTTTCGTTTCTTTCTATAGATACATATACGACGTTTCTTTTTTCTTAAGTTCTGCTCGCAATGTGAAAGGTGAAATGAGTTCTGATATTTTTCCGGCGTCGCGTGACTTATTGCTTTTGATTATAAATAACCGATTTTCAGACCAAAACGCAATAGGCAGGTTTTTGTTTAACAAACAGAACTAGAAATTCATCGAACTGTTCAACACGTTGACGATGGAATATTAAACTTTTCTATTACACGCATAGTGTTGGCGTCATTAAAGCTTTCCACAGTTTTATATCGAAAAATCACACGTCGTATTTTTCATCTTTCTAATTAGTTGTTTGCAGTAAAATGTTATTTTTTTTTAATTCAGCGCCTCGCGTAGTATGGACCTATTTCAGGATAGCTCTTTTGAGACGAGTGTGTACAGTAGTTTAGTTTATTTAAAAGAAACAGGGCCGACGCTAGGATTACCAACGTCTCGATGCAACTTCCAATTTAGACGCTCCGTCTAACTCGTCCTAAAAATCAAAAGTAAACAAGACTTAATATTTTAATTTCAAAGTAATGTGTATTGAACAAGATATAATAGTAATTTGTTACATAACAATATCATTGCGCAAATTACCGTCAAAATTTGTTCTCCTTACTCTAAACTAGAATACTTTAATCGTTAATAATTTTATCAATCTCTACTTTTTCAACTTGTATGAAAAGCTACGCTCAGACACGAGAATCGTGTTTTCTTTATTAATTTAAAAACAATTTTCTTTTTTCTCTTTCTTGTTACAGAGCCCCTACCAAGATACGTCCCGGTGCATCGTTTACTTTCGCGTAAAGCCGGTCCTGGAAACAAAAAATCATCACTTATTCGTTCGAAGTATAATGCTCGAGCAGCGAGATTTTTCAACGCTGAACGCGAGAAGCCCTGAATCGATCAATAGAAAAGTTTGTTGGAAACATTCAACTAATCTCTCTTTTTTTTTTAACACGAGAATTAAAGAACAAATCATTAACATCAATCATAACTGAAAATAATGTTTGTTTGCGCATAGAGTGTTGATCTCCAATGAAAAATTCAATGCGGAAGATTATAAACAGTAACATTGACGTTCGAAGATAATTAAGTTTAGATAAAACGTTTCTCGTTGGTTTATGAACTTTTTAATCGCGACACGCGTATTTGTAATAAATAAGAAATAACGATTAACGATGATCGCTTTTCAAGGACAACGATTGACGATAAAAGTCAATATCAAGGCCAACTTTTTATACAATTACTTTTATTAAGTGTCACAACTGATATTATCGATAACTCGTATCTCGATTCTACAAGTAATTATCCAGTATTTATCTGCCGAAATACACTACGTTAGTTCACTGCGTTACTGGCACTTCTGAGATATTGTTAATCACTAGTTTTAAATACTAGCCGCCTTCGGTGTGTGGACGTTAGAAAAATACTCAATTTTTGACTCCCTGCAGCAAGAGCTGAGCAAACGTATCATTTAGACGAAAGATCGTGTAAAATGTATCGAATTATAAACTTAATTGGCATCGATGATATGCATTGTAACGACAATCATAACAATTTTGGGGAAGCAATGTATTTGGCAGTCTTAGGATCAGAATCAGAACTCGGGGGAAGAGGTAGGGGGGGTAATTTGCTCATCCCTGCTCTACGAACTAGGTGTAAAAATTGAGCCATTAGAGTAAGATCATGGCTGATCTTATTTTTTTTTTTTTCTTTTCATTATCAAAAATTGATTATTTTCGTGGATACACGATGATTCGATTATCTCTATCTACGTAACTACGTAACTGGCAAGCATTCGCAAAAACATAATCGTAAAATATACGATTGGTATTTCTAATAAATCAGGGTGACCGTACATGGAAACTTTCACGTTGTTCGAACTTTGTTATTAAGCTGTAAAGTACAAAGGCTTCGTTGAAACATGTATTTTTAAATACATTATAGTATCATTCGCGTAACAAACTTTAATGATTCATACTTCGCTGTGGGTAGAAGCAGATATCGTGATAAATAAGTTTATGATACAACTTCTATCTTTTTTTTTTTTTCCTTTGCTTCAGTTCATTTTCATTTTCATTTTCATCGAGATGATAGCTTGGTCACCCCGCTACGCTAATGTAGCAACGTGGTTACATACGATTTTCCTGCCATAAGCGCTACGAATTAGTTACGCGTCGATCGTCGGACATTTTTTCTGCGAGTTTCCTCCCTTTCTTTCAGAACTATCTAACGCGTGTGCGGATGTGTACGTTATACGGAAGCACATACTATGTTCTCTACAATTACATGACTCCTATAAACTTATCTAGAATTCCCCTAAAGCTACTCAGACTTTAGTTAACATTTACTTTAATTGTTAGTCCAGCTTAAAAGAATAACATTATGATCGTTCGTAACGTCAGCTACGAATCCTACATCGTTTTATAGTTAATTCATTAATACTGCATTTGAATAAACTAGACTCATCTCTCATGACAATATGGCCATTGATATAGTATACTATTCTTACATTTACATTTTATTCTAATTTGACACAGAATGTTCGTATACAGTCTTAACGTTACTCAATGATGATGTTCATGTATCGTGCTAAAAATATGCATCGAACTACAAAATGTCCTTCATTTTCAAGAATGTTCTTTCTCTTCTTTCATATTCTTTTGGTCGCTTTCACCTTCTCGTATATTTAACTTATGAAATATTTGCTGTTAAATAGCTCATTGTATGGACAAAATAATGCATTTTCTTTTAGAACCTTCGTCGCCGCTCAAATCTATTTACTTTTTTTTTTATAATAAGAAAATCAAGTATTCGAACTATTAAATAAATATGAAATGATATCAATGTTCAAATCTTTGTACCTTTTGTCTCTTGAAAAATATTAAATACACGCTGCTTAAAAATATTACATTCAACACCTACTTTAAGATTTCAAAAAATAAGTTCATTGTTGGTATTCAAGTTAAAAAAAAAGATATATATATATATATATATATTTATATATATATATACATACTTCATCGGAGTCCAACATTTTGAGCGCAAACGATTAACGTAGCATTTACAATTGTGCTACCACTACTTTCTTTTTTTTTGTATCTACAATATTCAGTTTAAATAGTACTCAACCCACCGGAATACGAATTAACGTTTGTATTTCAAAGATATCGCCGATTTATAAAAATCACAGTTACATTGTATTTTACTAATTTTCTCTTATTACTGAACGGCCGTTCATTTATTCTACACAAATCATAAAAAATAGCGAGTTAATCCTAATTTTAAAGCTTTATACTTTATTGTATTCAATACCGATGGGTTAATTTGTACCAATTTGAAAATCATTTAAATAATACTGTATTTGAATTTAATGGTGTTATCGGTATCATGTTTATCAATGATGGTCGCGTCAATTTAAATATTACTTTTTTTTTTTTTTGTAAAATCGTTTCTAAGAAATAGTATTAAGGTTGGCCTAATTATAATTTCTACCCTTAAAGGTGAAGAAGAAAATGTATACAAGTTAAATGTAGATAAAGGAGTAAAAAATACAAATTTCTTACTTTAACTAGAAAGTTTAAAACCTATCATTATTATCACTTGTACTATGTACGAGTTAATAAATAATAATTACTAAATTCATCAACAACAATGGAAGTGTATGTCCAGCAACATTAATAAGATAAAAAATTAAAAAAAATATATATTCGTTTGTTTCTATTTTGTGTAAAGAAGGCCTAGTTACGGCATAAGAACAAACAACTAAGTGCCTGTTAGTAACAATAATATACCTAACACTAACTGTAAACAAGTCAATTAAAGCAGACAAATATCTGTTGCTTTTGTCATTAGCACCATATTCAAAACTAAAGCTCGTTCTTTTCATAATAGCTATTACGATCGTTTCGTAAATAATTGCGTTCCACTAAAACCATTCTTCGTATTGGCTACCCATGGTTCATCTCATTAAATCCGCCGCTCTTTGTCTATCTCGATGTACTTCTCGTGGATGCATTCTTTTACGATGTGAAAAACAGTTCCCAGAACTCGCAAAAGCTTTTGGACAATATGGACATTGATAAGGTCTTGCACCTGTGTGTTGATTTATGTGGAATTTCAAATCCTGATTTCTTTTAAACGTTTTATCACAAAGAGGGCACGCGTGTGGTCTCAAATCCGAATGCGTTATACTGTGAGCTCGTAATGTAGAATTTGTTGGATACACTCTTCCACATACATTGCATGGAAATTGTATCCCACCATGATATTCTTTGTGTCTGAATAAATTTGACTGTGTCTTAAAACTGAAACAACAATTAAAGATTTTATCAGCATTTATTTGACTGAAAATAGTTTTTTACAGTAATATTAATCTCTTGGCATAAATACTTACATTCTACCACATATATCACAACCATACTTCCCCTTAGGCCGATGTGTTTCCAAATGCACTTTTAGATTTCCCTTAGTAGAAATTTTTTTACTACAAATTGGACAGATAAAGTTTCCAGACGAATTGTTATCAGTGTTCATGTGAAGAACACCATTTGTAGAATAAACTTGTTGCGATCTTAAAATAGGCTTCCCATCGATTCGTTTATCTTTAGGCAAATGAGACCATAGGTGATTTTGTAGACCAATTTGAGATATAAAGGATCTAGCACATATTGTACATTCATGAGGTTTTGTCGATACATCAGAAACAAATTCATCGTTATCTTCTTGCGATTTATCATTATCATCCCTTATCTCCTTTTTTATTCCTTCAATTCTATGGGAAGTACATGTTAATTCAACAATTATATAATCTTTCTAAATCATCGATACTAATGTAAATAATCTTACTTATTTGTTAATGGCAATGGTTCTGGTGTATCTACTCTTGTTATCTTTTCTTCAGTATCTGATTCCTCTGAACTTTCTGATGCTGATTGTTCCATGCCACACTGTAAAAATAACATTGGATCTACTTTTACTTCCATTTCCTCCATACTTGGAGTAGGGCATTTATCTTCCTGCGACATTAATTCTGATGGTCCCAATGGTTCACCCTCTGCCAAAATTTCTATTGCACCCTATAAAGTAATGTAATGTTCAATGTACATCTGTAAAGCAACTGCGATCTATAATAATTATGATTTACTTTTGTTAATATTGTATGTAGCAGTCCCCGATCTTCCATTTTTTTTGTTGCATCCTGCGCATCTTTAATACTTTCCAATTCTACATCTTGTGCAGCACTTATATTGTCAGCATTGTTATATAATTGCAATCTTAATTTCTCTTGCGTTCTATATGCCATCATTGCAAAACGATGAATATTTTCTAATCTTTTAATGCATGTAGCACATACCATCTTTGATAACTTATCTTCTGAGGACACCTACAATATAATTAATATTTTATTTATACTACTTACTATAAACTAATAAACAACAAATGGAAACACAACATCAATAATAATATAAAATACACGAAATTAATATATACTATTTACTTGTTTATTATATCAATTAACAAGCAAAGGCTAATTTTGTTTAATTTATTAATTCAAGATATATTTTTCGTAAAACGTAACAACCTCCCTTTAGTAGCAAAACTTTTATGTATATCTAATAACAATTAGTTATACACCCTATATCATTAATTAAATTTTTTTCATTAAGGTTGTAAATATTTCACTACAATATTTATAACAAATAAAATGGTTTATGTATCATTAATTTCAGAAAATATCACGCATTGTTTATGAGCATTTTATATACTGAAATATATTTATAGATGCGCTAGTCATATAGCGCATACAGTATACTTATTGTAATCAATAAAATGCTAATTTTTAACACTTTACATTCATATCACATTGAATTCTCCCAAGGCATTATTTAAACATATTCAATATCATGTTCAAATACACGCACATAAGTTTCGATCAAGTTAATTATTTCGTTAATTCGTACGAATATCTAATATTATATTTACGTTTTGCTTGTAATCCATTATCGTCCACCAAAATGACTTAATACTCGGAAAATAGTTCATTTAGAATTCTATCCACAATTAATAAACACGAGCATCAAATTTTACTATAAATTGAATATTCGCGAAAAAAACCATTTCTCCTTACAATTGCATAAAAACTTCCATTTATTGTTCATGTAAATATATACTACTTTTCATATAGACGTATAAAAAATAAATAATTATTTCTAGTAACGATCCATTTTTTTCGATATTTTGATCAAAAAGTTGTTATTTAATTAATTAATCAAGTTTTTACAATTGCTAATGAGTATCATTCATTTATTGATATAGCATTTCGAATTTCCATTACGCGTGAAATTTTGTTAGATTTTTAAATATGCAAAAGTTCTCGTATTTTTGTTTTGTATGTACGAATTCTTCATCACGAGTATGGAAAATGGGGTACAAGAGGGGTTCGACATAGGATCAGAGTGAGAGAGAGAGTCTCCGTTGCGATTTCGAAAAAAAAGTCCACACACAAACTCAGAGTGTCTATATACATGTATACGAGCATATAACGACGATCGCGCTAATTCGCATGGAGCGCTGTCAGACTCACCAAGATATACAGATATTTTCGTATTTTGGTCTGCAGGTAGTGCCGTCTACCATCCTCGGCGAAAATGTGGACCCCATCGTTTCTTGGTATGTCACTAGCACAAATTCGACAGTGGAGCTTGTCGTCCCGATCGCGCTCAAAATCGCGACCCGCCGTACCCATTTCAAAAAAGAAAGAAAAAAAAAAAATTTACAAGGTATCACCCACGTGAAGGAAAACTTGTTTCTCTTTACGGATTCTGTTATAAACGAACACAAAATTAAAAATATTACGTTAAACAATTATCACGCTTTCTTCGTTCACAACGTTAAATTCATTGCTTATTATTATATTTCCCCCCCTCTCTGTTTCGTTATCTTAGCACCTCGATGAAAAACGTCGAAAACGTTTGGCAATAAAACTTTTCAGCGATGCATCTTTACGACGTGCCAGCTTGTCCGAGAGGGTTGATTATTCTAACGATTTTTTTTTACTTATGAGTCTCCCGGATTGGGTGAGATTACTCCGGCACAACGTTGACGCTTTAAAAACGACGTCGGCGCCGGGCGTCGGCGTCTCTCTCCCGAAACGAGTGCTCAATACAAAATATATAATAGCATTCGTCGATTTGAAAAACATATGTATATAACCAATTGTTTTATTTATGGATCTCGCTTCTATTAAACGATATTAGTGTTACGGAATGTTAGAACATGACTTTTATATCAGTATCTGGTTGTTTACGCAATAATTAAGAGTTTCTCGTGAAATACTTGGATTCGCATTCCTAAAATACTACCCTTTGCTACAAATAAAGAATAAAATGTATCAGCGCGGTACTCTTAATTGGTCCGCCATCTTCTTTCACCCGTTCGTTTGTATTTTTTCAGTTTCTCCCGTAATCATTCTACGGAACCGTTTTATATCCATTGTTTCCATACATTAACAAGTTCGTATAGTTAGAAATAGATCTCGATCGATACATTCCTTGGAAGTTGAGAGATATCGTCAAAATTAATGACAATTTTACCAAAGTTTCCCGCCATTTGTTCGATCGTGTATTACTACGCCCATGGAGGGAGGGATAAATGTGGACGTTATGTCGTTGCGGAAAATAGTTCCAGATACTTGCGAACGAACAGCCTCCCCCTTGGATATGTTACGGCCCCATTTAAAAAAATCAATACTTAATAATTAGCAATTAATACACGCCTCGAGTATATATGAACGTTATCTTGTCTTTTCCAATTTCTGATGTACGTATACATCCAGTTATTTAATGCTCGATTTTACACTTATTCTAAATGCCTAATATTTATTTCGTGGATTAAGTGAAAAAAATATGTAAATTTATTGTGAACATGAGTTTCCTGGAAAGAGCGCTTTTAAATTACATAGTACAGTTCGAAAATTTTGTTATTTCGAGAAAATAAATTTATAGCTAAAATTAATAATAGTATAAAAAGATGGAAAGAGCTTTGTTTTTGTTTTAAAAAGACTTGTAAAGAAATAGATTTTGAAGAATATTAATATTTTTACATTCTGTGCATTCGTGAATGTTTAATATTGATTATAATTTTGAAAGTAAATTCTACTATACATATGTATATAAATAATGAAGAAAATAATTAATTCACATTAATTTTATTTAATCCAGAATACAGTTAGAGCAGCTAACTAAATATAAATTTCATACAACTATGTATAAGAGGAACTGTCTTCATAAATTTTCACACGTTGTAAAGTAATTTATAAACAAAACTGTTTTGTGGTACGATTTTCGTTAACAAAAAAATACGTGTATTAAAAATATATTCAATTAAATATATACTAATGATCTGTTGAAGTGAAAAGTATATATTTATTAAATAATTACCAAATGCAAATCAATGTCACAATATCAATCAATTTATAATAATTGATAACCTATTATTTCATCTTTAAAAATTGTGTAAAGTGTTATTACATTACTGTTAATTTAACATTTTGCCTTATTCTGAATTGGCAGGAATAACTTAAATTCTGCAGGTAATTCGTCTTCAGAATATAATCTATCAGAAAAGTATACTCTTCGTATTCTACAGTTTGCATGGATTTGAACCCTTAATGTTTCCACATAATTTGTTCCATATGCGCGTCTAGTAAAATCAGCTAAATTAAATTGAATTTGATTCCATCCGTCATCTAATCTTATTGGCATTGTACATATAAATGGTTTCACTCTAGTTGTAGATTGATAATTACTAGCTCGAAATCTACGGCGTACATTCTTGTCATCGATTACCTAGAGTAAAGAATTTATAACAGCTTCTTGTTTAATAATATATTATGTTGTAATTACTTGATTAAAGTTTATACATTACCTGAACTTCAAATGTAAAGTATTTTTTTAAATTCTTAATGATCATCACCAAAAATGGCAATTTTATGCCCAACGTTTTTCTAGGGTCTGCAGGACATGTAATATACGAGGTACTGACATTGCTACCCAATATTTCCAATACTAAACTTTGTATGTCATTATCTGTAATTCGTTTTATGTATCCGTTTTGTACTTTTTTGTCCCAAATCTGTAACGGCTTACTGCCGATACTGTACAAGATTGATAAAAATCCACTTTGAAAGGTATTTTTAAACATGTTTCCTTGTTCACGATTTTTTCGTCAAAATTTGCCAAATAGTCTTTTAACAATTTATTTTTATATAAAACATACGTTTGAAAAATTTAATTAATTTTCTACGCTTCTTGGTGTTGTCGACTTAACCTCCTTTCATTTTACGACACTGACACACACTGAAAAGTTACACATTTCGTATCATCTTATTTCCAAAACCATAAATCAATCTATTATATGATATTATTCAGTAAAAAAAAAAACATTTTCGTTTCAATCAAACATTTTCGTAGAAAAATTTTATTCCCTAAATAACTTTAACGATAGACATAACCTACAAAATTTCTGTTTGATCAATGTTGCTATTAGATTCATAGCGTCATTAAAAATTGATCGATTACTTCGAGTCTATCGATTTCAAGTCTTGAATTTTAATAATGCAATTTTATTAATTTACAACTGAATTTATAAGAAAAGTAAACAGAAACGTTACTTTAATAAACTGTGCATGCATTTTATGAAGAATAAACAGAAGAATAATATAAACATTAACGTTTTTACAATCATTTATTGATGTCAAATACAAACCGATAAAGTTTAAATAAGCAGTAGATATCTACGTATTAAACAATTTTTTTTTTAACGGAGTTAACGATTTGTCGGCATAAAAAACTATCAGTGTAAAATCTCTACTGCCATAATTCTACTTCTTAATTTTCCGGAAAGATCGTTCGCGTTTTGATCCAAGTTACTGAAAATCACATTTTGCAACTGTACTCCTTTAAGGAATGAATAAGAGAAACAAAATGATCAACTTATTACTTTAAACACAACTTTCATTTTCTACACGGTAATATAAAAAACAATAATCGTGTATCATGATCTGTTTGTTTTGTTCAATGAAAATAGGGACGTTCTAATTACTTGTTTAACATAGACATGTACAGCATTACGAAACTAAGTTAAATTAGTGAGTAATTTTTTAAATGGGAACGTTTTGACAATTTATTTCTGTTTTTGGTTGCTTCCACTGAAATTATCTCTAACTATCGGCATATCCCACATAAATTTAATATTTAATTCATCAAATATAGACGTTAAACTGCTATAATTTTTCAAAATATTATACTCATGACAATTTTTGTGCATTTCGCGTATAAATAACTGAAACGGATACTATTAATTAGTAATTTACAGTTCGACTACAATGATGTACACAGTTTTCAGTGTTAACATTGTAACCATCCGATAGTTACAGATTTAAAAGGAAAGCATCGTTTTGTAAAATGAACATTTAGAATGTGACTCTTTATTCTACTGCATCCGCGTCGTCTCTTGGAATCGGATTTATCTTCGTATTCCTTCGAGATATTTCCACTTCATAATCTTAGTAATTAATACTTTATTCGCTTATTGTTACGACTAACTATTGTATTATAGTTTACGCGAATAAAATAGGTCCTGCAACAGGGGTATGCTTTCATAGGATTCATGTTTTTTTTTTTCTTTCGCTGAAATAAAATTATGTGAAAGAGAAAGAGACTATCACTAATCTTTTCTCTCGTTCTTTTTTATTCGAAACAGTGAATTCCACGTGAAGAAAGAAGGCCCACCTATGAAGCGATATCTCAGAAAAAGGAACATTCATTAACTCGTCCTTGAGTGATCTATAAATTATTTCGGAAGGTACCGCGCGTTACGAAAGGTTATCTGAAAGAAAAAAGTATTGTAAATGACATTAAGCAATTCTTCTCTTTTCCTGTCTCCGTAACACGGAGCGTATTACAGATTGTGGAAAGACAATCGTATTATCGTAATTTAATAATATCGCTTGCTTATGTTCTTTTTTTTTTTTTTTTTCTTTTTCAATGATCGAATAACATTCGAGAAATTTTTTGAATAATTTAATGAGAATAATGAATGTAAGATAAGCGACGAAAAACGTGATACCGCATTCTGTATCTTCGTTTATCAGATGAAAATACAATTAAGTCTATTATCTTCATTCATTATTACTCTGTTTTTTTAAATAATTTTTTGTTTACTTCTCGGCAATAAGACAAAATTCACGACGTTGTTTCAAGAATGTTGTTACGTTATTTTCACAGGTTCAAATCAAACGTACTCCTTTAATAATCATGACGCAACGGGACAAATTTTGAATTATTACCATTTTCTACTACAATTTCCGATACATCCAAAATCATCTTTCATTCTTCTACTAGATAACGGATGTATGAAAATTTGAATGTCCTTTACTTCTCAATACGTTGCAAAACATGAGTATAACCCCAGAATGCTTCTAGGCCCCACAAAAAAGCAAATTGGGGCAATAATATGAATATATCACATTACCTTTTTTTTCAATTTTACAGACTTTAACGGAAACTCGTAGAATAGTCGAGGGAGTTAAAGAGTCCCCAACGAATTTCCAAAGCTTTACTATTTCTTTTGAATTAATACTGTCATTCAAAATTGTTTTAATCCTATTATACTATTACGCTTAACAAATCAATAAGAATCAATGGTTTTAAAATGTCTGCAATCTTAATGATTATTCAGTTGGAGACACGTAACTCTTAGAAATTTCTAGTCGAATTTCGTTTCGGAAAAATGCGCTTCTTTTTTTTCATATCAATTGTTATATATAATGTCAAAATAACCATTAATAAAGAGTCCGCTTTGCTCAACAAAACGGTGAAAGATTTTTGCATGAAGTAAGATTATTAAAGTCATGTCTGTAAATCTAATATAATTAAAAATCCACAAAACTGTTTTACTGATTTATATGCGCTTGTTACCAGGTAATACGACATAATAGATATTCTATTCGCGAAGAATGAGAAAGCCAAGGATTAAATAGAGAAATTAAGAGATGGCCGCATTTCATCTCAGATTTCAATATTTTTTCACTTCACGTTTCTACAATGTTTCCTTGATCATAAACCACGATTCTTTGGAGAATGACCATTTTTCGTTCATTTACGATGTTGAAACAATTCATGTTTGACGATTATGATCCTATCAATGAAGCTGTTATAATAAATACAATAGAATTGATGTTCACTGCTAGGATCACAATCTTGATCAAGCACCAATAATACTTTTCTCAAGGTACTACTGTGTATTTTTTAAGCGTAGAAAAACAATTTAAATTATATACTCGACACGCAATCATACGCGTAACTACTACGCTTTGTGATTGCCACATGAGTCTATCAAAGACTGCTATTATGCCTGATTAGTAGTTTCCGCTTCTAAACGAAAGGCATTTCCATGTGCTCGTTAATGTCTAATTAGTTATTGGTGCTTGAGCAATTTCCTGATGCGATTAAGGCACTGCAAAAGATAGATCCTCCATAAAAAGCTATTGATCTTCCAAATACGCGAGTCCGTGAAGTTAAAGAAGCAATGGCGTAATGTGTGAAGATCGAGTCATTGGTGATTCAACGTTTGATGTTACAATGTATTAAGGCCCAGAGAGACAGATTGAGGAGAGCTATTTTCCCACCGATTAGTTCATTCAACAATTGTAATATATACAAATACATTAATAAATGTAGAATGTATAATTAAGACTACGTAAAAATAATTTAGGAAGATTACGTAAAAGCACGTACATACTAATAAAAACAAAAACTTGCAATCTTGTCACATAATGAGAACTACTAAAAGCATACAATAATAGTAATAATAATAATAATATTAATAATAATGATAATAGTAATAATAATAATATTAATAATAATCATGCAAACGGAACACTAATATCTATGTTCGTTTACGACATAAATCAAAGAAAAAATCATTCAAATTATCAATATAAAAATTCCACGATACACTTCAAACTATCAAGGTTTAACATTAACATTGATGTTGATGTTAAATCTACAATGAAATTATTCGCTTTTCTAAGATCACTTTTAAATATATCTCGTTCTCATCAATGACTACATGAAATGACCTTATGGTAGTTTTCCTTTGCAATGCCTTAAAACAGCAACGTAAATTGAACTTATATACGTAAGTCTTACATACTACATAATTACTTATCAATAGTTCCATCCATTATATTGTTTTTAACTTGAATACTAATGTGTATTCCGTCTCCAGACGCACCTTTATCCTTTTTTGTTTGCGAATTAGATGCATTATCGAGACCCAGCTTACTTAAAGTACACAGAGCTTTTAATGCTGCTTGATTACGACTCGCACTTCTTGTCGGCCCATTGCCATGACAAACCTGCGGTGGATCGGTACTTAGCGTTACAAGCGACAGATATTCCTTATTTACTGCTCCCTGAAATCAATACACAAAACATTAATTATACGTACAATTAATTGGAAACATAAAAAATAGTAAATTAATATCGACGATTACCTTAGGAAAATCATTGAATTCCACGCTAAAATTAAATAACTGAGAGAGATATTTCAATTGATCTTTAGGAGAAACTGCGGCTGGGTTTTGTTGTTGTTGTCCTCGTAATTCTTCAGCAACAATTTGCACACTGGGTCCGCTACCTAATTTAGATTCTTGGCCTCCGTCCACTAATAAAAGTCCAGGTACTAACTGACGTCCGATAGTTCCTGATTAAAGTTAATAAATTTTTCAAACCTTTCGTGTACAATAAATAACACGCGTACCTCGATCGTTAAAATTTATCATTCGTAATTCAGTCAGAATAAATATTATACAACTTTACTTGTAACAGTGTACATTTCTTATATCTCACCTCCTACCGGATGAGATTGAGTTTCATTAATTTGCTCATCTTCCAAAAAGGTGACTTTCCTCGGCTTCGTTTCAGTGTTTTCGCTTTCTCCCGTTTTTATCGACGGCTTTGTGGGCTGTAATTGTGGCTTACTGTAACCTAATTGCGTTAGAAGAGCTTCTGCTGCAGCTCTCTTAGCTAGCTTTTTGTTAGGACCCATTCCTTGCGCGGAATGTTGCCCCATAGAAACCTCCATAACGAATTCCCTTCGTCTCGCTGCACCTTTTTCCTCTATTAAATTATAAACGGGTTCCTTCTCTCGTTTCGCTTGCTGTATTTGAACCAGTCGTGAAACTGGATTTACTTCTTCCGCAGCTTCAGATTCAGACCGTGGTTCCTGATAAACTTTTATCAGGTTTCGTGACTTCTTCTTCGTTGTTAGCGGTTTACGTTTCACTCGCATTGGACGATTTTGTATAGTTTCGGGCAATGGAGGTAAACGATTAAGTTCTTCCAACATAAACTCTGCCGCGTGTCTTTTCGATACCTGTATCGTATAATGAACGAATAATTTATAATTAATTTTGTTATAAAAAGTTTGATGTTTACCTACTTCCTCAAATAAACAAAAAGTTAATTTTTAAAACTATATAACGCGAAAGACTTACTTTCTTCGAAGGTCCTTCTCCTAATGTGACTTTATCTCCGACAGTGCACTTTGTCCTGAACGTTCGAATGTGAGGTTTTCCAATTTCCGATACAACTTCGAAACTGACAGGTAAACCACGTTTTAATGCTTTCTCGTGAACTAATGATACCGGACTCTTTAACTCGGCAATGGGATCTTTCGCTTCGCCTAATGTACCGTTTTCGCCAGTATTACAAGTATTTGCTACTTCCTCCGGTAATGGCAATTGACGCAATTGCTCTAACGCCTTACTAGCTGCGTCATGTCGTGCTGCTTGACCTGTCAAACCTCTACCAATGAATTCACGTTCCCCTACCTGTGAATTATTACGTTTAACGAAACTTGTATACATCTATATCAAAGCTACTATTACAAAAACCGTAGTTGTTCCCTAACCTTCAAAGATACAAGATACAATTGAGGTTCCGCATGGAAACCACGATTATATGTAGGAAAACGTGGATTAAATATTCGAGAAAAGACATCCAAGCCATGTGGAACGTATTTCTGTATTCCTGCCGGCGGAGCTTGTCTAAAAGTATAAATAGTGGGTTCTCCTCTCTTCATAGCCAGAGCATTTAACTCAACGGTAGGCGGCAGATTTCCTGCAACAGATAATTTTAATTAGAAATTCAAAATCTCCGAGTTATTTTTCATAATTTTTAATAAATAACGTGTAAATACCAGAACCACCAAAACATTTTCCTGGATGTCCAACTCTCATTGCCTTAGTTGGTTTTGGCGGAGGTCGTTGATACCAGGTTCTTGTTAATGCTTCGGTTGCAGCACTATGCTGAGCTTTCTTTATGCTAGGACCATCAGCAATATACTCCTCCTCTCCAAGCTTTAGTGTTACTGTGAATCGTTTCTTGTGCGCTGGTCCTTGTTCATTAGTCAATCTATACTGATGCTGAATCTTATTAAAACGTGCTAATTCATTCAATAAGCACATCGGTGTTTTTTCTTTCATGTTTGCCAAAGCTGAATCCGTCAGATTGACGTGATTCTGAGTGGGTGGACTCTGATCTCTGGACTCTCCATTATTGGTTTCGTTTGTCGTTTGTTTATTTTGTTCCATATTTTGCGATTGTTGAATGTGTTGCTGCGGTGGGGGATTTTGTTGATTATTTTGTTGCTGTGGATACTGTGGTGGTTGAACATTTGGGTTTTGTAGAGTCACAGAGACCGTGTTTGCTTGGTCTTTTAGACTGACGCTAACCATTGTGCCTGGAATGTAATACATTTCTAAGAGTAATTTATAAACGTGTAAAAGATAGTTTAAGCTTATTCGGTATTACCGTTTGTATTATGTGCATTCATGCCCATCAACATCGGTTGTCTTGGATTTCCATGTGGTGGTCCAGGATGTTGCATGTGATGAATGTGCTGCTGATGGTGGGGCATGGACAGTATTTGTTGATGTGGATTCCGATGCGGTAACGCATGCTGCGGCTGATGTAAAGGGGCCATATTTGCCTGCTGCATGGGTCGCATCGGACCTCCCATTCTAATAAGGATAAAGTATAAAAGTTTGAATATACAACATTTAATGATCATTGGATGAATCTAACTTATTGTATCTAAAATATGAATATACAATTATATATTATTTATAACTAAATAAAATTAATGATGTATACACATGACAAAAGAAACTTAAACATATAATTATAGAAGAATGGTCACAAACCTATTATGATCTCTAAGCTGGTTTTGCATTGTATGATGTTGATGACGTAGCATTGTATAAAATATTATGCAGAACCTAAAATTAAGAAAGACATCAATCAAAAGCCATAGAAAATATATTTTGTGCAAAAAATATCTATATGTTCTCTAGCCTTGTACAATGCATTTAAAGCAGTCTTATTTCTAATAAAAATGTTATCAAATTGAAGTTAAACATTAACAGATATATAGATAACATCAAATACTAAATATAAATAAGACTTATACTCAGAAAGTAGCCGGCAACAATAACGTTAACGATATAAATTTAATTTTACAAAATAGCTGTCCATCGCTTGATGTAAATTAACAGAGTACACAGAAGTAATTTCACAATGTTAAAAACCAATAATCAAGTTTGGAATCTATCTGACAGCAGTTGCAAATGTACGTCGTATTATCCGTGTTACAAAGGAAATTCAAAAAGTTTGTTTACAACTAAGAAATATAACGACGTTGATCATGTAAACGGAATTTCTTTTCTCTGACTAAACTAGTCAATAGACAATGGGCTTGGCCCGGCTATTTGGCAGCGGAACTATGCGTCGCATTTTCTTACCGAAGTTTGTTCTATTTCACGAAAATTTTCAGGTTATTAAACAGCAAAATTTCCGGCGAAACAGATCTACCACTTTAGGGAACACTGCCAGGCCCTTCACACGGCTATTGGCAAACAGTAAAGAAAAATCGTCTGTAGACTAAAATGCGGCCATTTTGATGTGAGCCTCTCAGCCACCGTCTCTCATCCCTTCCAAAGGACATCCTACTTGCTGATTTTTTTAAAAGTCCGCAATATCGATTCAAATTATCGATACTTCTCGTTTCTTCAAACGTCAGGAATTGTTCAACGTTAACTGTGCACCGTTCTTAAAATAATCTATGTGATATTCCAATGAATATACATTTTGTTTGTTATGTTTACTCGATTGTTACTATTTTCTATTATGCACGAAACGTTTCAAAAATATTGTGAACAAAAGAACATTGTGGTGAATTACCGCTCTGTAGATTCAAATTCTCAAGACCAACATAACGGATATGTTTAACGAATTCATTATTGGACTTATAGATGAAAATTTGAACGCTGTTACAGGTAAGTATATGTACGCGTGTTCAGACATTTACTCAACAATAAACGATTCCATGATTTGAACAAAAAATATATACACAAAGTAAAAGCTTAATAATAAAGTCCATTTCATATGTAATTAGACTTTGGCAAATTATAACGTAACAAACCGTTTACACTATACGGTCTTCTTTAATTACTGAAGATAGTGTTCACACCTTTCTTTTATTCATCGTATGTTTAACTTTCAAACATATATATTAACCGATTCACTGTGTTGTGTACAAGCTTTTATATTCACGGTAAAGGGAATCGGTCATTTACCGAATCAATTGTTTTACTGTCTTGCGTAATAGAACATACGTACCTACTTACGTTTTATATACATGTGTACACAATAAAATTACTGGCTCGATCACTTTTGACAATTGACTTTGTCAATGATCGGAACGACAGCGCCCTATTATGTATAACATGAAACGCAATTAAATTTGGTAATAACAAAGTCATACCGGCATCCCAATAGCATATATCTATCTATTTTGTTTTATTAAGTCTATTTTCACTCTTCTTAACAGGCTATCAAAAGTAGATATTGATATTAAAAAATAATTACAAAATTTTAATTCGTCTTCTCTTAACACGGTGGCTGCTGTGTGATTTGCCGGCGGTTCACGCCTTTTTTTTAAAAAGAATTTCACGAGATTGTATCGATGTTATTTCGGTAGACACATAAGAGAAGTTTACAAAATTTAAATATATATACACATTGAACAGTAGTCCAAATTAAATTGAAAACGTTGAAATTACCAACAATTTTCCAGGTTACATTTCATCAAAATGTTCCGACACTCAATGTGTTAATTGAAACATAGAGTTGTGATAGTATAATATATGATAAACATAACCCAAATCTATACAAGTTTAAATATGTTTCTTGTTATTCAAGTATATACCGAACTAAAATTCTAGTAAATATATAATGGCGTAGGGTTATAGTAGCCCCTGAGAAGAATATAACTAGTTGACATAAATTCATTCAGCACTAAATGAACAAAAATGGTTGTACATAAAGATGTTGATTTTTGTATTCACATATCCAGGATATATCTTTTTACCATTATTTATCATCTCTGAGTATCTCGAGCATTTTGCACTACATACATTTATGCTTGAACTGAAATATAGGTAAATAACAAACTATGAAATGATGTTTCAATTGTCTTTTGATTTATTTTTTTTTTTTAAAGCTTATTTGCTATTTTTTTAAAAATATAAACGTAAAAATGGAACAATCATTTCAATATGAATTTTGTTAATAGTAACCATTAATACATATCTATTTACAATGGAATATGTACAACAACGTACATAGTACTAGTATAGGTACAATGAAAGGATAACTAATTAAATATATTTTAAATGATACAATAAAGGTATATGCGACATGGATATAATAAATTACACTTTGAAATGAAGTTAAAAAAAAAGTTGAAGATACTTGCTAAGAAAGGATCACGTTATTCCTAACAAAGTTTTGATTATGTAACAGATCATAAGCTTGTCAATTATAGTTTAAGCTTCCTCTTAATGCGCGAAAGTATTAAATTTATAGTTTTCTATTTCATAAATAATTCTTACACAATTGTGTATCATAAGACCAAATATTTTTATGAAACAAAAAAAATTATAAACATTTCTTACAAATTTACAACATATCGTTTTAACGAAAATATGATATAGCAGTTTTCCATACTTTTTGACACTTTTTTTGCAAATATCTTCACTTAATTTTCTTGGTTAAAACGTTCGTATAATAAAAAATTATAATTTCTATAACAAAAATTTCGTAATTGTATTACTTACTCCGTTATATATTTTTTTTTTTTTTTTATTATCTATTAATTCATTATAGAATCGCACTTTGTGTTATGTTCATTCAACTTTCTTATTAATTTCTCTTTGGAGCCATTAAGCGTCTAGCATCATTGTCTTCGAGACTCAGCTAAGCTCCATTATTATAAAATAATTTATTAAACGTTTAACGATTTTAATTAATAAATACTATTTGATATACAATTTCGCTACTAGATTTACAAAGAGGAGAATATAGATATTTAGTGTCCCCGAAAAGAAACCTCAGGTAGATTATCTTACGTAAGATTTGTTTAAATATGAAGGGGCAATAATCGCTATCTTGATATAAAAATGCATTTATAGAAAATCCAGAAAATGCGTAAAATTCAGTTCCTTCTAAAACTGATACTAGAAGGTCTTTTGAATAGGCCCCTTTATATTTAAATGAGAGGTAAATTGTAATTTAATGGTAGAGATGATATGTTGTAATTTATTGGCCTCTTATGTCGGGGATTCATTAGACAGTTTTACTTTCAAGAATTTAGTGTTTTTACATATAAACGTGAAGACTGTTCTTGCAGCAGTTACGAGTAACGAAGCGATTTTTAGAATGAAGAAGGCTCATCCGCGTATTTGTGTGAAACAATCATTGACTATTGAGAGTAAAACGCTCCAATGAACCCCAGGCACTAAAAGCTTCCTCTATTTTTATATAAAAGATACTAAAGTGAAGTATAGATGAGATTGCTTGGGAGATGTGTTTCTACTATGCATAATACATGCATAATCTATTTTAAGATCAATGGGTAAGATAATCTTCCTGATCATTCAATCTAGGACAATCTACTTAATATTTGGTCAAATCATTATCACTCCTTATAGATAGTAACAAGTGATTTTGACATTATTAATCATTTGTATAAATCATTGCGAATAATTGTATGCTTTTCAACCCACTTCACAATGATTAAGAACATAAAATTGTATATAAAATTTAATACAAATTCTTTTTTTGACTTTGATCAAATGGTCGTAAATGCGTCTGTATCTGTAAAACTATGCAGTTCAGTGTACTAAAGGAAACCTATATACTTTGTTCGTTTTGTTAAGAATTATAATATAATTTTACCATGTTTTTGAACATACTATACGTTTTTTTATAAGGACGTCTAAAAGTTATATTGAATTAAAATGGCGTTTGTAGTGGGTTAAAAATAAATACAATATTTTTCACGCTAATTTTCAATAGCATTAGGCACTGTCAACCCTTCATTGAATTCATCAATAAGTTCAATTCTATAAGGTAATGTCGAATATAAAAATCAGTTTTTATGACAGTTTTTTATACTTTTTGAAAGCCAATATCGTATGCCCTAAATTTCATAAAAGAAGATTCATTATGACAAAAACAATTCTATTTCCAGGGTATTTTAATTTACTGAATTACATGATAAAAATATTCTTTCTATCTACAAAATGTAAATTTTTACAATCTTTCTTTTAAACAGAAGATATGTATTTTAATTTTGAAAGATCCGAGCATAAGTATTTTTCACTTTTTATAGAAACGAGAGTTCAATTTGGCTTCATACTATTAACAACATATACAGAAAAATGTACAGAGCGTATTGTGTGCTGATAAATTTGTTCCTTGATTTATATCCTAGATCACAATAGTGTACGTTAAAATTTTCACAAACGAAAAGAAAGAAAACGACGCGGTTAAAGAAAATACATAATTGTTGTTCTTATATAATTCATCAAATTCTCGATTGTGCAGCTGGTAGAATTGTGCTATTTGATTAATATTGTACTTTACCAGGGCGATATATTTTTTTAAATTTGTTTAAAAAATAGACAAACTTTAAAGTTAGACTATAATCGCTAATTATTAGATAATAAATATTTTTCAAACAAAAGGTTTCTTGGATGCCTGCATCCAAGACATAAAATATTTACGAGTTACTTCTTTAAAGAAAAACAGACGGGTAGTATTCTACAAACAGCATGCCTATTATTTTTAATAGCATTAATCGCAAATACTTAAAAATTGTTGCACATCACAGTACATATCAATAATTTTGTAGTATTAAATTCGCATCGAGTTGTTAAAAACGTTGGATAATTAAATGAGAAACCTCAAAATATGAAAGTTTGAATATTTAATGAACAAATACAAGAGAATTTTATATGTTGCAAATGCATAAAAACTCACACGTTTACAAAGTTATTAAATTACTGCTGACAAGACTTTATTGTCTTAACACACATTATTGATCATTCGCAGAGAACAAGAGAAAACATATTTCTACCAACTGTACAGTCACGAAGTGAAAAGCAAGAGAAAAATAGGAGAATGTTAAACCATATCTCCTTGGTTGACATCCAGAATGCTATTTTCTTTCATTAGATTTATCAATTATTATCACTCCGCGCGCCTTAGCAACATACATCCTTAAACGCTAACACGCTTATCGCTTTACAGATGTACGACTTGCTTGATGGGATACCTTGTATCCCATTTAGACATCTCGCATTATTCACTGAATTCTTATTCTTATTATTGAAATAATGCCCTGATTATGCAACGAATTCTTAACTTATTTTTGTGGCACCATTGTGATTCACCTTGTGGTTTACAGTCCAACTATCCTCTTGTACAGTTTTCAAATATTCTTCTAGCAATGATGCCAAATTACGTCTTTTAAATCGTAACGATTCTTTAACGATATCTCGCAAAAATGCAAGTCGTATATCTAAAGTTCCTTGAATTTGGTGTAAGTGTGAAAATAGTGTCGCATAATCTGAAACAAGATCACGAATCATTAATAATCTATTTCGTACAGATTTCTTGTTCATATATGTTGTACAAAAATTACACCATTTCGCGTTATCTTTATTGCTCTTTAACATGTTCAAAAATAACAAAAATATATGTATCAACTTACTTGTACCTCTTCTCCGTACTTCTTTATATACAAGTTCACGAACGGACAAATTATGTCTTCTAATATCTTCTAATTCCTTCTTCGTCAAAACTTTGTCTTTTTCTACTTTGGGCTCGCGTTTATCCTCGACATGATTGGACAACCTTTCGTCAATTGAATTTTCAACTTTCACACTATTTTCAACATAATCGTTAAGAGGTAGTTTGTTACACTCGTTTTTAACGTTCTCCACTTTCTCAGCTTTTATTTCAATTTTAGGAGCGTCAACATTATTAACTACCGGCGTCAAAGTCGGTGGCGCGTCCATGTGATTATTAATATGTTCCACTGGAATTGGTTCAAAGACCGGTATTGTCGGCATTTCTGCAAGACCATTTACTAATTTCTCGGATGAATTTATATTCGATGTATTTGATATACTAGGTGTTGTAGAATTCACCGTATTTGGTGAAACTTGATTTGAGTCAGCAGCCGGGGTTACTTGATTTTTCGTGTCGTCGACCCACGGTATTGGCGAACTTGGCGGAGTATTCGTAGGTGTGTACGACGGTCTCCGTACAACTACATCTTTAGGTATTGGACCCGGTTTTCGTTTATTTGGTGGCGGTTTCGAAGCAAGCAATCCCCCATCTGAAGCTGGTAATGTACGTTTAAGACCGCCCTTCGAGGTCGAAGACGTTGCACCAACCATATCGATATCCGCTTCATCGACCATCATCCTTTTATCTATCTTGAATGGATTGCCTAAATTCAACAAGGAATAAAACACTGTTCGAACTCGAACACTTTAGACGATACTGGTGGAACATTTTAAATAATTACCGAACATATGCTGTCTAACCGGAACACTTTCGATTTCTCTTAAAGGCGGAGTCATGCGTTTCAAATATTCTTGATAATTTCCCATTTGCGCTAAAGGCATCGAATGAACGTAGTCGTCGTCAAGTAGTTTTGTATGTAATAATCCAGGTTGAAGGAAGTTGGCACGCATTCTCACAACTTGATCCAAGAGGGACTTCCGTGGAACGTCAAACGCATTCCTGTAACTATGCGCGCCACGTTGTTGACTTCTGACCAATCCAACTACAAATCCACCAAACTCGTTCAATTGATCCCTTAGACCTGTAAACTTGTCTTGTAATAATGGATGCGATACCTATCGAACAAAGAAAAATAGAATTAATTTATATCATAAACTATAATAATAATAAACAACATTTTCTGAACTACGACTGTTTACCAAATCTTTCTTCAAAGGAGTTCTAGGAATAACTCTCACTCCATCTGTCACTGTTGTTGTACTACCATTTACTAAATTTTTTGTCATATTGGCAGCAGCGAGTTGTTTAGAAAGAACCTCGTTGCAAAGTCTATCGAATTCAATTTTAGCTTGATTTTTCAGTCGTTTTAAATAATTTAAGACACTATAGGATAAAGAGTTATCCATGTTATCAGGAATTAATGTTTGTGCTAATGGTGCCGGAGCACCCATTCTAGTTAAAGCTCTCCTAAGGGACTGTAAACAAAACATATGCAAGAGTATAATTTATTATGTAACATACTATTTATAATTAAAGCCAGATTAAGACATTAACATACAGAAATGTTTAAATCACAGAAAGTACGGAATCATAGTACAGGAATCTAAAAAATCTTAATTCGGTACGATAAATGAAAAAAAACTTACCGCTGCATAATAAGTGGGCATGGTTCTCATGTAATTTTGAAACTGTGTTCTCCATTCGTTTGTTGGCTTTAATCTGTGAACTTTAAAGAGTTCTTCCAGCAAAGGTAAGAGCACCGGATAATTATAGGGCATTACAAACAAGTTCACGCACGTTAAATTAGTACTTGCTTTTAAATATCCAAACGGGTGACCCACATCGCTGGATTTGTAGGAATTAGCTACAAAAACTTGCCAACAAATTGTTGGTTGCTTTCTGGCTAATATGTATTGCGTTAAAGGGCTCGGTTCCAGTTCGTATTTATCGAATGGTAGATTTTCTATCACCATAGGCTCTTGACTCGTGCAAGTGAACTTGACGTTCGGATGCGCTGACCTAGGCGGCAAAGAACTAGCACTGAGATCAGGCCAAAAGCTTTCGGGGATCGGCCAGAAACCAACAGCAAATCCTTTTTGAGCAGATCTTGGAACATAAATCAGTCTTCTGCAAGAATGCCATGCCGTATTGCCCGGTACTGTTGGATTCGGGGGATACAACGATCGTGCTCCATTCGTTGTATTACTCTCGTCTTCGTTTTCATCGTCATCCGCGTGTTGTGCTTCGTTGGTTAATGGCGGAGGATCTGGTCCAATCTTCTCGAAATTTATCACCACGCCTGACTGAACTTTTTGTACCAAAGAGTCTATACACTGCATCATCATTCTAAAAGATGTTATACAATACGAACGACCTACGATAAACAACAAATTTTGTTAAATTGGAATTTTCCACGAATAGAGTCATATTAAATAACATTATAAAAGTGTTGTTTGTACCTCCGGTAACTTCACACATAGCATCTATAGGAGATAAATCGCTTGCCACTAAGCCAGTATCTCTTTCGACGGCCGGTGTTCCGGATAGTCTCAATACCAAAGAAAATAATCTTTGGTCCCATCTAAACGGCTCTTTCGTCAATTCGGATCCAGGTATAGGAGAATGCATTGGCAATGTGAACTTTTAATACAAATTTCAGTGGTTATTGCATGTTTCCCAATAGGCTTGTCACAACATATAATTACTCCTACTTTCTAAACATTAAATAAACTTACGTCTTGATTTACACCACTATTAGTAGTGTACTTTCCCCCATCTGTAATGACAACAATTACTGAAGGTTCCAGATAAAAGGGACATCTTCCTTGACCATATGTATCTATTCCTGTCTGCATACGATTTATATTCAGAACGTCTAAAGCATGTTTCAAAGCAGCACCTAATGTTGTCAATCCGACACATTGTAAATTTTTAAGCTCATTCATAAAAGTTGCTAAATTTTCTTTCCAGCCAGCCTGAAAGAAAAAAAATGTAAATTTCAGTTATAGGACGAGACAGAAAAGAAGAAATTGGTACTTCAAAAAAATCTTTTGCAAGGACTTTAGGTATTGCAATAAAGATTTGTTGGAACATAGGAAAATTAGAAGAGTGGCTGTATTCAGTGTTTTAGGACAATCAGGAAACATAACAAACTACTTCAATGTCTTGCAGTTTTCATTCTTAGTTTAGATATTCTTATCAGTTTAACTATTCATTAACAGTAATAATTAACAGTTAATTAACAGTATTTAAATAACAAAAATTTATAAAACGGCTTAATTTTTATATTTTTTATGTATAAATTAAAACTGATAATGAAGCTAATGGTTCAAGAAAGATACAAAGTTGCAGTTTATTACGAATTATGTAATTGTATCACTAAAGTTCTGCAATAATGGGTGAGCGAAAAGAACCTCCATGCAAGAGGCATTAAGACAATAAAGAATAGCCATAAAAAATTTACAACAGTAATTATCAGTTGCATCGACGATTCTCTTGATTTCGTATCCACCACAGATACCAACTTTCATCAACTTTTCATGGTAATTCTTTATTGTTTCAGGATTCATTGTTTTGCATGAAAACTCTTTTTACTTCTCTGTCGTGATTAAATCCGCGACAGTACTTCAACCCTCATAACAACTTTGGCCCATTCTTGAGCCATTAGCCTGATCACCATTTATTCAACTCTGAAATAAAAAAGTAACGTGAATACGTAAAAGTGTTCGCTTAAGTTGAATACATAAAATTAATCCTGAGAAGCATTATGTAAAGAAAAAATAATAATAGGAGAAAGTTATTGAAAAAGATATCTATTATAATAGAAATCGGTAAAATTCTGAAGCAATAACGAAGAAGTGTGTTTTATCGACGAAATTGTGTGTTATTGGTTTCGTAAATTTGGCGCGCGTATATCCGAGAGAGAGAGAGAGAGACTCTTGTAGGTAGACCCCCACCCGCGTATCATTACCCACAATGCTGTTCTTCCATAACGGAAGATACGACAAGTGCACGCTGCACTTTACTGCTTTCTTGCTGAACATCAATTATTCAGCAATCGAAGGGGACAAATAATACCGCAATCGTTACGAATACATCGACTCGTCGTACGAAACAAGGAATCGCAAATGCGTTTGAAAGGGAAAACTGAAAAGACATATAAAGAAGAGAAAAAGAAAAAAAAAAAGTTTATTATATGGAATATTATTAACATGGCAACTAATCAGAGTTGGGTGAAATTTAAAATAGAATTATTTGAAGTATTACTTTAAGTAGCAAACGCTAAAACGACTGTAAATAAAATAAAAAGTTTTTTTTTAAAACTTTTAAATATATTTGACATTTTAAATCTTTTTTTGACCATGAAAAAAAGGTAGGAAAAGTATAAGGACAAAGTAATACATCTGTAATTAAACACAGCGAAAATTCATGCTTACATTTGATCGAATAATTCTTGCTTATATTTGCTCAATCCTCAAGGGTATACAACTTAAACGCAATACAGCATTTTGTCACACACTTTTGGGGCCTGTAGCTGCAAAGCACAATAAACTGGGGCTTCGACTTAGGCCCCTTGATACCCCCAGTGTGAAACACGAAATACATTTTCCAGGCGATGGTCTACAAAATATTACTATTACAAACTTTACCCAACTCTGATTCAAAGTCTACAATAATCTTATTTTCACCATCATATGATGCAAGAATATGAACAGAAAGAAAAAAAGTAATAATACTTTAATAGCTTCCACTATTTGAAATAGTGTTTCAAATACTTCTACATCAAATAACAGTCAGATCTGAGGTGTGTTTACTAAGAACAAAACTATAATCCATTTTCATAACAATGTAAATAAAACAGCATTTTATTTCAATCGTAATGGATCAGACTTGGAAACAAAATAACCTATTTACCATTTACTATTTGAAAGGCATATCTTACCTAGGCTTGAACAGTAGGCTAGTACAAGAGAGCGTATGTGTGCCTCTATATGCATGTGTGAAAGAGATGAAGAGATCACGGGAAACGGGGGAAAGAAAAGGACAAAAAGTGCGGAAGATGTGAACGGTAAAGACGGTGAAATACGAAGGAAAACATACCTTGATATTCTGGGGCGGATCTTCGAGGGTCAGGAGCATATAACGATCCCCACGGCTCTCCGGTGATCTCTGTCTTACCTGAAAAAACAAGGATTTAACGTTAAAATGTTGGTGGCGAGGGAGGTAAAGCAGGTGAGCCGTTATCCACGTTGCTTTCTCTCTCTTTCTGACGACGATGGTACGAGCCGACGACGACACGACACAAGCACGGCCAAATCGAACCTCCCGGGAGAGCCGGGAAAGCTGTGTGACTGGCGTACCTTCACGAAAGTCTCCACGGCGCTCTTGGCTACGTCTAAAAGCGTGGGTCGCCCGCCCAAATATGCCCTCTGATTCATGGAGGCCGACGTGTCGATCAAAAAGACTATTATGGTCATCTTCGCGAGGCGAACCCGCTCGTTCTCTCGAGGTCGTAACTGCGGCCCGAGACCTCCCGTAGTCAGAACTAGCTAGCTAACAGTCCTATGACGGCGTGGCGCATAACTGCTTCGACCATTGAACGCTCTCCCGAATACGCTCTCCGAAAAACTTCTTTTATCGTAACGGCGCCCGCTCCGCTCTTACTCTCTTTCGACCTCTTTCTTTTCTATCCTTTTCTTCCTATATATGTATATATGTATGTGTATATATATATATGTATATATATATATGTAATTAGTATATATATGCGTCTCTTTTCCTCTACACCAAACCGAATCTACAGCTACTACTGCCGCGCGCCTCTGGTGCTCGAATGTGTCTGGTGGACAGCGGCGCAGGATAGCAGCTGAAACGCAGCCACGAGATCGCGAGTCGTCGTGAGTCGGACAGGTCCGTATGCCAGCCTGCCCGCTTCTTCCCTCGTCTATCCCCCTTCCACAGCCTTCTTTTGACTGGCTCTACCCCCTCCACCGCGACTTTGTCATTGCTCGTCCGAAAAGCATCGCATTTCTGTGATTCTGTGGCATTTCTCCATTGTGTGCGTGCGTGTTGTGATGTTGTTTACTTCTGTTGAGTAGCTGGTGGTTTTGTTTATAGGTTCGCATAATTGGACCCTATTAAACCCAAGCACTTTCGAAATAACAACGTTTCAAACATTTTTTTAACACATTGTCTTACGGTGGATGTTGAAACTAATGTGTCCAAGTAACGAAACGATGAAATAATCAATCAATAGTTCCGATTGCTAATACTTCAATTTCACAGTTGTACCGTTTTCAATGTATTGAAAATTAATAGCTCGATGTATCGAAACATTTACATTTATCTTCTATTCGTACGTTATGTATTTTCTATCGTTGCACGATTCGAATTGCCAAACAGAATCACAATTTAAACAAACCTTACAATGTTTATTTTAATATTAAATAAAATTTTGCCAGCTCTGGTTCTTGCACCGTGGTAAGGCTAGGTTCCTTTTAATTTATCTGACTCGTGGATATGTATGCAAAAACGAAGATAATGTTGCGATTAATGGGTAACCTATTTGTCCTATATTATCAGCAACATTTCATGATTTAGCAGCCATATGTGTTTTTATTATCTTGTTGTAACATTGTTATTTTACAAACTAATGCAAAACGTGGCATACAACGTTATTAACTTATGCATATGGACAGTGTATTGTATGTATTATTTTGTGTAAAATAGAAATAAATTGTTTTACGATTTAATGACACTTTTATCCACCTTTTTATGTTCTTCGTTTTAACACATAATGAAAGTTACGTTAAAAAAATGTAACTTTGCGAAAGTTACCAGTGTAATATGATCCAAAGTTGTAACCTATGTTTTTGCCTGATATTATACATTGGTGCATCGAAGAAGTCTCTTTAATTTGCTTGTACTGTGTTTAATAGCTTCCCTCGTTAAAAATGTAATTAGCTTGTGCATAATTCGGAAATTTTTCAATCAGAAAATTTGATAAAGAAGCGTACATATATCGTACGCGAGCACAGATTGGCTAGTTTTAAATTCTAAACCGACAGTGTGATGGATGGTTTGTATGTACATATTCGTGTACATATGATGTACAAATGATGTATACATAACTATAGTTTACCTGTTCTAACAACAGATATAACAACGGCTATATTGCGTAGTGTGACTCAATACGTAGAAGATGCGTCGTTCCAGTCTAAAAAATGTTGTATTAATCTTATAAAATAAATTGCTAACATTTATTACATAATTAATTATTAATTTCGATTTAAATGTAAATAAAATATAGAGAAAACTATTGTATTTTAATTTGTGAAATATATTTTTTAAATAAATTTTTATATTGTCAATTTAATACTGTACACTGAAAATAATACTCATTAAAATATGACTGAATCAAGTCCATCCAAACGAAGGAAAACATTGGATCTCTTGACAAAGTTTAAGAGTAATAGAGAGAATGTGAGTTAAGTTTCTTTTTATACCTTACAAACGCATTTTATTTATTAAAATTTTTTGTTGACATGATCGATAAATGTTTTTCTTTAGACAGCCGAATGTGTCATGACATTTAATTTTAAAAAAGAACGCGTTCGAGTATTGAATAGTTTGAAAGATGTTAAAAAGGAATGTAAAGGTATTTTATATTGGATGTTTCGTGATGTTAGAATACAAGGTATTTATGTAAGGGTATTGCATACATAATGTGTGTAATATTGCTCTTGTAGATATAGTACTTTTAGTATAGAATACATTTTTAATGTTTTTAGATAACTGGGCTTTGCTTTTTGCTCAAAAAACTGCTTTAAAAAACAATGTACCACTTCATGTATGTTTCTGTATAATGCCAAGCTTCCTCGATGCTTCAATAAGATACTATAAATTTCTCCTGAAAGGATTGGAGAAAGTTGAGGAGGAATGTAAAACATTGAATATAAATTTCCATCTTTTGCATGGAGAACCAAACATTGGCATTCTTAAATTTGTAAAAACATTTAATATGGGTGCTGTGATTACAGACTTTTGCCCATTGAAATTGCCTATGTCATGGATCAATGATTTACAGAACAATCTTCCTAAAGATGTTCCTATTTGTCAAGTAAATAAAATTATATAATACATTTATTTTTTTGCTTTTATATAGGTAGTAATTCATTAACGATTAATTAATGGTTGGTTCTCTTAATATACGTTTTGGTAAAGGTAGATGCACATAATATTGTGCCCTGCTGGTGTGCCTCGCCGAAAGAAGAATTTGCTGCTAGAACAATTAGAAATAAAATACATACAAAGCTGGAAGAATTTTTAACTGAATTTCCACCCATTGTAAAACATCTGTATGCGACAACAAATAAGTTTGAAAAGAATGACTGGGAAACAGCTTTACAAAATGTAAAAGTAGATACATCTGTGGATGAAATTACATGGGCAACGCCAGGGTATGAACATGGTATTAAAGAACTAGAAAGTTTTATACAAAATCGTTTGAAACAGTACGCCGATAAACGTAATGATCCGTTGTCGGATGCTACTAGCAATTTGTCTCCATGGTTTCATTTTGGTATGATATCTGTACAACGTTGTATTTTAGAAATACAGGAATACAAAAAGTTATATCCGAAATCGGTCCAATCTTTTATCGAGGAGGCTGTTACACGGCGAGAACTTAGCGACAATTTTTGTTTCTACAATGAAAATTATGATCTTCTTGAAGGAGCTCATGCTTGGGCAATAGAAACATTAACCAAGCATCGGTAATGTATTCGTATTTTGTTCTCAATTGCGTGTAGGTATATCGTTTAATACCTAACATATTAATGTATATAGAGAAGATAAAAGAAAGTATGTGTATTCTTTAAATCGTTTGGAGAATTCCGAAACCCATGATGATTTATGGAATGCATGCCAAAATCAAATGGTAACAACAGGAAAAATGAGTGGATTTTTGAGAATGTATTGGGCAAAGAAGATATTAGAATGGACTGCAACACCTGAAAGTGCATTAGAAACGGCTATTTTCTTAAACAATAAATATAGTATAGATGGTTGTGATCCTAATGGTTATGTAGGTCAGTTTTATATGTTTCGTGTATCCGACGTTATAATGATTTTAACGCTATTGAAACAACACGTATTGATACAATTCTTAGGTTGCATGTGGTCTATATGTGGTGTACATGATCATGGTTGGCCAGAGAGAGAAATATTTGGAAAAATAAGATACATGAATTATGAAGGATGTAAAAGAAAGTTTAACATTAGTGAGTTTGTCACCAAATGGGGAAAGGAAGAGAAGCGATAATGTATCGAAATAAGGCAACTAAATGTCAATTATTTATTGCCGTTCCAATCCGTCCATTTATGCTGATTAAAAAATAAAAAATAAATGCAGTATAGATTTTTAGAGATAATTCAAGCAGTTAAAAAATAGAGAAATATTTTTAATTTATAATACACAATTAACATGTACCTTTTCTAATAGTTTTTAACAACTAATGCATTTATTATCATTTTATATTATTGCTTATTAATGAAAGTGAAGCAGGGACTGCATCTAATGATGTTAAAGAAAGTGCAGCAGCCTTTAAGGCTAAAGAAAGACAATTAGTTTCATATAGATTTTTATGAATCCCATAAATTATTCCGGCGGTAAGGCAGTCTCCGCAGCCGCTTACATTAAATGTTTCGTTCGAGTCTTCGGAGATGTAAGACAATGGCGGATACAAACGGGATGTAATCATAGTGTTTTCAACTAAGTTACCCTTTGTGTCGTAAAAAGGATTACTTCCTAAAGCTTTGCGAGCAACCTGCCGAGAACAATATTATACATTTGGTTAAATCGCATTTAAAATTTTTCCATAATTAATAATATTTACCAATACTCCCTGTGATCCTAACGTAGTTACAACTACTGGAACAAATTCGGCCACTTGTTCCGCGATTGTTTTTACTTCTTCCAAGTCCATGATCAATTTATTTTCAGGCACGTGTACTCCAAAATATTTTCCTATGATTTTTAACTCGTTTCTGTTTGGAGATATAAAATGCAGGACATTTTGCCACTGTGCTTTTGCTTCAAATATTTTCGTTGCCTTCTTTACATCTGTAGGTTCGTACCAAACTGAAAGAAAAATTATTTTTGTTAATATTACTTATTTATAGAGTCATCTTCTGAACACAGTGTTATGTAGTGATGTTTTATAGTAATGAATAAAATTTTTATTGAATCTTGTCTTGGAGAATTATTCAAATGAACCGCTGAATAAATTAAATGGATCCTTCGTAACATGCAGCGCTGCCGAGGCGCTAAAAATGTTTCGTACGAAGGCATCTACTGAGATTCTATTTCATAGGACATTTAGTATGCGTGTGTGTACATTTCAACATAACCATAAGCTATACCGCAGAAAAACAAAATTTTGTTGTCATTCAATAATACATCATACAATATAAAAAGTATCAAGTTTTACGATACGATTGTATCAACAATTTGATGATATAATGGGTAAAACTCGCAACGGGAAAGCTGCTGCGATATGCACGGCTGTTGCATTTGTTTTAATAGTGATCGCATTTACCACACCCAATTGGCTCGAAACAGACGGAAAATTGGAAAATCCAAAATTTGTTAAGATCGGTAATACGATTTAAAATGTTTCTTCCACTATAAGAACAATATTACGTTATTTACGTTTTGTTATTGTTTAAACGACGCACTTTGAAAGCAAGAGTTTTAAATTAATTTCATTACGTTTTTCAATCAGTATTTACATAAAATTTGAATCGCACAATCGTTTGTAGTCCATGACAAAAATCACAGAGAAATTAAATGTAAATGAAATGCTATTTAAAATCTTCATTCGTGTGTAAAAAATCAATTTGTTGTTACAGGTTTATGGCAGGTGTGTTTTAGAGGATTTGAACATCCTCATCACTTGTATGATACTAAATTTTATGGTTGTTGGTGGGTGTTTGAAGAAGAATATTATATAATTCACGATATCCTTCTGACAGACTTTTTTGTTGCAACACAATTTTTTTTCACATTATGCCTGACATTACTATTAATAGGAGGTTTCTCAACAATATTATACACATGCTGCTCTCGTCATCATGATAAATATCAGTTGCTCCTATGGACAACTGGTGCAAACTTGTTATTAGGAGGAATATGTGGTATTATAGCTGTAATAATATTCGGTGCAAGAGGTGACAGTAGAGACTGGATGCCCAACTGGGAACATAATGATATTAGTTGGTCTTATGCATTGGCTGTAGTGGGAAGCTTTACTTTGATCATAGCAGGAGTGCTCTTTTTGATAGAAGGTCGTAGGCACAAAAAGAAGCAAGAAAGAATATTAAACGAAGAACAGAAGACTCATACAACCATCTAACTGTAGTTTTCATTCATGACAAAAATGAATCTGATAAACCATTTGAAATATCGAAGATCTGCACATGGTTCATCTATGAGCCCAAGCACAGTCTATGTAGATTTACTTTGAACAAGCTCTGCATGAACTTTCAAAGATTTTATTATATATTTTTATATTTATACTCATTATTTTGATAGGTATTATTTACACTGCATGTAAACGTCCTTGTTAACTAATAAAATGCAATTATAACTTTAATGTATTTAAAAAGAAAGAAAAACGGTACAGTCCGAAATCAAAGAAAATATTTTATATATTCTTATAATATTTAAAATGTAAATTATTCATTTATTGTTTGTTTTATAGAATAATTAATGCTACAAATCCGTCCATAGAAGTAAGACGTTTTATGCGAAAAGACTAAGTGTCTGTAAATAAAAATAGTATTAGCTGTGTAACTGAAAACATTGCATGGCCTTTACATGAACAAATATTGTATATTTGTAGTAATCTTTTATATCAGAAATATGTATAAAAAGTTGAAGCAATAAAATAACTTGTTTGAAAATGTCTACTTCCATTAGTATTTTATTTTCTTCATAGAATTGTTTTTATTTGCTAAATCAACTTTACGAATATAAATTTACGAGACTATTTTATTAAGAGAATTATAACGTTGAGAAATTGAACATCGTTGAAAATCAAAATACAATAATGTCATGCGTACATTCACGTTCAATGTAACTCGTACCAAGATTTCGATCTACGAAATTTGTAGGGAAAAATAATTAAGTTTTAAAGGGCAGAACACAGTCAGGCTGTGACCCGTTTTACTATCGAGGGAAATAATTCAACGTGAGTTACGACTAAGATTGCGTGCACGAAGATCGACGTCAGGTGTAAGTCGTTGACCCAGTTTACCTCCTATTTTAATCAGCGACTTCTACAATTTCGCATACTATATCGATCACATCTGAAAACCGTATTACCGTCGGTTACACGCCATTTTTCACACTTACCGATACTAGAAAATTGTACAAGTATCGGATAAACGTATTAATTCATGAACGGTTTCATAAATAATTCATTATTCGTCTAGCGCCATTTACATAAAATTATTCCTTTAAGTCTCATTGTTTGAAAGCAAAAGTAATATAAAACGATATAAATGCGACATGCGATAAATTTCAATACGATTTACAGTTAATTTTTTTTTTATTTCCATAATCATATGCATTCGAGTCGTCATTTTGACGCATGTGAATTTTATCTGAATGAATCATGAGCGGATGACAATAAAAGTGACTCGCATTCTGAGAATCTTTAAGACGATGAGAGTGGCTTAAATAAATCATAAATGCAAAATATTATTAAATTATTATTAATACTGTATACAATCCCACGAATATAGAGATCTAAAGATTTTCGAAAACTAAAAATTTATTTCTTCGATATTCTTCATCAAATTCTAGAATTATTGAAGAAACGTGAAACAAAATTCGACATATGTTTAAGGAAAATTGTTTTCAGTAGTACGCGATGCATTTGACCCAATTTATTTCCATACTGATGTTGTTTGTAATCAGAGCACGTTCAATGGCGCCAAATAAAAATAACAACGTTGTAATGTTCTAACAATGAGAATTTACATAAAATTTTTAACTCGCGTAGTAGCGTTTCCCATGTTAAAGTATCGCTCATCTTAGTCTTGTTTTTTGTGACTGAATCGAGGACATTTCATTTTTTAAGCGTTTTAACAGCAGATTGAGAACCCTTTACTCGTAATAACTGCTAGCTAGTACTCGTGGGATACTCACGATTTTACAAGGTTAGGTTAGACGGTATGCTACATGGCCACTAGACAACATAACGTGTTTGGGTGTGGTTAATACCGTGGGATCTTTACTGGATCAGTAGATTTGTGAATTGTTTATCGTTCGCAGTATTCCACGTCGTGATCTCCATCGTTCACGGAACGAATTTTAACGATGAAGAAAAGAAGCTTTTCTGGCAACATCGGTGTCGGTGTTTTCATTGTCGCTTTCGTGTGTGTTTGTGTTGCATTCGGTACACCGTCATGGTTGGTGAGCGATTATCGTATCACTGGCGCGAAACTAGACAAATTGGGCCTTTGGACACATTGCTTTAGATCTTTGCCAAATCCCCAGGAAATGGACGCGCCTAGACGCTTTTTCGTCGGCTGCAGATGGGTTTATGATCCATTCACTGCAGGATACTCTGATATTCGTGGTTTTCTTCTGCCTCGTGAGTTTCTTCCTTTATTTCACCATAAAAACGATATTTGTTCAAAAGATCATGATTTCTTTTTGGATATCTTTCTTTGATAAACATTTACATATTTCACACATAATTGCAATTGTTTTTGTTACAGCATTCATGATAGCAACACAGTTTTTCTTCACTCTATGCTTTTTACTGAGTCTTATATCGTTTGTATTGATATTGTTATTTGCTTTATGCTGCAATCCAGAACAGAGACGATATGTACAACTCATAATGACGATTGGATATTTATTATTGGCTGGTGGTATAAGTGGTGGATTGGCGGTTATTGTATTTGCATGCCTTGGAAACACCAAAGGTTGGATGCCCGGGCATGCGAATAACTTTTTTGGTTGGTCCTTTATAATGGCAGCTGTAGGCAGTGTATTGACTATTATAACTGGTATACTTTTCCTTGTTGAGGGAATAGTTCAGCGAAAAAAGAGAGACTACTTGAAAGAATCTCAAACAAGATTTCAACTTGAATCTCGTACATAAGTAGGATATTTTTATCATACAAGACTTGCACATTTTAATACCAAAATTTTGTAATATTATTCCGTCCATTTATATTAGCTTATATCCAATAGTAGAGTAAATTGTGTAGATTATAAGATTTGTATTATTTTAAGTACAAAGTAAGATATAAACAAGATTTGTATTTTTGTACAATGTTTTATATATATACAAGATATGTAGAGGTATATTCATTACAGATAGCTATCTGTATATTCATACTGTTATTGCTTTTCCTGTATATCGACAATTTTTGAATTTAACATTAATGCACAAAGTAAATGTACTTTAAGTCATCATACTTTCCTTTGTAAAACAATGTGCCTTAAAAAACATTTACATAGACAGTTAATAAGAATACGATCGTATCTATGGTTATTTTAGCAAGAGTTTTGAAGCCTAGAAGGAGAACAATCTCGAGTATATTAAATAAGTAATTTGTTTCTTTTGTACACGCGATAGGTCGTTGAATACTACATGATATTATGATGTAAATTTTCACTGCCAGTGTTAAATTTGTATGGTGTAAACTTACAAAGACTTGTTATTTACACATACACGATAAATGAGTAATATTACTTGGTAATTTAATGACTGACATCCGTCCTTAAATACAAAATCATTTATAAAATTATACCTAATTAAGGTAGCGCAATGCATACATTTTTGTAATATATCTTTACTTAAATAAACATGTAATTAGTTGTTAAATAAAATCCTGTTTTGTGTTTTTCCTGTTCGTCTATCCTTTGTTAAAAGAATTGTTTATTTAGTTCGATGACTTGATTTTACATTAATTTTTAAATACAAATGATTTGAGAACCACTGATTATCGAACAGCGCCATCTTACAGAGTGTCAAATAAGTTTGCAGCAGCGAAGGAACGAGAGGTGTGGCAAATTACAACAAAGTCTGTGTTTCGTGTAGTTTATAAACAAACTTTTTGTTAAGCTGAATTGATTTATAATTTTGGTTCCATTGATAATAAATTATTAACATGTCCGTCGATAAACAGGAATATCATCGCGCGTCAAGTAAGTAATATTGTTTTTCACTGTATGGTGATTGAAAAACATGTTTAACCTCTATTAATTTTTCATTATGTTTTTTCAGATGCGATAGTTTTTGGTGGAGTTATCACATATATTGCTGGTTTACTATTATTAATGGCATTTACAAGGTAATAATTAAAAAAATTTGGAACTTTTATATAATAATAATATCTGAGTAAATATAGTTCTTCAATGACTATTTAATATCTAATTATTTTTACAATTAAATTCTAACTATTTTCAGCCCCTATTGGATACAGTCTTATCAAGAAACTTTCAGTAGTTTCAAGCACATGGGACTTTGGGAATATTGTTTTGAACAATTTCGATATCCATACTTTCAGTTCGATAAGAAATTTGACGGATGCCATCACGTCTTCTCTGAAGAATATTACGTGATTCGTGAGTGGCTGTTACCAGTATGGCTGATGGTGGTGCAAACATTTGTCACTCTTGCCCTTCTACTGTCTTTTTTTGCGCAAGTTCTGATTGCATTGATTCTAGTTCGTTGGCCTTTGAAATTCGTATTGAATTTTGAATGGCTCCTTTCTTCATTTGCTTTTCTGTCTTGTGCAGCCACAGGCAAGTAAAAATTTCGTTAACAACAAAGTACGAAAATGTTGGAAATGTAATTATTTTTATGATTTTTGTATTTCAGGCACTTTTTTGTTCTTGGCAGTGTCAATATTTGGAGGGCAATGCTGGCGCAGAGACTGGTTGATGTACCCAAATTTTAATCATTTATCTTGGTCGTATGGTTTAGCAGTTATCTCGTTTATGTTCCATTGGTTAGCTGCATTTTTCTTGTATCTGGATGCCAAAGCCGGTTATAGGTTGCGCCGAGAATCTCGTAATTTAGTAATGCAAATGCAGCCTAACCCACAGACCCATCAAGGGTTGCAAAGAGGAGGATACATATAATTCGTACTCTACTACACGAAGTGATCGTGTTATATAAAGTTCACGTATGCGTGTTCTCATCAATACTATTTAACTCCGTCCATTTCTTATAGAAATTTATATATTTAGAGGAAGAGAAAGAACTGTTTATACATATCTATAATATAGTTTTATACACGTAGTTATAAATTGTGACTATCCCAAGTATACAGTGATAGAATGTCTGTCACGTATATATTCAGAGCTTGTATTTATAAGCTTGACAAATCGTCCAAATTATGTTTCGAGCGTACTAATTATTTTTTACTTTATAGTTTTTAGATATACACGTTTAATGCCGAGATCACGATATTAATTTTTATATTGTTGTACATTCCGAAGATGCGACCAATCACATACGAGATTATTACTCCAATAAAATGAATTGAAAATGAATAGAGTATTAAGAAGTATCGCTTACCTGGAATTTTCGAGTATATTGCAAGGTCTAGGACGTATTTAATCGTGTCCAGGGGTGGATTTCCATCGAGAACAATGAAGCTGGCGTTTTCTACGTACGATTGGTATTTCTTTATCAAATTCGGGCTAATGCTGGCAAAGAGGTCCATCTCGCCGATTCCAAAACGGCATTCACCTTTATAGTCGATTATTGCGGTATATCTTGAATTACAAAGTACAACAAAAAAAAAAGAATTATTGTCAACGAATTATTTTTTAACTTTCGAGAAATTCTATGCGAAGTTTGTCATTAACGATAGACGTAATCGTTTAATCGGACAAGAATTTATTCTAAAAATCCTGTTAATGAAAGAGGGACAGAGAGAAGTATCCCGTGGCTTATTTGGGGGAAAGGTACGCATACCTAGCCGTACTCGTGTTCGATAACCGCTCGACGGTCTGGCCACCATCTCCTAGATTTTTAATTATAGCTTCCCCAGGCCGGTCGTCACCGACGACGGATATTAATCGTGTGGTGTTCAGACCGAGGTTAACCAAGGCGTTGGCGATATTTCGTCCGACACCGCCGCAATTTTCACGACTTCTACCGGCATGCGTTCTACCATCGTCCTGAAAGAATATACGTCGATTATTGATCCGGGATATGGAAAAGATTCGCCGCTCTAATCGCGCGCGTCGAACGCCACCGGTAGTCTCGATTGATCGATCGTCTTCGAATTCCACGTGAAACGGTAAGCGATCCGTAATCAACATCTATCATTCAATTTTTTTTTTTTTTTTTTTAATGTAATCTCAAGAGATTCGAACTATCCATTGAAAAAAATAATATTATTTTAAACCCTCGTACAGGGAATCCAAGGTCATTTTTACCCGGATACAGGTGTCCCGATATTCATCGAAAGGGGTAGAAAATATAATAATATTTTCTCTTTGATAGCTCTGTATGGTCAGTTATCGACAAATTTATGGGGATTCTTTCTTTCTGACATAATCATATAACTTTATCGGTATACGAATATTTCGTGTTGCATAGCGCTCTGTCTATTTCGATCTAAGGCTTTCGATTATTTTCGAGCACGGATGGGATTCGTCGTCGATTGCGAATACACACGTATATACGTAACGTGTGCAGCCTCGAGGACATCACGTTCAAGGGATTAATTTCTCCTTTCCCCGCTTCAGCCCCGTTCCCTCGCCGCCAAGAATAAATACACGGGAAAAAGTGTGAATTTTTCAAGGAAACGTCGGGGATTCATTTTTTTTTTTTTTTTTTCGTCGCAACGATTTAATTACAAGACAAGCGAAGGTACTTGCAGAGTCATTGAGCAGAAGGCTGGCACTCGGCATCGGTGAAGAGCAACCTCCGTAGCGCGCAAGCTCCCTTTGTCCCCTGTGTCTTTCGTTTTTCATTTTCGAATTGCATTTTTCCCTGCCTCCGCTCTTCCTACATTTCCATATCGTTTCGAATTTATTCGAATTATTTATCCGTTCGTTTTTATCTTTTCGACGTACGTTGGTTTTTCCTCTTATCGCGTAGATTTCCCATTCCCCGTTCGGTCCTTCCGGTCAAATTATCCACACCGGTTCTTGCATCTTATCACGGGCTACTTTCCCGTCGTGCTTCCCACAGATTTTCACTTTTTCACCCACTCAGATTTCCTCGCTCGTTACATCTCTCTCGGATCTTCGTATCCCTTCCCCTCCCCCGGTTTCCCTCGCGCTACACGCGCTTCTTTCAGATTTTCTAACTCGTTTTACCGCCACCCCTCTACCCTTCGATACATCCCTGCTCCCACCTTTCCAGTCCGTCCTCTTTCTCGCTCTTTCACCCTTCGGTCGAGTTCTATCCCCTCCACTTTCTTCGTTTCCCTCGTAGCCATCCACCCTCCTGTTGGCTTCCGCCCCCGCTCGCGAATCTTCTCACTCTCTCTCTCTCCGTTGTTTGGCGTTGCGAGCGGATCGCGGCGGTCGCGCTGTCTGTCGCCAACACCGTGCAGCGCGAGTCAGTCCGGTTGCCTACCTCGGGCGCTGTTGACAGCTAACCCCCGTGCGCGAGGAACCCTTCCCGAACGCCAGTTCGCGTTTCCATCTCTTCCACAGTGGTAGCGCGTCTTCCGTTCCGTCGTTGCGCGTAAACCGGGGTGGCGGTGTGTCGTCGGGCATTGGGAATGGCGACGTTTACGACGTTTCGATCGAGGTGAAATCCCCGCGAGCATCGGGGAGAACGGTGCGTCGGGGACGATAGACGCGCGTACGGCGATAGTCCCGCGAGTGTTGTTGCCCGTTATGCGATACGGTTGTCGGTACTGCGGGAAGTCGAGCAAGCGGATCGAGCCCAGGACGTGGATCGGAAGCAGCGGACGCATCAGGGAGAAAATGACGACGCGCACGACGAACCGCGCGAGATCATGGTGGTGAGGTGCGGGTCCGTCGCGCGAACCAGAGGCAAACGGCGAAGAAGGCAGCAGGCGGAGGGCTGGCATGAACGACCAGGGATACAACAGTCTCGACGACGCTCGCGGCGATGGTTATAGACGCGACGCGATCACCATGTTCGTGCCCGTTTCGGCGACTGTGCGACGCTCGTTCGGACTATTTACGCTCGTTTCCGCTCGTCATATCTCTGAACGCTACGGTGACGCGCGCGTCAGATTGACGGTGTACTAGTACGAGCCTTCGGCGCGTCTAAAGGTCAGTAACGAGGAGGTCTAGAAAGGTCTTTCCCGGTCTGGTCTGTCCGATTCGATTACCGACGGACAGGGGACACGGGGCACGGGACACGTGTGTGTGCGCGCCGAGGACCAACGGTCGACGAAATAGTCAATGTCAATATCTCGATGAGACGACAGCTTTGCTTTAGGACACTCGACACCACCGAAGGGCGGGGGAGGGGGGGGGCAGGTGTCGGATCGTGTTCCTACGCGCGTTTCGACTAGCTACGTTCGTCCTTCTCGAAGGGACTCTTTTTTCCTCCTCGGCGGACAAACTGTTCTCGGGTGTCTCGCGTGAATGTATCGTCCATTGGGACGTATGTAGCTCGACGGACCCGCGATAACCGAGGCGGGGCCGTGACAGTGGTGGCCGTTGGAACAAATTGTACACGCGGAAAGAAAAACGAGGCGAGGAAAACCGACGATAAATTTCTTCGGGAAGGTCGGGAGGAGGATTGCATAACGTTCGCCCTCTCTCTCTCTCTCTCTCTTTCTCTCTGTCTCTTTTAACTCTCTCTTGCTACGTTCGAGCCCAGTCCTCCTTCAAACGGTAACAAACATTCGCACCGATAGCTAATTAAAAGCTCTTGCCACGGGCTGCTCCTCCTCCTGGAGCCCTTGCTCCTCCGCTCGGCTTGCTCGCCCGCTCGCTTTTCCCGTCCTCCGCTCTCTCTGTAGGTATTTAATTAAAAAAGACCGCGACCTATTCTCCGCGGCGGTGTTCACCGCGTCGTTTCATTCACTGGACAAGGTCAGCTCTCCTTCGTTACCCGCCGGCACGGTAGGGATTTTCTTGCCTTTTCGAAGGGAATAGGGACAGGGATCGATCCTACACCACCTTTCCATCGGCATTGCGTGAACACGTCGCCTGGACGTTGACCAGGACGTTGACTGTGAACGTATTCCCGTTGCCACGGGCTAGAAAATCCTCAGGGATCCCTTTTAACACCGAGTGTACAGCTTCACCAATTTTTAAATATATTCTTTAAAAGATTGTTTCTCAACTTCCTCTTTACGAGCAACATTTTCCTTTTCCTATGTTCTAGCGTCTATTTCCTAACAAACAACAGGAAGTAGCGGGAACAAACAAGCTCCAGAAATCTTTCAGGGAGATCGAGAAGATAACGTTGATCATGGTAGATCTTCGATATTTTAATCCAGCTTCTTTGATTTCGATTTTAACCAAAGCATTCTCTAAAATATTTATATATTTTGGTTTGTGAAAACAGCCATATTATGGTACAATTTGTGGAAGTACGAAGGCAACAGTCGGTTTCATTGTACAATATTTAATATATTTAATAAACATATCTACTTTTTCACTGCTCGCGAACAAAGTTATCAACGAGAAAGTTGATCTTACACTGATCGATATTAGACGTAGCGGTTAACCCTTCAAGTACGACGTCCGTATTCCCCATGTATTTTTTTAACACCCTTTCCGTAACGTAACAACTTCGAAAATTTAAACGATAAGCTTTATCGTATCGATTAAAGGGGTATTCCAGTCTGGACTGGAATGTTATTTTTTAATAAGAAGAATAAATACACAGTATTTATTAATGAACACCGTACGAGTCACAGATAGTCGAAGAAAGTCTTTTTAACAAAAAGCACCCCTCATAACTGGCACGATTTCAGTCGTTGCGTTGATCTGGAGAAAAAGGGGGGCAAAATATTTTGTCAAACCACCGATTATCTCGACGTAACAGTCGCGAATCGGCAGTTGCGTCGAAAGCCCAACGGTCGCGTGTTCTTCCGGCCGAGTATTCGGCGCGAGCAAGCGCGGAGGGCTTAAACGATCGATGGGCCCTTAACTTTCTTCTGTGTTTCGTTGCAATGCACCACTCGGTAGCCCCGATCGGGCACAACATCGATGCACAAGAGAGAGAGAGAGAGAGAGAGCGTACTTGAAAGCACAGATAGTCAACAGCCCTTGCAACGTGCGCGCCCCTTCTCGCGTTGGATCGTCGCGAATCTATCGACGACGAGGGCTTCCTTGTCCTCTATCCCCGTCTGTTTACCCTCCTTCTTTTCTTAGGTCCACACAACGTACGTGTGTGGATTCCTCGAGCACCGTGCATGTGCACAGTTCCCTCTTCCACCGTCGTGTGTCTATCTCACACACTGACGCTCAAAAGTTTCGGATACGCCTCATCGCGATTAACTTTTCTCTGTCGATTTTCGGGAAGTACAGGGGAGTCAGGGTTTTCTCTCTGCCTTACGATTCGTCGAATACCCTAAATAACAAAAGTATATTCTTTGTACGCAAGATTTCGTATCGATACGTTGCGTTACATTTTAGCGATCAATGTATCGTTTTGACAATAGCTGCGAACGTAGGAGCACCACGATGCCCGTGACATTAATGGAAGAAACTGTGCGCGTGTTTACTCATTTAAGCACGAAATATGCAACGTTTAAACGGATCCGGCGGAAAGCTCCTCGTTTCGCGCGGCGCAATTTGCTTCCTGAATCGCTAAAAAGCTTGAATAGGCTACCGTCGAGTGTAAACGAAAGGAAAGAGAGGTATCTCGAGGATTCCGCCTTGCAGGTAGAACGTACAGTAGAGCTTGTGTCCGACTAAGGACCGTAATGTTCCACCGAGATAGGTTTGAACACTGCGCGCGGCCACGGTTTTTCAAACCGTATTCTTCGCATTCTTCTTGAGACAGCCGGTTTAGAGAACGTTATAAACTCGGATTTTCCAGTTTTATCGTTGGATAATAAATTAACCAGCTGTGGTTTCGCTCGATATCACCTACGGCGAAGACAGAATTGCCGGACGGGTTCGATTTCATATGACGCTAACGTGCATTCGTAACGCGTAAGTTCGTTTGATGTCTTCTGCCGAGTCTCGATCTGGCAAAAGATGTTAAAAACAAAATTAACAAGATCATCGCTTATTTTGCGCATGAGATAATGTTCATTAACGGATAAAATGTTTGATAATGAACTTACGGGATGACCTGACATTAGGCGATCGGAGCAACGGTAATAGGAATATTACCTTTTACGAGTCGCTTAACAGATATAAGTACCTGTCGCCTAAGCGATTCGAAATGTCACTGGGCGCGCGTCATTCCGTGTTATAAATGTATCGTTAATACGACTTCGTGGTAATAATCTCGGCACGATGGTTAAAATGCCTCTGTTAACGCGACCGGGGGTGTTCCTATTTACGCGGGAAATATTTGTCCTGGGAATACTTCCCCGTTTACACGGCGATGTTTCAACATTTTTAACGCGACCCAACATCGTCTTCTAGATTTTTTTAACGAAACGACGGTAGTTCGATGTCAGCTAACAAATCAGATAGTTACGATTTTCGCTAAATTAATTATACTCGTTTCTACGTCTATTTTAGGACTATGCAACGCTAGAACAATTATAATGTATTTATTCGTACCAAAGTAGCCGAATAAATTTGTTACATTTTTTATTAGAAATTACAAATCGTTTCGACCACTTCCGGTTCTAGCTTCAAGACCACGGAGGACGGCCAGATAATCAAACGACTCTCGACATTTTTATCAAAGGGTAAAAGGAATTGTACTAAATTTTCGTTGCGTACGAGCGCTTTTACGAGGGCAGCTGTAATTTTCGTTTTCCCAGTCGGACGGAAATCGGCTTATTAGCTCTCGGCGGCAGTTTTCCCCGTTTCCCTCGTTCCGTCTTGGTTTCTCTGTTTCTCCCAACGGAGAGGCAATGCGGGCGCGCACAACTAGCCAGCATGGGATCGATAACAGAATCGCCTATCGCACGCTAGAACTGTCAGAAAGAAATACAATTTAGCGAGGCGCACGCTAGGCGACCCGTTCCGTGCCGCTTCGCGGCGTACGTTGGTTTAACGTGATCTATCGCGATGAAGGCTAATAATTACCGTATCTATGCGACTTGTATAGTTTGTGTATCGGACAAATGCGCGTCCTTCGAGGAATTGAGCGGGAAATGCTTCCCGGGGCGAGCATGACTGAACAAAAACGAAGGGAAAACGGTTCAACGACTCGCGATTCCGGGCATCGATTATCCTCAATTTATACACGCTACCCGATGAACCCGGATCCTTAATAATAACGTTAAGGGTGTATTCCGGTCAACGAGTTTGACAAAAATCGAAAAAGAAACAAATATCTTGACACCCCAGGCAACTACATACATTTCATACATACTCCATTATTTTAACGTTTGAACTGCTGTAACCTCCTAACAAAATAGTCGTTCGACAACTTATACTTTCACCTTCTCAAATTCAAGTTTCTTAAATGCTCTTTCACGCTCGTAGAAAAGCGAGAAAGTGTTCGAGTAATTTGACCCAAGTTTTAAAGTTGCAGGACTCGACTCGCGGTGTCTATAGCTTTAGTAGGAGAATTCATTTTTTCTGGCTGGTATCAAGCATCTTGATGTACGTTGTTAATTATAAGCGCTGTTGCCTCGGGCCACTCGGCCAGCGCGGAACTTTATGGATGTACCGGCCCTCGAGAGCGTGTCGTGCACGTTTCATTTGCTGGCGGCGGTATTTTTATCAATTTTCGACCCGTGCTCGCTTCTCAAGCACAACCAGAACACCCGTGACGCGGTCAGTCTGCTCGGGCAAGATAGATCGTCCTCCATCGAGAACTTTATTGCCCCGCATCGTTGACACGAATCTGACCAAGTAGCGCGCGAACATTGTTCGTTCGATGGAACAAAGGCTCTCGTCCATGGTCGATCGGTTTCTATTTCGACCGTTTACCTCGAATTAGACGGACGCCGCGAATTACAGCGTAGCGGGACACCCCGTAATCGGAAACCATAAATTTTTCGCGAGCCGATCGTTGCTTATCCCCGTCCATAAGCCTTTTGCGTACGTTTTAATAGCACGTTCCGACCGAATATCTGGTAACCAAAGGATTTACTCCGCCCGCGTTGTTGTCATTCGCTCTTCGTTACTATTTTGCCAAATTGTGCTCCTAATCCCGGATATACGTGTTCCCAGCACCGTCCATGATCAATCTATTATACGCGACGACGCGAGGAATTTACTGTAAACAGTTTAGCGAGAGTAACGGAAAGAGGGTCGAAATAAGTGGCTGAAGTAGACGTTGCATATTCTGGTCAGACCACGACAGAATCTCCTGAACCACTCGACGCGTGAGATGGAAAGGAGCGGTTCAAGTAGATGTTGTGTGTTCTGATCAGACAGCGAAGTCTGAACATGCAATCTCTTCGTTCCTGATCAATGCATTAACGCTAGAGCTATCGATAATTATGGTGTATCTTGCAAAAATTTGTATTAGAATTTCGTTTGTAACACTTCCTAAATTTACTTATAAAGTCAAATCCATGGGTGAATTTTTAAAACCAATACTCGACGGAGCAAAGCTACGACCAGACGTTGGTTTACGAGCGGAACAAACATTTTTATTCGCGGTACGAGAATAAAATTTGCCCGGAGTCCGGTGGTACCGGGCATCCCGAAAGACCCCACCGCGAGGCAATAAAAGTTTATTACGCTTTAACGACTGTTTCGATCTGTTTCGTCGTAGAAATCAGCGACACTGGGAGGAACGGAGCCGCAGGGAGCTGCAACGAGCCAGGGTACCAGCGTGGCCGCGACCATCGCGCTGCAATGAACAGGCTGCACCTGCCAGAGCGCATAATGTGCCTCGCGTGACACACGCCGTTTCTCGGTACATTTCTCGTCGGGGCTCTCGGCCTGCTACACGCCCCCGCTTCCGTTCCATCCGGGGTATAACCCTTACGACGAGGACGCGCGTACCAGGGAGGCACGATAGTAATGACGGTGATGCTGCTGCAACGTTCAGTCACCCCGCAGTCGACGCACAGCCAAAAGACAGCGAACAAGGACTGCAGCGCGAAGCCGCCATTCTTATTCCTGCTGGACGATCGTCCGGATCATCGACACTCGACGGATACAACCACCACTAACAACAACAACAACAACAGCATAAACAACAACAACAACAACAACAATAATAATAATAACAACAACAACAACAACAACAACAACGTTCTCAAAAGAGGCAACAGTAGTCCTTCGTACGTCGCCGAGGAGGCGGCGGCGTCGGTGACGTCTCAAAGACGCACCGACTGTGGCCAGGACGTCGCAATGCGATATTACCGGCTCTGGATCTACACCTGTAACTTGGTGCTGCTCGGTAGCGCGCTAGGCTTCGCCGCCACGGTATCGCGAACACTTTTATTCACCGGCGACCCGCGACGGTACGTGGTGCCAGGTGTGCCCCGTGCATTCGACCCGACAGCGCTCTACGCTTACTTGGCCCTCGCCACTCAGCTGGGCCTGGTGCAGTTGCTCGGCTGCATCGCCGCCAGGAGGCTGAGCGCCAGGCTCCTGAACGCCTACTGGCTCCTACTTCTGGCGCTTCTGTTCGGCGACGCCGTCATCGGGGTCGCCTGGGTCTTCCGGTTCGAGAGGATGCGCGCCGAGCTCAGGCCCATTCTCAGACAACGACTGCAGGTCGGTATCGTTTTGTTATTCGTTGTTTAGTCAGTGGTATCCGCTCAAGACGGTTCACCGACCAGACGGCTCGCGGGAACGGACGAATTTTAAGTCCGTTGCCCGGGGTAACTAATTAAGTAGCATAACGAGATCTTTGTGCACGGGCTTGTATAATACCTCGCGTGTACGTGCTCTCCGTGTGTTTGGCGTCTTGCGGGTTTGTCCCGCTACGGCTTAGAAACGATAATTAACCGCGTATCGCTTCTACCAGTACACCGTTGTTTCTTCCTTTTTCTAGGGTTTCAGCGTTACATTGAATTCCGAGCGACGCACGTGGCGTAGGCGGCGCTCGTATAGAATGTTAAACCGAGGGAGATGGAATTTGTTGGTTTCGACTCTAATTTCAATTGGCCCGTATCTCTCTGCTCCCAGAGTTTTCATAAATGAAATACGCCCATACATCGTTTGCGTTTAGTTATCTCGTTATATATAAATTTCAGCAGGAACGGCCGGGGTCAAGCTGTAGGCGGTAGTCATTTGGAACATCAAACTCGCAAAGAAGGAATCTGATAACGATCTAGGCGGCCTGTCTATCGATCTAATGGCCCTTTCACGAGTCGACCGAAACGTGTGGAGGTTGGAATGTTTTTTGAGGGCATACGCTTTCAGAGGATGAGGCGGGAAAGGTCAATTTTTGTAAGGCTCTAGACCGGAATACACCCACGGAGGACTCCTTTTCACGAGTTTCGAAGCGGGAATTAAACCTTTACAGCCTCGCTTTCCATTTCCCTCGAGTTGTTAAACGAACTTCGATTCGATTCAACTTTGACAGTGTACCATACACAAACGAACTTCACCTTACATGGCCAAGGTAGCTCGTGTCGCTAATAAAAAGTTGGCTCGAGCAGATGTCAGGGCATAGATAACCAACCCCTCGATGGCGATTTCTTTCTCAAGTATCAAATCAAGCTGGAAACCATAACTCCCAGGGACGATAGCTAGGGATATATCCTCATTCCAGAGGCAACCGCTGTTCGGTGTCAATCGTGAACACGCGTCAAACCAGTATTTTTAAAGCGATGGGGAGAAGCGATACCCAAGCTACCGCGAAAGAAAATGTTTAACGTGGAAAACTATGGACAATTTAAACGTCTCTTTCTACCGATAAATCGATCATCGGTGTTCAAGTATGGAAATACATTCTTCTGTTATCGTTTCGAACATACCATTTATCTCCAGTTTTATTTTAAAACGGATTCGTTCGAAAAGTTTATAAATTGGTTTACACCGATTTTACCCGGTCATTTTCTCGCCTGTAGTTCCGATTGAAACGATGTATGTCGGACCACGATTAATTTGTTATACGGTGGAACGTCGATTGTCTAAACGCTGCTTATCCTAAAGGCCGATTATCGGAAAGCAAAACGAGACACATACACGTCTATAGTATCGTAAGTCCTACGCTAACACTGTCCACGCTTTGGAAGCTACATAGCAACCAAACAATTTTACTAGCCTCCATAATACGTTCCACTTCCCCCGATAATTCTAAACATCCGACGATTAATTTCAACTGTAACTATTTCTAACGAGTCGGAAGATAGTAAGATCGACGGAAGGTGGATGGTATCTCACCACCGTCGTTGATTAGAAATTAGAGGGTTGTTCTCGCACGCGTATACGGAAGATTTACGCTTTCGAGCCATTTCCTCGCGTGCCTCCAGTTCGAGATTTTATGCTCGACGACTGAAAAGACTATTATACGACGGCGTCGAGGGCAATGTTGTCGTTAAGAGCGAAATAAGTGGCTCGTTTTGGCAATAAGCGAATCGACGGTACCGCCGCGGGACGATTTCCCTGAGATCTTATGGTAGAATAAATCCGCTCGAGTCGACTCGAGCCAACTCGAACACCTTGTTCCCCGAGAACCGTATCAATCTATGCAAAACCACGATTCGCGTTTCTCTTTCCATCCAACGCGGGGCGACGCAACACGCGATCGCAGACGACTTTCCAAGCGGTCGGAACATTATCGAGACTCGGATACATTATACCTTGGCGTCTATACGGCAGTCAGGAATAATTTAAAAGGCGCGCTCCACTCGATCAAAGTTTCGTCCCGGAGTTGGAAGTCGCGCGCGGCTTCCTCGGACGTCGGAGGGAGAAAAATCGGTGATGATCGTTCACCGGTAACGCGAATAGACGCGAGGAACTCGTCGAAGTTGCAGGTAAATGATTTATCCGGAATGAAATTTATTAAATTTTATGAAATTTCTAAAACGATCCTTTTCCAGCGACAGATGCTGCTCCAAGTTTGGTTAATTCCCCAATTTTCGAAGCGGACGAGTATTTAGGAAACGATAGAAAATCAGTGAACGAACGGAGGGATTTGATTTTTTTGGCAAATTGTCACCAGACTTTGCGATTCGGACCACCGTGATCGCGGAGGCGTGGTTCACTCTTATCACCGGATAACATTCAATGGAGTATCGACCGGCAAAAAGGACAGGTTCGCGTCGCGACGTCGACAGGGACGCCGGAGCACGTCCAATTTGTATTAGTCCGTGTATCGGCGTGGAAACGTGACCGGATTCTAAACAGAAGACGTTTAAACGAAACTCTCGGTCTGGATCGAATGAATTTTAATTTTTTTATTTTTCATCGCTGGTCGATTGATCTCGCCCCGCGTACGTCCGGCGTTTCCATTCGATTACGGTTTTATTTCCGTCGCGGCGCGGCGCGAGATTCGCTCGAAACGCTATTCCCGGCGTCGTTCGATCGATAAACATAAAAAATCTAGAGACGTTCGTAGTCAAAAAAATCGATTTAATCTCCCCCTGTAATACGGGAAGAATAGGATATATCGTCGGCGATAGCCTGGCGACAAATTACGATCAATCAGAACGTCGAAGCGGCACGGAGATTGGTTACGCGCGTGTTCGATTATTTTCGAGTTCGTTATTTTGATCCAGGGCTTGGAAAGGTTCCGAAAGTATCCGTTGTTTTATAGATTCTATGTAGGGAGATTCTAGAGGCCAAAATAAAGCGAAAATCAAGAATACTAATTCGTTGATGGAGGCTTCGTTAAAAAGTTATTAACGTTTAAATTTCCGCCTGTACTGAATTTTTTTCTAGATTGTAGGCAGGATTTTGAGGGTAGATCTATTCACCAAAAATTATTGTAATTGACTCCCGCAACTGAAAATAATTTTTCCATAACGATTTGAAATTTTTTTTTTCGTCGAAAAATTTCACACCTTCTCGAATTTTTTTCTAGAAAGTGGGTAAGAATTCGGGGATAGATCTATTCACCAAAAATTATTGTAATTGACCCCTGCAACAAAAAATAATTTTTCCAGAACGATTTGAAATTTTTTTTTTCGTCGATAAAATTAGGCATCGATTTTTCTTAGAAATTCGCTTTTCATTTTTAATCAATGTGGTTGACGCTGCACAGAAAAGTTGTTTAATACTTTCTTGTGGGTATCCATGAACTCTAGTTCCTTCCAAAATTTCAACGAAATATATTCACTATTGTAGGAGTTATGGCCGTTTGAAAATTGGATGAGTTTTAGGGGGTTTTCCTCATTTTACGGTGTCAAGGAGCAACTTTTCCAATATTTTTAGAATTCCTACATATTCTTCACTAAAATACGCGTTGATTGCTTTTTGAAACATTAAAATCCTTCAATCCGTTCAGGAGTTATGACATTTTAAAGATTCGCATGAAATTTCAGGGAAGTATCTGGTCTTACATTTTCGGTAAAGAATTTTTTTTTCGAAAGTGGATAGGATTTCGGGGTATATCTATTCAGCAAAAATGCTTGTAATTAACCCCTGTAACTAACTATAATTTTTTTAGTATGATTTGAAATTTTTTAATTTCGTCTAAAAATTTCAGTACCTGCTCGAATTTTTTTCTCGAAAGTGGATAGGATTTCAGGGGTGTGTCTATTCACCAAAAATGATTGTAATTGACCCCCCTAGCTAAACTAATTTTTTCCAGAATGATTTGAAATTTTTTAATAACTTTTTAATGGACCCTCAGTCAAGAAATTGATATTCTTGATTTTCGTCTGATTTTGGCCTCTAAAATCTCCAATTAAATTTTTTTTCAACGGTAGCCGAACACCCTGTATAGTGTAAATGTTCGTAAACTAAAAAATAACGGTTATAGATCCTACGCGAGTCCAAAATTTCGGTTCTTCGCGACAGTTATTCGGAATAAAAGTTGTTCGTAACCGTTTGGAGAATCTAAATCTATATTGTAACAGTTTCCAAGTCTTAATCGTTCGGCCGGACTCGCGTGTTCCCCATCGTTAGAATTTGAACGACGCTACCGAGCCGTGGTTGGCTGACCGAACGCGAGGATCTATAGTTCGTATGGTGGTACGAATAATATTCATACCTTTAGCCGGTATACGATCTATTTATAAACGCTCGTGCAGATATTTATGTATTTCCTGGCAACTTCACGGGGCGAAACTTCTTCAGCTACGACGCTTGACATTTAAGCCCAGCGACGATAAGGCTTTACGAGACCGAGGAAGCGACGTTTAACGTTTCTGTCTAGACTAATTAAGTCGCCTCTCGATGGATTGCCACGTCGATATGGCCACCGTCGAACAGAGACACCGATTAAATTTATATAGGGCGAGAGTCTCGTGACGCGACTTCGAATAACTCGCGCGACTGTTTGCTGTAGCGAAAGAATATTTCTAACGAAGACTGCATCGTATCAAGGGCACGCGGTACTGTAATTCATTTTTTGTTTGTTTTTTTTTTTTGTACAGAAATGTAAGAAATAGTTTATTAGTTATTCGAAGTCGTGACGTTGCTCGAACCAAGAATCATGAGTATAGATTATTATTCGTCGATAAGATTGCTGAAGAATATGTGAAAGTAAACATACTATTTTCGTTTACTATTGTTTCGAATCGCCACCGAGAATTTCAAGCGCGTCGGAAAATATAAAAGCATCCGAACAACCGACTTCGAAATATTATTGATTTTATTTTCTTCTTTTAGCCGTTATTTTTGCCGACGCAGTGGCGACACTGGAATTAAGAGACACTCTCGGGATGCCGCCACAGCGACGACACCAAAGTTGCAGAGGATTAATTTTTTTTTTAGCGATATATTAAAGACAGCGAGGGATCTTTATCGACGAGCCTTATTAAATGGTCAAAAATAAACGAACAGAAATTTCCAGAATTTATACAGCTCGTATCGTATTCTTCGAACATCTAGGATTAAATTTCAGATAGTAATTAAAGTCTACAAGTAGAGTTTACGTAAACTAAAATAATTACCGAACAGCTGTTTTAAATTAAAGAGATGTCGACTCACGATTCGGAAAGTATCCTATAAATTTTCTCTTCGTTTATTAAATGGTCCTCGCGAATAGCCAAAAAGAGTCACGATTGTAATTCACGATTAACAAACTTTCTTTCACAATGTAAAGGTCGATCGATTTGGAATACAGTAATTCATTCAAAGAGAAGGAGTTTAACAGCGTGGAATCGGCACTCGCCAACTTCCACGTGCACGTACGATATGCAAATGGCAACGGTCGTTAATTTGCGGTCGTCTAGCGAATTCTTAACTTTCCAACGAGGCTTTTAATCGAGAAGTTAGCTTTCCTAGTTATCGAGCGCGAGCAACGTGGAAGTTTAAATAACTTTGGGAAATCTAAACAGTGTGAAATTTTTATCAGCGCGAGTGCTGATATATTACCCGGGCGTTATCAGGCTCTCCCACTAAATCTCACTTATCTGCTATTTAGTTTGTAGGATATATCTAGCGAGGTATTCTAATCCAAACTGGTTCTCACGATAAAAACTGTATTTTATCGACGACTATACTTTTTACGATACAACCTCGTTGCAACAATTCAGGGAATTATCCGTGTTCGTTGTGGTCTTCTTTTTCAACGAAAAGAAATCGAACGATTTCTGTTGGAAGTATAGTATCGCGAGTTATCGTGATCCCGAATCTAGGCCAATTAAGTAATATTGAAAAGACTCTTTCTATTTTTATTCGAAGAACCACGCTGACGGATTGTTAGAATTTTGGGCGAATTTCGACGCGGTGCTCGCGAGCTTTTGATCCAGTTTACAACCCTCGCTGTCGTCGCGATGAAAAATCAGTGTCAGGGAGATTAACAACAGTTCCAACCTTTCGCCCGTTTCACCTCGTTTCTCTTCCCGTATCTGCAGTCATTATTCTTAGCCCCGTTCTTATCTAGGTCGATCGCATAATCGACGGAAAATGTGCGTACCCCCCCAGATAATCGACCCGGATACGGAACCGTACTGGTCGTGTCGTATTCTTCTTTCGCGGCCGTAAAAGCAATTTTCTGTTAACGGAATTTCACGTCGAATTTTTGTTACCCGCGTGCTACGGTTTTTCGAACAAAACTATTTCGATGTTTCGTACAAGGACGCGTATAAAAATCTTTCGAAAGTAAAAATAAATACACTGTCGACGAATTATTGAATTTTAAACGAGTAGCGTCATAATAACCGATGCAAATGTCAATTGCTATCGGAATATCAACACCTTAACACGTTCGTGGTCGCTGATGTAACGTTACGTACTTTCGTAAGCTATAACTGATCCCCGTTGACGTAATGCTACGCCTTTTCATACGGCATAGCTGATTCACGCTGACGTAACGCAACTTCTTTTTACGTTTGTTGGAGTCCGATAACACGAAACTATGTCTTCGTTATTCCAGCAACTGTCCAACGATACGTTCGAACAGAAATTTTTGAGACAACAACTTTACCGCTGTCCGGATCCGAACACTTCCTGAGTTTACGAATCTGCGAACTTTTAGCCAACTTCGATCGCGCGAAATCGCTCGAAGCTGTTAACACCTCTGTTTACAAATCGTTTAAATTTAAATCGTGCGCAGCAATGGCCAGAGAATCATATTGCATATAACGGTGTTTATGCAAGTGTTCTTGCGAAAACACGTGTTCGGCGCAATGGCGACAACGGGGCCGCTCGAGCGTTACGGAAATATTCGAGGACCGTTAAATCGTTTCTAATCGTTTATCAATTTTTTTACCACCGAGACCCCCCCGTCGATCTCGTGCAAAATCGAACGGCTTAAAAATACCGCCATCTCGTTCGTTTCGAGCGGAGGATGCGTAAATTTAGATTCGCCGAACAGTCGTGTGCATCCTGAATCGATTAACGTGTTTCGAGTCGCGGGTGCCACTCGCTCGGAGAGGTTCGTCCAAGTTCCTCGACACCGTCGAACGTTATTTATAGCGATCTATTTTCTGCCGCAGATGGAATACGGCAAGGATCCACGGTTCACCGAGCAGTGGGACCGTCTGCAGAAGGAGTTCATGTGCTGCGGGGTGATCGGTCCCAGGGACTTTGGGTCCCGTTGGCCGCAGACGTGCTGCGGGCCCAGCGCGAACGTAAGCGACACCTGCCAGCATCCGTACGGCAGAGGCTGCGACGAGTCTCTGATGCGATGGCTCAAGAAAACCGCCGATCTCCTCTTCGTCCTCGGCTTCTGCGTGATCGCGTTCGCCAAACTCTGTTTCCTGGGTATCCTGCGCTACGAGATACGGGAGATGATACAGAAGATACGTCTGCTCCGAGAACCACCACCGCCGGCAACTACGCTCGTTCAACCGCCGTTCTCCCAGGTCATGCCGGAAGCGACGAACAACGGGAGCATCGTTCGACGAACCACCCTGCCCAACGCCGTCACTCCTTCCGGTAGGCTCTTCCCGTAAATCCTCGATCGTTCGTAGATTAGAAATTTTATCGTCGATCTCTCCTTCACTAGGTTTCGCTATTTCCTCGTTTCTACTCTCCCGCGGGACGAGTTCCCCGTAAACATATTGTTCCTCGCAGGAATCGCGCGACGGAAGAGTAATCGACGCAATCTAAATTCTCCGTCCCCCGTGCGCGTGTTCTGCACGGTACCAGCTAGTTTTATCTTCCGAGGATCTTCTTAACGCGCACAGCGGATCGTTATTGTTCCCTTGTTCGACGAAAATGATTAAATGTTTCGGTCGATTCGTAACGCTCGATCCTCGGGTCTCGTCCCATCGATACGAATCTCCGATATAACGAGCAATCGGATCGCATAAATCCTCGTATCTCGTCGTCCGCCAAAGTATCTACTCGTTCTACATTCTCTTTGAAATCGTACTCGCTGGATTTACTTTGTCCATCGACCAGCCGCGGAAACGTTCGATAAGTTTTCCGTCGAGGAAACTCCGTTGGTGTCCCGAGGGACAGCGCGAAACCATCTTAAACTGTGTCCAGTTAACTTTGCACTCATCCAATTACTTTCCTGTTAGGCTTTCGCCGTTAATCCGATCTTTTCGGCACACCTTCGTCGCTCAGGCTGCGTAAGTGCTATTGACTACGAAGCCACTCAACTCTGACAAGGCTGCCTTCGCGAACGAGACGAAGAAGAAGAGAACCGCGGACGACCCTAATGAACGTTTATCGAACGACGTTCGACAAATGCTCGTATTCCTGCGAAGACAGGAATCACGGCCCCGTCGAACTTTTGCTTCTCCCCGCAAAAAAAAAAATTCGCTTCGTTCTTTCATCGAGTTTTCGAGACGGCGAGGCTCCCTGAAAAGTTTCGCGAACAAGCTCATCTCGTCGTTCTTACGTTCAGAGAAACGTGTCAGGCTGATAGAAAACTGCTCTGGAATACCAAACGTCGACCATGTTGTTAAAAAACATCTTACGTCCCCTATGTTTGAAGAATATCCGAACGTCGAGGGGTTAAACGTACTTTGTAGAGCCTGGAAGGAAGGAAGTCGAGTGTCTTTTCTTTAATTAGAAGCGAGAGGTCGGTGGAGAGAATGTAGAAACGAAGAAACAGTAGGCTCGAAAGCGTGTTTAATCGAAGCATCGCGGGGCGACAGAAACTTGTGTTCGTTAAGGGGTTAAAATAGCGGTGCTATTAAAGCAGTCTGTTTCTATTATGGTAGAACACGCCACGAGAAAGTAAATCGGCACGAGGAACGAAGGGGTGAACGATTCGGAGCAACGCGAGCACGTCATACCGTTTTAAAGTCGAATGCATAATTCCCATGTTCGTTCGCGATCTGCCGAAGCAGAACCTGGGTCGTTCGAGTAATACCTGTGCAGGGCTCAGCCCGGCTCCAATTATAGCGGAAGAACTAGGACGTTGCGTGCGCGCGGATAATAAGTATTTAGCACCCCGCGGTGCCGTCTGTAATTAAGGGAACGATAGCGGGGATTTTAACTTCGCTCGAAGCCAGAAACGCGAACCGTGTATCGCCTCGATCGAAGGTCACGCCTCTCGAACCGATAAGCGACAAATATTTTGTCGGGAGCATCGTTGAATACGCAATGTGACGAAAATATTGGCCGAAGTCCATGACCGATCATCGCGTGATTATTTATCACCGTAAAGTGTTCGCTGCTCGTAAAACGTTCAAAATCACGCGATCTCGACTCCTCTCGACGGACCAGAACCAGGGAATGTTTGGATTTATCGATCACCGTCGGTCGTCCTCGTTCCCAAAAACTGGTAATTATTCGTTCGCCTCGAGAAGGCGGGGATTGTTGCGCTTTTTATCGGCGAACAATGAAGAGGCGTCCTTAGTCGTAAAAATGAATGATCGTTCCGACAACCGAGAGGAGCCGGGGTCATGAGCTCGTTCCTCTCGACGATCGGTATCGAAGTGTATTGCTGTTTTTTCGGGCTACCATCTTGCACTGTCTGTAGTAGGATACGTATTTTCCGTTTTGATTAGCAACCTATTTCCATCTTTTCCGGAACACTTAGAACAGTAGGGTGAATCTGAGTCTCGTGTAATCAGTTTGTCGGTGAAAGAGATCGCGAGACCGGAAGAGATTTTGGCCAAAATGTAACGAATGGATCGGTTTCAGGGAACGCGTCGTTGCTACTTCAAACGGACGACTGCAACGCCGGAAGACACCCCCTGCTGGCGAACAATCTGCAGGACGGTGGGGCGGACAGCGACACGAACAGCCATTGCGCGCTGATACTCGAGGAAACGACGCCGACCACGGCGAACCATAACTGCGGTACGGCCCGCGAGAAGAGCAACGGCAACAACAACTACGAGATGCGGGAGTTCAACAGGAGATTGTTGCTGTCGAACGGCGGTAGCCCGGGCACGGGAATAACAGCAGGCGGGCAGAGCAGGCGCACCTGACTATGGAAGTGGTGGCGAAACACCTCGAACCGTTTCCTCTACAGGAGCAACCGGCCCGCTGAGATCACCGTGTATAAGTAAGCCTGTTCGTGCATACGTGGCTCCGAGCACGCGAGTGTAGCCGTACGGAAAAAGACGGAGAAAAAGTTTGGGAAAACGTTGCGAGAGACGAGCCGCTCCTCGGATTCCGCGTTTAATCGCGCCTTAGAACGACAGGGTGTCGCGTGAAAACGAGCACTCGGATGTGTCGTTGAAACTCGCTTGAGGCGGAAACAAACGTTGCAATCCGGGGCTACCTAGGTTTCTTTTCAAATGCTCCGGTGTTTTCTTGATTTCGACGATATTTATTTACCGATGCTCGAGGTATTAGTTTGTTTTAGGAAACAAGTAATTTTCTGAGCACCATCCTCGTATGCGTGGGAGTCTGGAACTGATCTAGAAAGTTTCCACCTTCGAGTAAGAGTGTGGTCGGAATGCATCTCCAGAGACGAATACGTAGGATGCCGACCTTTACGCGTGCAATTGCACTTTGCAACTGCATGCAAATGCACGAGAGTAACATTGAAAGTCGACGGCGTTTGAGACAGTTTTATTCCACCTTGTAACGTTGTTCTCTGTTTCAACCTGTTTCAACGATGCGGCTCGATCCAGTTACGCGAAACTGTATACAGAACGGTCACGTTGCTGGTAGTCAGGCGTTTTTCTTGCGAATGATTGGTATAAGAAAAGGGTAAAGAGCTATCGTTGTTCTTGAATAAAGATTGGAGTGATTTATACAAATGATTCTCAACCTGGTCGTTAGCAACGCTCGTTGTCAACCGTTTGTTCGACGTTCGACACGTTTGAAAGAGTGGTTTGAGACACGACGAATAAGTTAATTTTTATTATATTTAAAAAATGTTTATTATGGAATAGTTCTTTTCTGTTGTTAAGTAATAATAAATCTATTATCAATCCCTGTTTGACTCCCGTTTCATTCCCGTTTCGTTCGATCGAATATCGATTTTATTTCTGCAACTCTGCTTTTATACGCTTTCGAATATCTTTTTTATTAAAATCTCTTTCGGTATTCGAGAAACAGCGAAACTGTTACCGCTTCCATTTCTTCTCATTACTAATGATTTCCAAGAAAAACGCTTGCTAGTTATAAAGCGAACGAGTCTGTATACCATTCCTAAGTTGTTCGAGTTAGAAATCAACGACGACGCAAGAAGAGAATCTATGAAGAGACGTTTTTACGGTCCAGGAGCTGAACGTGCGAGCGAGAATACAATAATTAGATCGTAATGCATAAAAACAAATTTGTTCGGTTGAGATGATTGGCCGAGTGTTATCAAGAAAAGACAATACACGCGCTTGTAGAGGCGGTAGACTAGCCGAAAGTGAGTCGAGGATACGTTCAAGGCATTGATTTCCGTGCAAGGAATTTCCCTTCGAATCCGAAGAGAGGTTCGTGTTCGATCGCTTTTTTTCCGAATCGCGACACCATCGGTTTTAGACACCCCGCGCGGTTTAAGCGACAAAAATTTCACTCGTTCCTATAGGAAGAAGAAGAAGAATAAAAAAAAAAAAAGAAAAAAATAAGAAAAACGAAACTAACACGAACCAAGTTCTACCGTAGATTCTCGAGTTTTGATCGACAGCCAATTATCGAAATCGACTCCTTTTTTCTACAAAGAATATTTCACGCGAAATTTGTGAACCATACGCGACTCGTTTCGACTTAAATCGCGCACACTGCTATGCATATAGTTGGCGGGACGAATATAGCGAAGTACTTCAGGCTCGTTCGAGAGGTTTGTTAACCCCTGCGAGTCCAACGCCGACTCAGACACGAGAGACGTAGCGCCTCTTACAGATCTAATAAAGAAGAATATTTTGTTGTTTCGATCGAAAAATTATCGTATTAAACCCTTAATCCTACGATAACGAGCCTGATTCCTAAAACAAATCTAAATAAAATTAAAGAGTATACGTTTGAAAAATTGTAATAAAATTGCAATTGAAGCTATTTGATATTCGACTTTGAGCACTGTTGGACCTTTCTGTGAAATGAATCCGCATCTATTTGAATTCTAAAGAATACCGCAGAACGCCTATGACGCATACTAAAGCTCGAAATCTTGGCACAGGAAGAGCTAAAGTGCAAACGCCCAACAAGTATTCGTCAGAGCATTTAAAAGCACCGTGTTTTACTCTCTGCAGCTTCTGTATCGCGGTATAAATTTTGTCCACGAACAAAGACTAAAAACGTTAGATTTGTTTTCTAAGGTAACTTTCAACACGATTTTTAATATCGACGAGCGTCAGCCACGGAAGAAAAAGCTGGTTAAAAATTCCAAAATTCGGTGTCCGCGAGTAAACTCGTCCGAGCCTCGCTGTATTTATTCCGCCAACGATACATACACGCGTAAACATACGCACACGCATACTCTCATTCTAGGTGTCCTCGTTTTGTTCTGAACGGAACAGGCCGCGAACCGTGAAACCCGTGTCTGAATCGGAACTAACAAATAGACGAACCCAAAAACCGAGTCTCGTAGCAGACTGCTGAGGACTGACGTCGTTAATATTTTTCTATTAAACCCGATATCCCTTTTCCTACGGATTGCCACAGAACGGAGTCGAAAGTGTTCGATGGACGTGCTCGTTTTCGGATAACGTCGATGATTCCCGCGCGCGCGTGTCTGTCGAGACTGAATCGTCGTTTTATTTTCCTAAGCAGAATCCATTGCGAGGACGTTTTAAATGTAAAATGAGAAAATAAAAATCAGAAAAAAAAATAAATAATATAATAGATACGTCGTTCGAACGTCACCCGTAACGAATCGACGCGAACGCGACCGTCTTAGAATTACATAAAGTAGAGAGAGAAATTGATTCGAGGACCGCCTCGAAGATCGGTTCCCTCGGGCTAAATACAGAGTACTCGTGCTTTATCATCGACGCGAAACGGACTTTATTTTCGTAGACGCGAAGGATAGCGTGTTTATTGATCTAACCGCGAGTCGTCCCGGGAAAAATTAATTTGACGGACACACGGAGGTACTCGTCGATGACTCGATTATAATTAGACGCGCGTCGTACGTGTTTGCCGATCCCGTAAGTAGTGTCGTTTCTTATCGTACTCTGTATACGGAAAATAACCGTAACGATTGGGAAATTGCGCCTCGTTCCCCATATTCTCTGTTGCACTGCTAAATTTATAATAGTTTTTTAAAAAACGACACGACTTAGAGGACGGCGATACACGCTTAAACAGCCCTCTGTGCCATGCTACCTTTGGTTTAGAAGCTTGCTCGAATTAGGGATCGTAGCGGAGCTCTCGAAAGGCCCAATTTTCTCGAGTGACCAGACATCGGGTTAGGATCCGCGTACACGAGTAATACGATTACTATTAACCAGATAATAGTAGATACCAAGATACGCGGATAATACCAGTGCGGTTATCCGAGTTTATACCATTCGTATAAAATTTTATATCTTGCACCAGTTTGTTATTTCTAGTTTGTTACGTAACACGAATAAAGATGAACAACTATTTAACTTGTTGACAGTACCGGGGATCTTGACGAACCTGATTACGTTGGTGGGAGAAGGTCGCTGAGTATTCTCAACCTATGATTAACACTGTTTCTACCACGGCTGTGTGCATACCTATTTTAAAAGGTGGCTTTCCACACCTTTGGTAGAAATCACACGTTATCTCGAAGTTGGAAGTAGCAAAAAAATTATATTAAATCTTATACAAATGATGTAAATTCGGATAACTGTGACTGCATTATCAAAGTGTCCGGGTACCAAGAGCTGTAGACACTAAATCAATTTTCAGGGTACCTTTGCGATATACAAAATTTGTACCAAATACGATTTCACTCGGTTGAAAAATACCCTATATCTTCATCGAGCCGATCAATTTTTCTCCCCCATCATCCAATCGAGTGGAAATTCGGTGAACTCGATTTGCAGAAAGCGTCGGATAATTTGGAATACAAAAAGTATAAGCATCGTTATTTCGTTAAATATTCTCTCTCTCTCCTCCCCGCCGTTGCTTTCTACGTTTAACAAAACGAAGAGAAAAAAACCCCCAACTTCGTGACGCGCCCTTACAGTCGAGTTTTAGGCGTATTTTTAGGGTCGGTGATGCGATTGACAGACACTTCATTAGCGCTTACAGACGAAACGGTAGATAATCTTCTACCGATGGTAGAAGATAAGTAAGTTTTCTATTAGCATGAACGAAGTCCACGAAGTATTTATATTCCAATGGTAGAAGAAGTTAGATCTCGCGTCCCAGGATCCGAGCATCGTAATAAGGAAGACTGCACCGACGAACAAGTTAGATGGTAAAACAAGACCAAGCGTAATTATTGATACCGCGACGGATTATACATAACGAATGACCAAATCAAAATATATACAGTACTAAGCGTATCTTCGTTTCTTTTCTTTTTTTTTAAGGATAGACCCGCAGACCCGGAGGTTTCTAACGTTTCTAGAGATTCTTCCGGCTCCACGAGCACAGCAGCCCGCAGTAACGTTCGAAGTTGTACGTTTGTTGCAGGAAAAACGTGTAATTGGACTATCGTACGTCGAATAGAAAGCTTGAAACGTTCGTTCGCGTTAAGAAAAAACTTGAATCGCAGCCGCCTATCGATGATACGCGAACCGAGGCCAGATCAGAAGTACGCATTACGAGAGTCTTTGTGTTCCGATAGAGATTTCTATTTAGGAAGTTTTTTCTACTTCCCGAGAAGCACAAATTTTCATTCGGATCCAACGTCGAAGTGAAAATAAGATAAGAAGAAATTTTCACCTATTTTTTCAAGTTCTACCGGCAAGCCTCGAAATATTTCGAACGGCATCGATCGTGTTCAAGCCCGAAAGCTGACCATAGAGTTCGCGATGTCCGAATCGCTCGTTTCTTCTGCGACATCGCCCGAGAGCGGTGAATCTGCACAGGCGACGGAGACACCCAAAGTGCTGACGAACAGAGTAACGTTTACTTTTGCGTGACGACGTGTTGCAACGGCCACGGTGAAACGAGTATCGACGCTCACGAAACGAGAGGAGGAAAACGAAACAAGAAAAAAAGGAAAAAATATTATAAAAATGATGAGAAAAAAAGAAAAAAAAAAAATGAAAATGAAAATGAAAAACTACGATGCGTCGAGGTTGCACAAAGGAAACGGAAGGCTACAAGCGCCTTCGTGGTCCTTGAAAATTCTCTTTCTACGCCATATTCCTTACACGCCTCTCCGTCCTCGCACGGTCAGCGAAATCAATTACTTTTGTAGATTTCTTTTCGAGAGATAAGTTTCCTACGCTCTCTCTTGAATCAAGACCGAGAACCGTTGTATACTGATTTTTACGCAAATCGCGCGAGTAGTATGTCACGGTACATCGTAACTATCGTTGCTGTTCGTGAAGTTCAATAATTTTATAGTTCGCAAATATCAATGACCCCCCCCCAAAAAAAAAATGGACAAAAAATACGTAGATGGTTTGTCGCGAACAGCTAAATAGCAGCGAGCGTGTTACGATACTTATTTATAAGTATCAACGAATATCTACGGTATAAAGAAACGAACCTTCGAATCAGTTCCGGTATGAATGAAAATAGAAATGTTTGTTCGTTGCTAACGAATAAATTTGATTTCGAAGTCAAATTTATTCATCGTTTACGAGTATGTAAATGCGCACGTAAGTTTTACTCGTTTCGAAACAAAATTCGCTCGACTCCGCGTCGCGAGCCCGTGATACGATAGCAAACATAATAATGTTTCAGTTTCAGTTTCCGTTCGGCGTGTTCAACGACAAAGTCGAGTTGTTATTTACACGTAGGTTGTTAGCGATGAAACTTTGGCAAACGATACCGTGGAGATATATCAAAGGTTAATCGCTTATCGTCACGCAAACGCGTTTTCTTCTTGATTTATTCACGCTTGTACATATTTTTCGTGAAATTACGGAGTCACCCCGGGTAATTATTCCGGTCAAACGGCTGAACATCAACACGCGACGCAGCAACGATGACGATGCACGATAGTTACAGCGAAATATTATGGGGCACTGCTATCGCGACGATTCTGCCCCGCGAAACGGGACTATAAAACGCATCTGTTTTTTTTCTCGACGAGCTATATACATATACACGAACTTAGGGGCGAGAACGAAGAGCGATTGGAAACAGTAAATGTAACTCCGCAGATATAAGTAACGACTATAAAAGTTTCCTAAATAGTTCTTTTTATATAAATGGGATACACGCAGCGCGAGTAGTCTGTATTGATTTGCGCTGCAAATTCGTATAAATATGAATACGATACTCAACGTACTTGGCTTCCTAGCTAGGATTAATCGAAATCTATAGGATTATACGTTTACGAACGCAATGATAATGAACACACTCTATTAGTAGACTGTACATAGCGGTGTTCGGTAGAATACGTTAAGTCGTCGATCGTCTGCTTAAGAAAAAGCCGCCAAACCGAGTTCAACGCCGAGGCTGTTGTTTCTTTGGTCGTGTCCCTCGAGTAACGCGAACAGAACTTGTAAATCCGATGGCTCGCCGTTAGACTTCGTATTTGATCTTTTGCATTTCTCGTAATTATATCAGTCTGGACAACAGGGTATCATTAGCATCGTACGTCAACGCGTTAGATTACCAGAGAAGCCATCGTTGAACATCGTTGAGCCGTTGTGTTTCTTCTTTTTCGTTTCTTTCCTTTTTTTTTTCACGCGTTTGACTTTCAAATACGCAGAACGCATGACTATTCGAAACGTTAAAGGAGCCGCGTTCCAACTAGCCCGAGGTTCTTTCTTAATCAGGCCATCGAATTGTCGTTGAATGTACTAAGATAAAGAAAATAATAATACGAAAGCTTACACCTCGCAGACATACAGCCTCTGCCACTAAATGTATATAAGGAACATTATATGTATAATGACAGATAGCGTAATCGATTTTTAACTGATCATTTAGATGGCAACTACGTTACCGCAAGCCGCCCAGAAGCGAATACCTACACGCTACCTTTTGAATTAGAGTTAAGCTGTCGCGTTAACTTTTGACTGTATAGAATAATGTACTCTCCTCTTTTGCTTATTTTTATTTTACTTTCCTATTATTTCATTCCCTTCGGTTGTTCGTTCGATCCTCGTGTATGAATACGTGTAAACGAACGGAAAACTTCGTGTCTCTATGTTTCGTTCAGGTGTATCCTAACAATTATACGATCCCATAACGAGAAAGGCTTTAAAGGTTCAAATGTGTAGTAATTTGTAACTGATTGATATTTAAATGTAATACGTATGTATATCGAGAAGAATGGAAGAGAGGGAGCTTTGAATAGTGCCTGCTTAAAACAAAAAAAAAAAAAAACCAACTCAATCTACTGTATCTGTGAATGGTTAGACACGGTATGTACGTTATTTCGTACATGGTAAATTCTATAGAAATACCGTAGCCAAGTATGGGAAAAAGTGTTAACCAATGAAATGCGTTCGTTATTTTGGTAATTATACATATTGTCATGCACAACGAAACACGCTTATCTCGAGATTTTTTTTTTTTAGGGAAGTATCTGTAAGTACCATTTCGACCGTCATATCGAGATTCAATGATATAGAAATATTCATTTAGTAGAACCTTCCTTTTCAAAGTGTTCTATCCTTGCATTTTCTAATTTTAATACCTTGAGACCCGAGCAAAACGATACGTTAACTCATTGTTCAATAATGTTTTGCTAATCTTCTATTACTACATCGTATCACTCTTCCCCATACTATACTATGCGTTCATGTTATTCAATATTCTTAAATGTACATAAAACCTATGTGGTCGTAATTGTATGTAAATACTGTTAAACGTTCTATAATTCCACTGAAATATGAATACAAAAAAAATTGGTTATTTAGTATAATTCTAACTTAAGACTTGACTCACTTTCATCTCAGACTCCTTCACCTGTAGAGTGGTATCCATCACAGCCCCGCCAATCACAACCTGCGTTAAATCGATCGAACGATTCAAACGATAAAGCAGTACGATTTACGTTTTTAAAAAACAGAACTGACGCGAAATATTTCTCTAAAATATTTTCGTCTCGATTGAACTTACCGGGTTACGTTCAGGTGATAAAAAGCATTTTGTTGCAGCACTGTTGGAAACACTTTGATACCTTTCAACGAGATTTACTGCAATTTCTGCTGCCACGTTCGCATTATTTTCTACGAGCGCCGCGTCTGCAATTTTTAAAAGATGTAAATTAATGAAAAAAATATAGATTTTGTTTCCGCTTTCTTTATTTTTCCGTTAAAAAATTTTTAATTTTTACTTACTGGCTTGAAGAGATTGACCTTTCGTGATTTTGTTCAATTCCTCTAACAAAAATGGAGTTACATTCTTTCCAGTTATATCTTTACATTTTGCACTTTCTAAAGCTTTGCATATTGCTAATTCCATTTCTTTTGGATCCAATGCATACGTTTTAGGAATGGGAACTGCAAATAGCAGTCCTGTTCGAAGACCTAATTTTATTTGATACTTCAGGATGTTTGCTGCTTCTTTTGAACTAGAAACTTTATGTGGCGTTTCTATTTTATTAAATGTTTCGGTACAATAAAATGCTGGAAAATGATTCGTTTTGCCAATTTTTATTACAGGAACTCCTTGAGTTTCCTGGCAGGAAATATAATTTATTGAAACATCTGGCATAATAAAATTTATCTGTTGAGTAAAAAAATATACTAACTAGATGTTCTAATGTTTTTTCAATGTCTAAAATAGATTTAACGCCAGAGCAGACAACAGCTACAGGAGTACGTCCGAGTTCTATTAAATCGGTACTAATATCGAATGTTGATTCTGCTCCACGATGTACACCACCGATACCTCCTGTTGCCATTATTGGAATGCCTGATAAATGTGCTAATAACATAGTTGCGCTAACAGTTGTACCGCCGTTTAAATTTTGAGACACGATTGACGATATGTCTCTGTGCGAACACTTAATAGTCTTTGCAACTTGTGTGTTAGCCAAAGTTTCCAATTGTTCTTGATTTAAACCAACATGTACCTGCCCGTTTAAAATTGCTATAGTAGCAGGTACAGCACCCTAAACAAATACAAATATCTGATATAATACCGTTAGACATTTACTATACTAAAATGTCATTCATCTTCGTTAATTAAACGTGTATACAGATATATGTACTGACTCAACTATAGAGCTTAATAACAGTTACTTTTGATCTAACAGCATTTTCAACTTTAATAGCTGTCTTTAAGTTATCAGGATAGGGCATTCCATGAGTGATGATCGTGGACTCTAGGGCCACAATTGGTACACCATTTTTTTTTGCCATTGCTACATCATGCCCATAAACAAAAGCATCGCTGCTAAACTGACAATTATTTAACGAATAAAGTCTTTTCACTTTTCCAAAGAACCTTTGAAAATTTATCCACTGCATCTTCATGTTTTGAAACGTGTGCAAATAACTGTAAAACGTTTAATTATAGTTTATTACACTTGTTACTATTGGTAAACTGAAACATTAAATTATCAACTACCAGTATGGAACGTTGATAACATAACAATATCAACAGGTTATCAAAAGTTTAAGGAATCCATATAAGAGAAAATCAAAAGAAATTACATGGAGATTTTTGTGTATTGCTAATCATTCTGAATGCTTCAATCGGGACGATGTATAGAAACATTAGAAATGATTATTTTATCATAATTTATTTAATTCAATGTAAAATCACGATGATAAATTTCATTAATTCAACGAATATTTCTTAGTAACATTATGTATATAAACAAACATATGAAGTACGGTACGTTATTTCCTTTAAATTGAGACATTTAAAGTACTTAATTTAATTTAACATAACATTTGATAGTCTGAGTAATTAACATAAATCGAATTCAAATATCATCTTAAGTATTAATTTATTTGATCGTTCTGTATTGATTATAGTTCATTTTATTCACAAATATTTCTTTAAAGTACAAACATATTATACATTTTGTTTTTTGTTAACTAAATAAGTAACCATTCAATACATATGTAAAACTTCAAACAAAGTAGCAATGAAGAAGCTCAACAATAATATACAACTAGTATTTAAATTTACCGTACAATTCAATACGAGTTTAATATTTAAAAATTTTAATTATGAAAACTGCTGACTGAACATTAAGTATTAAACGCATTCCTTTTCTTGAACAATGCGGTAAAAAGAGTTGAACTTTGATCCAGAAAATCAGGAACGTAAATAGTACGAGGGGCATTCGTGTAAAATGAGTTCTAAATGCTTAGATATGTCAATTTTTAATAAATTGATATTAACAAGAAAGAATCACTTAAACTATTATGTATATATATATTGATTTCAGAAAATATTGTGAATTTCTTATACAAATATTTATACAAAGATACATTAAACATACAAAGTGCATAAAAACAAATTTCCGGTTATTTGAAGACACTTGTATCAGAAATTTTTTACTAGTTAATTGTCTTAGTATATTGAATAAAATCGAATACACTTGTACGATTAATTTTCTCAAATTTCTTAAATATTTATACTTACTAATATACTTTGAAGTTTTGGTTTTGCTGTTAGTAATGAATATTCAAAGAACGAGTTAGTAGAAAATTTCAAGATAATGGAATCTGAAAAGTTTACAATTTTATGTTACGATTCGTTATTTGATTGTTTACAAAATGAAATATAAAAAATAAAAAATGTTTGTATTAATGTTTTTCACGGAATATTGCTAGAATATTAGAAAATAAGAAAATATTTGACCACCAATTCGGTTTCATCGGTAGTTGCGACGCTCCTGTAGAAAGTACATATAGCGTGTCGGATATGATTTCGTCAGTTTACCATCGCACGTTTATAAGACTATGAATTTGAACAGTCTGTCATTAGGCTTATAGATTTTATTTATCGGTATAGTTTCACAGAATTCACGCTTAAACAAATGAAGAAAACTATGAAATCAAAGAAATCGAGTTCTGCCGGAGCACTTTATTTAAAAGTTTATAATATTGTGCAAGTTTTTGGGTAAGCGTTAATAGTATTTATTAATTTAGTAGCAGTCTAGGTCGAAAAAATGTTTAAAAAATTTGTCAAGTGGTAGTTGACGGGATCCTTCGTATGATAATTATTATAAACGAATATAATTAAAATGAAGTATAAAAAAACTGTTATTGCAGTTGGTGTTACATACTTTATAAACTTCTGCAAAATAATTTGTTTTCCATCGAACCGGTTGATTTGTGGCAAAATGTTAAGTGGCCCGTTGTTATTTTTCAATATGCAGCTCTTTTGGAGGTAAGTGTATGTTATTTGTTTCATTTTACTTATGGAATAATGATTAATAAAATATATTTATTTTGTAGATATTACACGCAATAGCGGGTTTAGTTAAATCAAATCCTTCACTGACAGCTTTTCAAGTTTTAAGTAGAGTTGTAATTGTAGTTATATTATTGGCAACTCCAGACAACTATGCTGCATCATCTTTTGGAGTTCCATTAGCAATATTAGCATGGTCAATCACAGAAGTAATCAGATATTTGTATTACTTTACAAATCTGATTGAATTTGTACCATATGTTCTTACATGGTTAAGGTATGTAATGTATAAAATTGTATTAAATATTTTATGAGCATTTATGTTAATCGAAATTCTAGCCAAAGTACTACGATTCTTACAGATACACGTTATTTATTGCATTGTATCCAATCGGTGTGTCGGGTGAACTGTTGTGCGTATATGCTGCTGTGAATTATGCAAAATCTCATCCACAATCTTTCGATTATGTATTTCCCAGTTCATGGAATTTTATTTATTACTATATACTTGTATTTATTATGTTAATATACATTCCTGGTAAGTAGACTAATCATTGTATTTTTACGCATTTTTATTCCATCACTATTTTATTTATAAAACTACTACTCTTTTTTATTATGTTACAGTTTTTCCAATGTTATATTTACATATGGTTGCCCAAAGGCGCAAGATTTTGGGAGGCGGCGCACCTAAAAAAGCTCAATAATGTAAATAAAATGTCATATATTCTTCTTTATAACACATTTGTACCTTATACAATTTAAATAAACTTGTCAGTTTATAAAGACCTAGTTTCAGTTTACAAAAACCACACCTGGTTTCTATGAATTTCAAATGTACTTTTCGTTACATGTGAATATGACTTGAAATACGTACAATGAATTTATAGTTTCAGTTTATTAATTTTATTACAGAATCCTAATTAATATTAATAAGCTAAAATGTTACTTGTGTACATAAAGTCAAAATCAATCATGCTAGACTACTGACCAGTGTATATCTTATAAGATTTGTTTAGATCGAATGCGATTTCTTCGGTATTGTAAATACACCTTTATTGATGCAATTTTTGATACGCACGTGCAAAAATTGTCACATCTAGAAACTTAAGAACCATGGCAGAGGTGAACCTTATGGTTGGAAATTACCGCTTATAGGTTAAATAGTTGTTTAACAACAGGTAAACACTGTTTACTAAACAGTACATTATTATGAAGAAACATATTTAAATAAATCTTTTATTTATAATTGCTTAAATTATAGGTTTTATTGCATTGAGAAAATTTATTAAATTAAAAATGGCATCTTCGTTCGAGGAGATATTTGAAAATGAAGTTAGTCTGGACGAAGATCCTAGTGAACTTTATGGTATTCGAGATGGTATATTGTTTGTAATTGATGCAACACCTCCAATGTTTGAAATTGATCCCCACGAAGGAGTTTCATATTTTTTGCAGTGTATAAGGGTATTATATTCTAGTACGATCCTGTTGCTTCGCGCTCAAATGGTTTATTTATTAATTTGTTTTACTATTTGTTGCTTAGCAATACAAAGAAATTCTTAAGCAGAAGTTGGTTTGGAATAGACAGGATTGGATGGGTTTAGTGCTGTTTGGTACTGAAAAAGGGGACGTAGATTCTGAAACAAAAAATGTATTGACTCTTCAAAAATTGAACCTTGTTTCTATGGATAATTTAAAAGAAATTATAAAAATAGGTAATTTATTGGAATTATTTTCAGTAACGTAAACATAAGAGAAAAATATAATTTAACGCTGACTTTAGAATTTTATTAATTATTTTTATATTTTCTGTTATGTCCGTAATATAGACGAAGGGGGAAAATGGGAATACTACAGGGACATTGCTTCTTCTACTGCTTATCCGCTACACGATGTATTGTGGCACGCGGCACGAATATTTTCAGCTGTAGATATAACTATGCCAACACGGCGAGTCATTCTCTTTACGTGTCAGGATGATCCTCCAATGACGAATAGCAATGAAAAGCATCGAATACGAGTAAAAGCATCAAATTACAGCGAAATAAGAACTCAATTATGTATTATTGGTCTGGGTGAAAATTGGAATCATGACCTATTTTACAAAGATCTGGAAATATTATCAGAAAAAATTGATGCTGACGATTACAAAAGAACATCTATAAAAGATCTATTGCACGAAGTAAAATTACCGTCTAGAAATATGGCAACATTACCTTGGAAAGTGGGAGGAGATGTGATCATAGATGTAGCGGTTCGCAATCTTTCCGTGTAAGCGACAAAGTATCATAATTTTTTTGATTTGATTTTGTTTAACTTCGTTCTCTTTTATCATATAATTGGGAGTTTTGTTTATGGTTAATAAATTTGAATAATAATTTTGTGTACAGTAAAAGACAATATTTAAAAAAAGAATGGATATCCAAAGAAACCAATATTCCTTTAACTTCACATTCGTACATGAAACTGGCTAGCGACAGTCCTAACGAAGTTCGTATTTCACTAATTTCTACAATATCTTATATTTATCTCTACCATGTAACATAATAATTTTTAATATCTTTTTTTTGTGTATACTAGGAAGAAGGAGATGACGAGGAGAACGAACGATTACCGGAGCCTGTATTAGAAACTCAAGTTCAGAAATACCAAACATTTGGTGGTAAAAGAATATGTTTTACAATAGCGGAAATGAGATCCTTGAGCGGAACGCGAGACCCAGGCATTGATTTAATTTGCATAAAGCCTATTTATTATCATCCATTGTATCATTTTGGTGCGCCATATTTTATTACACCCGGTAAAAGCAATCGTAAAGGTAAAATTAATTGAAATTTCGACAAATTACAAATATCAAATTAACATTATAATAATATTAAAATGATGAAAATTTGTTGGTTTAGATAACAGATTATTGTTTGGTGCAATCGTTGACAAATGTGACTCAAAAAATTTGATGATAATATGTGCAGTAACACTAAGAAAGCGTTCCTCGCCGAAACTCTATACTATGATACCGAATTCAAGCAATGGAGGTTTTTATTTATACCGAATACCATTCAAAGGTTCGTTTTTGAAATACAATACAACATAATTTTTATTCATTTAACATAAAATCATTTTTAGAACGCGTTCGAAAACTTGATAAATGTTGTCCAAAATATATCTGCAACAATAACAGTAAACCTTCGGCCGATCCAAATAGAGTTCAACTACTAAAAAAGATAATTAAAAAGATAAGAATTCGATACGACCCAGCATTGTTCTCAAATCCGAAACTGCAAGTTCAACTTCAAACTGTAGAGACACTGGCTTTAGACTTGGAACAGGGTGAACCGCCGCCAGACGATACTCGTAAATTACATTTAAAATATATAAAGTACAACATTTTATACAAAGCTCGATAACAATGAATTTGGAAATTTTGTTTTAAGTTCCAAGAATCGTCGAGATGCAGAAGCTAATAAAAGATTCATTAGATAAATACCACGAAATGTTTGACGAAGAAGAAGAGTGTACAAGTAGTGAACCACCGACTAAAAAAGTGAAAAAATCTAGTGAAGCAGATGCCATACCTGATTCATTCAATGAAGAAGAAATTCGGAAAATTATAGCACAGGGAAAGGTACATCAATAATCATATACTATTTTAAATAGAAACGAGGAAAGAAAGTTGATGATATACGTGTTTGTAACAGATAAACAAAGCTACTGTACCGCAGTTAAAATCCATGTTAAAAATCTTTGGTTCAAAAACATCTGGTAAGAAGGAAGAATTGATCAGAAGGCTTAAAGAAGTTGTTTGAGTAAGTTTTAATATTTATTATTAAATTTGTTATTATCTGTGCGCATATAAATATAAGGAAAAGAATGTACATTTTGTTTAAACATAATTTTATATAATAAAACTTTTCTAAAAAAAAGCCTTATAACTTACCTATTTCAGGGTGGCTTCGATATCTATTGTATTTGTAATAAAAAGTGTTATGTTGTTTTATTTCGTCTCGGTCTAAATCTGGCGAATCGATCTGATTAAACAAAAAAATGAAGGATAAACTGGTCCACTGGACTGGGGGATAATTCGGGCAATGAATCGTTCTTGTCTCGTGGAAAACAGTCTCTTTATTGCTCCTTTTATTACGTTATTACGGGAGCCACGTGCTTTACACGTACCCTTCTTCCACGAGAAGAAGGCACAGTCTGGCACAGTGTGTTTACATCCCCACTCCTGATGCAGTCCGCTGACTCACAGGTATTGGACGAAAACGGTGACGAAGATCGGTGACAGCCAATCAGCGGACTGCAACAAGAGTGGGGATGACAACACGCTGTGCTTTCTTCTCGTGGAAAGACGATACCTACACAGTGCTATCAGACAATAAACTGGCGTTAGGTTTGGGATGAAAGAAGGCCAAATGTGAGCCTTTTCTTTTCGTTCTTGAAACAACTGAATCCCAATTACGTCAACCGGCATACGATTTCGATTCTCGATCGCACAGACATTTTTATTTTCCAAGCAAACGTTCAGGGTTGCTATTATTAACAATTTTATCCGATATTTAAAAAAACCATTTTAACCGGGAAAATGGATCTAATGGCTTACGTGCCCCATTTTGCGGACGCCCCGAATATCGAAGTAAGTTAAACGCCAGTTTTTGTAAATCATATATCGTTTGACATCCGAAGTGTGTAGTTTTTTGCATCACGCAGCTTATACCGGTTATTCAGCACGTTTGCGAACAGCCGAAAGAACAGGACGAGTTGGAGAATCATATAAAAGGGAATTCGATTCGATCTAAAGTGCGACGTTGGTTCTTACGACAACGCGTTTTGTCACGGAAGCATCCATTGACACGTTGGTGGTTGAAAAGCACGTATACAGTAAATTATGAGATCTCGAGACACATCAAGTCGTATCCCTTCATGATACATCCTTTCAGCTCGTTCAGGTCGATCACAATATTTCCCATATTTTTCCAAACATTTATTCCACCCTTTGGGAAGTTTTTCGCCGAGTTTGACACCTGTTATACGCATAATAAGTTCAGGAAGATGGCATAAGCGAGCCCAAGAGTCAAACTCGGTTAAAATTTTTCTTGCAACAGATTAAATAGAGTATAAATAATTGCTTCAGCTTTCTGTTTTCGATTCCTACAGAATCGTTTGGGAATCGTTAATGACGGTATTCACCTTCGTCGCCCTTTTGGTAATTCCAGTCTCCATCACGTTTTACTTCGAGATATACGACAACTGGTACATAATCAACGATGTAATGAACATCGTATTTATGTGCGATATAGTAATGTGGTTCTTCACGGGTTACTATGACTACCGGACCAAAGTCATAGTCCTTAATCCCAGGATAGTTGCACTGTATGTTAATAGCTCGATCGTTACCATATCGTTGATAAAGAGTACACGATCTTCCTTCATTTTACATAATTATGAATTCTAATTATGAAACTATTTCCCCCATGTTCGTACAGAGAGTACATAAAGAACTACTTTCTGATAGATTTTATGACCGTGCTACCTATAGGAATCATCGATTTCGTTATACCAAACTCAAAATGGTATTGCACCACCCTGAACATGATGAAGATCTTACGAATTCGCAATATTATCGTTTATTCCCGCAGACTTCACAATGTCAGTTTTCCACGACGGTAATTTTTAACGAAAAATTATTACACACTAATAATTTCTCGCAATTTTTAGGTATATCGGATGAACTACCAATTGTACAAGATTCTAGAAATGTGCACTATCACCGTGTTATGCGTTCACTGGGCTGGTTGCTTAGAATACTATGTCCCGATGTCTGTGGCTCACCTAAGTACCTTAAGCAACGAGTTAGTACCTGTATCGTTTCCTATTTATCGTGATCAGGCTTCGTATAGCGACGACATAAAAAAAATTAATTTAAAAAATTGTAACAGATTTATACGATAGGTTCGTATTTATATTCAGCTCTTGGATCAAAACGGCGTACTTTCTAAACAAGAAAACGAGAACGAAGAGGTATCTGGTTTGCTTGAATCGTGCTATCACCTCGTTGGTCCGTTCCGCGCATTATCTGAACATGAAAACTACGGAGGATATAATATTGAACTTGATACTAACGATCATCGGGTTCCTCGGTTTTATGTATTTGTTGAGTAAGCAAAGTCGAACCACGAAAGTTATTTCCAAGTTCTCGTATCAATGTACAATGTTTCCTCCTTGTCTGTTAGCCCAATTCTCTCATTTGATGACGACGTTTCATATAACGATCAAGCGCCACTTGAAGATTATACAACAGTTGCAGGAATACATGAGATACAAGGAGTTACCGCACTCGTTGCAACGTCGTTTATTGATATTCTATCGTTACCGGAACAAGAAAGGCTTCGAGAGGAACGCGAAAATTATCAACGAAGTTTCGCCCTATCTGCGAGAGGTTCGACGTTGGACTATATCTACGGTGCAGAGTTGGGCACATTTCATTCAAAAATAACGAATATTGGTTCACAAAATTCGTTAATCTGATTTACAAATGAAATAAAATTTGTCCAACTCTGTTTACAATCTTGATAGATAACTTACTTTCAGAACTTAAGTCTAACAGATATATTTTTATCGTTTAAGTAAGCGTTCGAATACTTTCGTGAACCGCTCTAATAGGTTTCCTAATTTCCCCGAATCGTTAAAATCTAATAAGACGAAACGGGGATATCTGTTTCCAGAAACTCATTTTACACAATTATCTGAGACTGATCAGCAGCGTGAAACTGTTCAAATATCTACCAGAAACGGTGGTGGCACAGTTGGCCAGCGTGTTACACTCCGAAATTTTTATGACAGGCGACGACATCATTAAAGCTGGCACGCGCATCGAATCCCTGTATTTTATCGCCTGCGGCACCGTGGCGGTTTACACTTCAACTGGAAAAGAAGTAACGTTAACGTTAACTCTAAACATCGTACTCGCTATTCGTCGGTTTCCGTTATCGATAAGATTCCTACAATTCCAAGATTTGTCACTTGGAGGATGGATCTTACTTCGGTGAAATGGCGCTGGTGATGGAAAGCGAGCACTCTATAGCGACCGTGGTCGCGGTGGAAACCTGCGAGCTAAACGTCTTAGATCGCACCAACTTCCGACGACACATATCCCCGTATCCAGACCTGTTGAATCGCTTGCAAATCGTGGCCCTCGAGCACTTGGAGAAGAGTCTTTCCCTCAAAGAAGCTTACAATCTAGACACCCCGAGCGGTCCTCGTTACATTAACATAAGCAGCATACAGGGCAGGAGAAAATGAACTGTTCCGCTGTAGAGCGTTAGATCTATCTTGTTTCGAAACGTTTAAATAAACAATTGAAACTAATTTTAACTAGTAACAATTTATCTTGATCGCTCGAGTCGCCATTCCAAAAGTAAATTTCTTGCATCAACGATACGAGGTCCTCCGTCTATATGGATTTTTGTAAGACTGTTGGTAAACCGACATGAGTCTCCAGTGTTCTGGATAATCGTCGCTTCTGGATCCGTTTACGACGCTGAACGGAGGAGACAAGCTATCGATGCGAAAGGATCTCCTAGCAAAAGGAGTCTTGGGCCTAGGCACCGTCGTCTTCGAATCGTTTCTCCGTTGATCGTTCTGACCCTTCTCGAGGCCCAACGCCAAACCGACGGCCGACTTTATCAGTCTGGGATCATCCTCGAAGCTCCTCGGCTCGCAAGCCATACACCTTCTGAAGGACGTTCTCTTGGGTCGTTTCTCGATTCGGTCATCGTTCGCGATCCTCACGTTCTTCAGATCCCTGCTAAGACAATCGCAGCAACACACTTTTCGATCCGCATCTCTGTTCTCGAGGCGATCCGACTTTCTTCGCGTCTTGCATCGACTCTGACAACGTTCCCCGTTCTTCGCGACCCCCGAACGAAGAGACGTTGCGGAGTTCGGGGCACGTTCGACTCGCGTGAAGATGGCTGGAGCTGGTCCACCCTCGGAGCCATCGATATGAGCTGGTCTGGGCGGTTCGTAGACAGGATCCACAGGAGTCTCCCAGCAGATCGCCAGATCCATCTTCGTTTTCGGCTCCTTGCAGCCCAAAGTTGGTCCGTAACGTCCGTTGGCGCGGTCTTTCGATTTTTTGTCGCAACAGTCGCAACGTCCACCCGACGAGACTCGACGACAGGATCCTCCCGACGTGGGGATCTTGAAAACAGAGTCGTCGACCTTGTCCGGAAGTGGTTGGTGCTCGAGATTCTCTGCGTGGAGTCTCTTCGCGAAGGCGAACTGGTCGTAACAGGAGGTTCGACTCTCTGGCAACGGTTCCGGCGAATCCTCCTTGACCGACCTCCTCTCCGGACATTCTGGCACGTGTTTCGTCAAAGACGATATTCTCATGTTCCCCGAAACGTACTTGGGCTGGCAACATTCGTGCGACTCGTTGCTACCGGGTGGAACGACTATTCCCGGACAGTGGACGCAACACTTCTGAGCTTTCATGTTTCAGTTACATCGTTTCCTGTTGCGCTCCGAAGAAACGATTTACTTCCAGTAGTTTTCCAGTATAGTTGAAAAAGTATAAAGAGACGCGAGCTTCCACGGAGGATTTTACACATTTTGTAATTCGAAAAGGAAGATCTGACCGCGAAGCATGTGCCTTTCGTCGAGTTTCCGCGCTCCGCACGAACGGGACTGCGGAAATGCTGCTTCTAGGATCTACGTCCACGACGATGGTTGTTTACTTGACGACCAGCTAGCTCGATACCGCGATTCTACATAGCTATACGAAGATAGACTCGTTCCGGATAATTTTAGAATTCATAAGGCACGAGTGTCCTCCGATCATTGCATACAGAATGAATCGCACAGTTAATTCCTGTAATATACGGAGCTCGATCGAGTAATATACTCTGCAACTGTTTGAAATATATTTTTCGTATAAATGGTTTTCAATTAATTTAAGTGGCAGGTATATTTTAAATCGCGAAGGAAATTTGATTGTACCCTATGTAACCCTTTGTTAAGGACGACCAGGTCCGGTCAGGTAGTCAAGTAAAACGGTTACAAAAGCTATTGACGTCGAGCGCGGTCTTTGCTCGAAGGGGTATTAAAAGATACCAATAAATACCAATAAATTAAAAAGAAAATATAATGGTCAGGTAGGCGGAGAACTTCGGTATAACATTTGAAGCAGTTGCAAATTAAATTCGAGTGGAACATATACAGAGACTTAAAAACAATATTTACACGTTCAGTTTTTTCACAATTATCTCCAAAAAAAGAAACGAGCATGCAAATACTTTTTTTAGTCACTGTATACTCGCGTACCATTCATAACTGATTCATAACATATTCGCATACTGGTTCCTGGGTTAAGCTTTCGCGTAAGGCGGTTCACGAATCGAGCAACTTCCTGATGTAGCTTGTGATTCCTCGTATCGTTACACAATACAATTATAATTGGTCGTGTGTTGGTAGTGGAGTTGCTGTTCGCACGCGAAGCGCGGCTCGCTTTGGGAATCACCGATGACGATGGGTAAATACAGCGGAACTCTTTTACAGTACTCTACTCAGGATATAAAATTTGCATCGATACGATAAAATAATATAGAATCGATAATCTTTCTTCTTATTTTTTTTTTTTTAAGTAAACGATATATTCCTGCGTTCTACTGATTCCGCGAACAGGTAGACATTATTTATAGTAGCATATCGTGAATCTTACAAGGTTCCGTTGGAGCAATGCCATTCCCCTTCTATTCTATCACAAGGAAACCTTGACATAAAACATTAACAGAGGGTCTTTAAACATGCCCTGAGGAGCACGTGGCAGTAACACGCAACACGCCGAGTCTTAATGATTTCCCTCGTATTGATGAATCTACATTGTATTCAAAGAACTATAAACGAATGTCACGTCGACTCGAACCGTTCACATTAAATTTATTCTCAGTTAAAATAACATTAACGGAAATCAAGTTTTTAGTGATTATCGACTTCTTTGTTTGAATAATTCACACAGTGAGCTCGTTCCTACCGTCTGTACCGTGGACTCTAAACAATACTGTTAAAATGTAACAAGAGTGTGACGAACAGTGAGCGATTGAAACAGCATTAATTGCGGAAAGCTGGACAACAACGACCCTGAGGAAACCTGGTAAACCCGGAATCTGGTGGGGATATAGTGACGTTCCAACGTTAACATCACGATCGCGATCAATCAGCACGATGATTCAACTTGTTCCTATTTACTGAATGGAGTCCAACGTTCTATGAATCTGTTACCACCGAACAGATCGGTTTCAGCTAAAAGTAGCTACAGTCGTGCGCGAGTACAAAAGCGTTTCCTTCTCTAAGCGAAACAAGCGCGCGATGTACAACGCGTATCGGCGTTAACATTCATTAGGGTAGATAACGCGAGCCGCAAATTTTTATTTTTGCAATCGTAATTTCCGTTTGGTGTGCCGCTTCTTTGTTCCGCCGTCAACGAATCTTGGAATCGTGCGGGGCAGTCCGATGCAAGAGACCTGCCCGCTGATGTTGGATCTTAAAAACCGTGCGTTTTCCGTGCATTGAGGATGTTTATTGGCAACCACTGTCTGAAAATATCGTACGCGAAGGATTATAATCGACAGTGAATTAATGAACAATGGCGCGACCAAACACCAACAGCAATGAAATCATTTACATGGACGACGTAGAGGACGGAGTGACGGAACCGTTGACCTCCAAGGAATTGGAGGCGACTATTACACCGCGTTTCGTCTCCTTGTTGGAGACCGACAACACGAACAACCCGCGACCGACTTCCGGGCCTGAAATCGACGACCTCGAGCCAGAGCGGAAGCCATCGATCGGTTTCGATCATCGGGGAATAGACGACGGTCTCCTGCCGACTGCTCCACGCACACCGGACATCTCTAACTTCCCTGTTAACAATATTCCGTTCTTTCCGGTGGCGCCTATTCAACCGATACCCGACGTGAATATCTATCAGCATAAGAAGACGCTCGCCCAAGGAATGATGGACCTGGCCCTTCTCTCTGCCAACGCGAATCAATTGCGTTACGTTTTACAAACTGACGGGGGACATCCGTATTTTTATCCTTCGTTGGTCATGATAGGTGCTAGCTTGTTCTTGCAAATCGCTGTAGGAATAGGTCTGATCTGGAATAGCAGATACAACGTGAAAGACAATGCGCAAATGTGCAAGGCCGAACGGGCGAACAATTGGACAGTGATCGGTATATTTTTGGTGACCATTCTTAACGTTTTTATCTCGTCGTTCGGAGTTGTTGACCAGGTCACGGTCATTCCCGCATGATCCCTGGAAAATTGTACAATAAGACTCGATCGAATTGAACGGTTCGTTCAATCGTAAGTATAAGTATTGGACTGATTTGTGATCTCGTTTTATTTTCTTAGAAAGATTAAAGTTGAATACAGGAAGGGATTAGCTGTAGAATCTTTTTCAATTCGTCGGAAAGTCTTTCCTTTTTCTCGGCTAAACCCTTCGTTTCTTTGTTCAATTCGGCAGAAATCTCTGTTAGCCAATTATCCATTTCTGTTCCATTCTTTTTCGACCTCAACAAACGCGATACGCATCCAAGTTTGGAATCCTGAGAGCTGGATTCCTCCTTGGTAGACAGAGTGTCAAGCTTTTCTTTGACAATGTGATTTAACAAGGAAACGAATTTTATAACTTCGTTCCAATTTATATTGTTTACACTGGAATCAAGAGATTTGTTCTGCTCATTGACTACTGTTACCTGAAATTTTCATTATTGTCGTTCAATCGCGTTTTGTAGTGTACATATAACGCGCAAAGATAAAGCACAATTTCAATTTACCATCCATTCAAAAAATATATATTCCTTTTTCAACCATTTCATATGTATATCTAATAAAGTACCAATGTCAGATAATTCTTTTAAATATGTTTTATCTTCGCCGGATAGTGCACTTTTACTAGATGTTGCAATATGTTTTATCAATGCTAATTCTGATACACTCAGATGTGGAAGAGCACTGGTATCGATGCTCGCAGCATGAACTTTGCTTATTAAATTAGCTCTCTCAGTAATCAATTCAGATATTGCTTTTATATTGTAATTCACTTTAGTGCTCAAGTGTAATATATTATTTGTTTGTGCAGTCAATGTCTCTGGTATACTATACTCTATGTCTTTCTTCTAAAACAATATGTAATTTCAAAACACACCTCTAAATTTGTATCCCAATTTAACCAACACCTAATGTAAAAATTACTTCAAAGTTGCATGACTTAGAACATTCCCTTCCAAGTACACTGTCGGATAAATTTACTCTAATTATGCTACTGAGAACATTTTGTGTTCCAAGAAGCCATGCTAATGCTAATAATAACTGTCTGTTGTTCTTACTGTCCTCGTCGAAAGCATAAAACTCTATTGCTGGGTACTGTAAACACGCAAAATACAATTTCGTAGCCCACGTCGTATCTAAAAACAAACCAAATCTATAAACAGATTTAAACAAGTGTCGTGCAGTGTCTAATAAATAAATTTTAAATCAATTTACCACATTGTTCGAAATTGATTTCGATCTGTTTTTCTCTTACAGCCTGGTAACTCAAAACATGCAACGCTTTCCAGAACGTCTTGGTCTAACGCAGAAAATGTATCATCGATTAAAATTATCTTTCTCTTAGTTGCTTACGCGCGAAAACGTTACGTGTAGAGGTTATGCGATATCGCGCGCAACACTCACGACATTCTCGGCCGTGCCATTGAATTTCGCCAGCCTGAAATATTCGGGTTTCATCGTGACATGGATGGATAAATTTAAATGCTGGCATAGCAGGGACAGAACACTCCTTATGTCTGACATTATCACGATTCGAATCGAACTAACATTTCACGCACTCACTTTTCAATAGTTTCAACCTCGCGTGCGTTCGCCCATTTCCCGCGCTTTTCCTACGTTGCTCAGCTGTTCCAAGGCCAAACTTTATTTTGGTCAAGACTATTACGTCGTTACTAGTCCACGCGAAATGACTTTTTTCAATAATTCCTAAACTTTCTGATGGCAGTTAATATGTTAATGATACAGTAGAGGATCGATAAACGTTTCGTGCTTCGTTGTCCTAAAATATTGTGTGTATTTGGGTCGGAAACAAATATTTCTGAACGTCAATCAACTTTTATAGCGTCATTAACAAGTATTAATACGCACGGAACAAAATAAAAGTGTGTTATTTAGGACCACCTGTCCCGTACGAATTGTTTCGAACGAGGGTAATATCTTTTTGGTTCTGACGAGAATAGTTCGACGTAATTACGGTTGCAAGCTTTAATGAGGAAGTCGACAGGTAGCCGTGTTGGTCACCGCAACCTGTAGTTGGCCGTGCCACCTGTTAACAGGCGGCAGATATCCTTTTTTTCAGAAAACTCCGAGTACCAGTCAATCGATTCCGTAATTGGAGAACTATAACAATGGAAGGAAGTCACCGTCAACGTAAAACGTAGCGTTTAATACTCTTTATTATCCTTAATAATTGTTTCAAGAGATCTGCATAAGGAATATTAAGTTGCAAATAATATATATCGAACAAGATATCAAATTTTGTTGCATAACATTGCTGCGCAAATTACAATCTATTAGATTGTGCAATAAGTTCATTCATGTCGATGACGGTACTTCAATACTTTATTATAAACTTTGACTGGATAACCAAATGATTGATAGCGAAAAATACTATTCACGACAGGATAAATTGCAAGCAACTAAATAAAAGAATTAACCACGTATCATGTACGATCCCGTATATGTTTAACGACGGTACAAAAATTATTACCGGATATTTTACCCTGACCATTATATTCGCCGGATCGTTCATAGATTGTCAAGTTTTTTCTAAAACAACATCGAGATGTGATAACTATGTTACCTTTGTTGTCGTTAAAAAATTTTTTTGGTCCGTCGGTCGAGGTGTTAATTAATGATTAACGATGCAAATGTTGTCGCCTCGCGGCTCGGTGGTTCCGTCCCGTCGTGTCCGTCTGCATTACGAATCCGTAATGCACCGGTAGGTCCTCCCCCGTCGTCTCCGTTCCCTGGGGCACAAAGGCAGCGATTACGGGCCGTTAATGTGACGAGAACCCCACCTGGTGCACGGAGGACTGGTCAATCGCGTGCGATCGGTCGAACGAGCAGGATTGCCGAGCGATCTGTCGACGGATCGAGCCCGTTCTTTTTAACTCTTCTCTTTTGCATAGTTCTACTCTGTTGCGTGCAATTCTGATAACGGTCGCTTCCGCGATCCGCTTCTCGGACGAACGGATAACCAGAGAAACGCGTATGTACAGTGTCGTCGGAACTCGCGTGGTTCCTTCCAAGTTTGTAACGCGACACGACTGTAAACAAAGACGAAAAAGAGTGCTCGTGTTCCACGACAAACAGTGAACCCGTACGGTTTCGTGTATCGTAGGCGCGAAGTGGACCAATTAGCGAGGAGGAACATCGTCATGTATCCAGATGTGCAGAAAATGGAACGAAAACACGACGGACTGATTTTAACGCTCGCCGAGCTTTGCCTTTTATTGGCTTTGGTAAGGAGACTAGGTTTTCTCAAGTACGCGCTGTTAGGTCCATCGAAATATTCTGACAACAATGCGACGAGTGTAACAACGACGATTGGTCCGAAAGAAACGATAAGAATCGTGTCGAATTTAGTGGATTTTCGAGTGACGTTGATACGATCTGTCGTTGTTAGTTTTTATTTTCCTCGGTTTTGACGTTTTGCGTGTACCTTGTGGACGTAACGATCGTTGTATCTTTTGTTTACAAAACTTGTTGCATTGTGGTCACGCATTCGTTGTATAAAGTGAATACCGGTTGATGGAACGTGTAGGAAATAGAACGATTATGTCCAATTTCAGTTAATATGAACGAACCGAACGAGTTATAAAACGTGATCATTGCCGCAGAAATTGTGATTTTCTTTGACGCTAGACGATTGAACAAAGTCTGCAATTAGTAGCCGGCCGGTCATATTTACGTAACCTGAGACTTATCGTCAAGTGACTTCTATCTCTGAAGTGAGAGTGAACTTGTGTTAGATCGAATGGTTATTTTTAGGCATTTTATCGTAAGGTCAGAGAACTTCAATAAATATAATGTTTCGATACGATTTTAATCTACACGAAAACACATTTTCAACTTCTTGGCTCGAGTATTCTAAAGCTTGTGGACGTTATGCTACGATGGATCGAATTATTCAATGTCTATCAAGTAGTTAGTAGTTTTAAGGATTAGCCGGCAAGGACGAATGGCATTTCGTGCGTACTTCTCATAAACGTTAGATTCGCGTATCATTTTAGGTTGACGTTTACGATTCGCAGAATTCCATAATACGTTACCGGGAATGATAAAAGTATAAATACATAGAAGACTTTTAAAAAGCTTCGATGGGAAGCCTGTATCGCGAATGTTCTACAAATACTACGACGTACGTAATTTAGATTAACAATACTTTCAAGGGAATTTTTGTCGCTTGACATCGAAAACAACTTCGTAACGTTTATTATTAGACTGCATCATTTATTTTATTTCATTTTTAAGCAAATTTGCGTCGATGCATTCACGCGCTCACCATTTAAAGTTCCATGCCGTTCAACGTTATAAAGTAATATTTACTTTTCGATATACGAAAATTTTATTTTGTTTAAATAATTATTATCGATTGAAATAGTATCAAGGCAATACGTCGGAGAATATTGTGACATATTCGTCTTTGTAAATTATATCAAAGTAGTTTTGATGTTTTTCTAAAATTATATTCAAATAAATTGCAAATACCGGGTTGAGAAACACTGTTTGAACAAATGGTTTTAATATGCTAAAATTCATTATTTGCCAGAAGCTCAATTATCGACGAATACGTTTATCTTAATTTGTGATCTTGAGTAATATATTCAATAAGGCGAGACAGAGCGAGAAAGAGGAAGAAGAACGATCTATCGATCTCTCAAAATTAATAACACGGGTGATAAATACATTGTGCAAGAGCTATTAATATTCGATGTCTCTTCTTAGCGGAGAAAGGATTGTTCGTGTTCTCTGACACGTATAAAGATATAGTGATAGAGCAGCTACACGAAATATGTAATCAAGGTCGAGGTACCAGATTCTCATAACGGTAGTAGGCTTCCCTTCGGATATATTCTATTTCTTTTACCAGATTCTTCGTACGGAAACTAACTGTACTCTATGTATAATGCCCGGTTTGAGCAGAACATTTTTTAACCGGACGATAACACGAACAATAACGCGCACAATTCGTACTTGGTCGATAGAAACGTATAAAATTTACGTACTTACAAAACGCCTGTCCCTTTTCTACGATCATGCTTAGAGTCCTCTTCCGTCCGATTCAGTCACCTAATGCAATTCAAAAGTTACATTGTAATTAGGGTAATCATATTTTTTTTCTTTTTTAGACAGTACAGAACGTTCATGCATATCCATACCCAAGTAGTCAAAAAGGCGAGGATGGTGGACGATCGTCTCTGCAGACATCGAACGATTTCGATGAATGGTTTGCCAACGATGATAGATCGAACAGTAGAGTTCGAAGAAATGCTTCGGACGCGTCCTCGAAACCTCTGGCAAGAAGTTTTCTAGGTAAGCAACGAGAAGGTTATTTTTAATAAAAATTATAAATCATACTCGAGCATGAACTTTTTGTTACCAGGTTCGTCGTTGCAGGAGATGCAGTCGGATGGTAAGATTGTATTTCCCGGAGAAATAAATCAAGTTCCGGTTTGCAAGGGGAATACGTACTGCGAGAAGTTGAACACTTATCCTGAAGAATTAGTGACTACCGCGATTAGACGCAATGAAACTCTCAAGTACCTGGCGGGTGTAGACGTGGTCAGTATTAGTATTATTTAGTAAAATGCTTCAGGGTACTTTCCTTCATGTTACTTCACGTGTTCTGTACGGTTACAGCTATCCGATGTGGAGCAGAGGATCGACTCTGTAGACGACGCGCCTCTCTGCGTATCCACCGTACGTATAAATATCCTTGCAACGCCTCTCGTGCTTCCTAAAAAAAAAAATAATTTTATTAGTACAAATAATTCAAAATTAAACCGTACAAAAAATTACGTACTGTTCTAGGAGCAAGTTATATTTCCCCAATCGGCGGAGAATAAGGACAGTCAATGGAAATACATTGCAAATCAGGATAACTTCAAGCAGGGTGTGAGGATTGAAAAGTGTAGGTAAGTGTCACGGAAAGATCGTCCTAGGAAGAACAGATGGAGAATGTAAATATTACAACATTTTTGTACAATTTGCAGCAAAGAGAACGTCAGTTGCAATCTAATTGGTAATCTCGCCGAGGGTTACAAAACAAATTGCAAACAGAAATACGTGTATAGACAACTTGCCGCAGTATTATCGGATGGTTCTGTTGTCCCGGACAGATTCATATTTCCATCGAGTTGCTGCTGCCATATATTGTTCACTGCAAATCCGTACATAAGGATGGGTCTCATGAGCGGAGAACCGAAAAGAAACGTTACGCCTATTAAGACACGCAGGAGGAAATGAACGCTTTAAGGTCAGCTCTTTTACAGAGCTTTTTAATCGATATACCTTTGACTCTCAGAGAGACTTTAGACAAATATATATATTTAGAGTACATAAAACTGTTAACGAGAAACGAATCGCGAGAAGCATTCCATAGATTGGAAAAAAATATTTCAAATTCTTGTAGCGAACAATCGAAATGTCTCTAAAAGAATGTATGCATACACGAGCTCAAGAAAGATTTGTACATATCGAGATCGCGTTCCTTTGTAAATTACCAGCTTGTAAATAACGTAATTTCGTCAAAAGTATAAAATACAATATAATATACGCGAAATAATCTACCAGCTTAGCCGGTGAAGTTAAGAAACTCGCAGGTGTTTCTTTGATAATCCATGGATCTATGGATAAATAAACCATAATTTAAGAGAGCAGCATGGCTGTCGGTGTACGTAAAATCATGTATTTAATGGTAAAGTACAATTTAATTAGATGCGTTTACGTACACGAATTTCTGACTGCACATTTTTTTTTTTTTTTTTCTTTATGCGAATAATTTGTATTTGAGGGACGAAGTGAGTCTCTAAAGCGAACATAGATCTATATCATGTGATACTATGTGATATTATAGTCAATGAGATCGATGTTGTGATCGTTAATTTAGAAATATTATGTTTTTTATATCCAATTTCGACAATAATAAGTATTCTTCTGCGGTTTAGAAGAAAAAGAAACAAGCAAATGCAGTGCGAGGCATTTTAAGAAATGATAATATACTCGTTATTGGTGAGGTACAATATTAGATACATACATATATATATATATATACACACACACAGTCTGCTTTTAGCGGATAGATATAAAAATTGCTATATGTATATGTATATTTACCAGTTACAAAACAAGATACATTATAATTTAAGAAAGATAAAGAAACTATTAATATAGTAAATAACATTTTTATCTACGAAAGTTATTTGTTGTTTTATTATTAAAAAATGTAATTAAATATATTAAAAGAAGTTAAAAACAGAAAATATATTTTGTTTTATCTCTACAATGCCTGGAAAAACCCACACATAAAGAGAGACCTCGTTTGCAAATACACAAATTTATTCTTACATATTAAATACAATACTTACATCTACGTTCTATCTTTTGTTTTAACACATCATTTTTTATGGTTAATCGAATACTTATACATTATGATTTGCAATTTTACATTTTCCTGCGTTGATTCCAAAAGTGTAAATAAATATTTACTACGTGTATAGAGGTCATTTAGAAAATGGGGGGAGTTTGTAAATATATTTCCAACGTTAGATATACCTAATAATTTCTTACAAGTGTATCCAACACATTTTTAGATTTAAAATGGTCCAGGGTTTTATATAAATTAGATTTTAGTAAATCCTTTAAGATTCTTTCCCCCTCCTCCTCGCATTCGACACTGGTCCATGGTTATAGCTTTGGGAGATCACGATTCATACGATTAAAGTACAACAAATAATTGCTAATACAATTCACGAGGTGTGATAGAATGATTATAGACTAGGCAAATACGTACAAATAATTTTTTTTTTTCTTTGATTTTTGACACATCTACGTTCCAAATATTACCTAATATAGGTTTATACACCCTATTCAGGGATTAATACAGAAGTAGGAAAAATGGGCCGTGCTTTGTGAACTTGGACGTTCATCGTATATACGCTAAAATATTTATCCATTAGTCAGCACAGGTGAACCATGCAAAAGTACATTCTTTCCTCTTTTTTTTTTTTCTTTTTACAAAAGCACTACTACGTAACGTGGAGTACTTACATTCTCACTTGGAAGTATAAGAATGGTATCTAATGCTTATTTACGATTAATCTACGATCGTAAGTCATAACCGTATCGAAAAACGTGTAAATATAATTAATATGTGATATAACAGCTATAAAGTTAGTATATTACCGTGTACGTCAATAAACATCGATTTAAAAAAAAAATAATAATTATAAAGTAATAGAAAAAAAAAAATGCACCTCAAAAGTGTTGCGTATAATGTGGCAGTTTGTGTTCATATTGAGCATCCAGTCTTTACCGTAGAAGGAAACAAATTAACAGTACAAAAGTCAAATGCACCTTATAAATAAAATGCCAATTTTCGTGCTTGATGCTGTCTCTGTGTAGACCAGGGCAACTTCCATTGTGACGTGTAGCTTCCTCTTATGAATAAAAATGTTTTAAAAACATGTACTTCTTGCAAGCACATTTGTATGTACAATGAGCTGCACATATGTTCGTCTTAATACAAAGGAACATAGAGATTAAAAACTCAGTCAATTTCTTAGTCCTGTTACAAGATTGTTGGCAGGCCAGTCTAAGAGCTTCTTAAAACTATTTTCAACATGCCTGAAATGAAAATAATGAATGTTTTATCAATTACCTCTTACTCTTCTCCGATGTTCTTTGCAACAAAAATAAAAATTGTTATACCTTAAGGCCGTACGTGGTATCATAGCCTCCTTTCATTTGCATCTGTGCTTGAATGTTTGATAATTGCGCACTGCTCATATCAACATCCCCGCTGCTAACATGTCCAGTATGCCTGAAGTTTGTAGGCACACCGATCATACTACGATCTATCCTTAGCCTCTGATGTGATCTTTGCCTTCCATTACGTGCTCTTGGTCCCTGTTGCGTTAAACAACAGGTAAAACATTGCACCCAAAGTTCTCCGCTGCCAGCCATTGTTTATTTCCCTGCTTTAATTACTCGAACTTCAAAGATCTGAAAAGTGAGATCGTATAACGACGATTAATAAACTTTCGTTATAAATAAATTCAATTTCTTGAAGGAAAGTTTGAATAATCACGGTTGAACGTAAAATTACGAAATCCTATTTATTTTTGATCGAATAATTCTTAAGCCATACCTCGAATTTTATTGCTTTTTTATCGTTAAAACGTGTTAGACAGCGGGCAAATATTTTAAAACAATTTTTACGGACGGAATTTACATTGTCTTATCGCCGTGCGAATGAGTCAGACGTGAAAGCCGATACAGAGTTCGTACACTTACCAGGTCGTCAAGTGATCGTACTGTCGTTCGGTCTAACCTTCGTGATGGCTTGAAACTCGAAAGCAGAGAAAAGCAAAACAAACATTCCCTTTTGATCGATGAGTGTGCATGTGCCTGAAAAGGACAACCAAATCGTTCGTATATCTCTTTGTGTTAAATCATAACAAAGATGAAACTTGGACAATAACGAAAAGAACGAATATCGTGGAAAAGACAAAGAGAATTAAACGATACGCACCGGTTCACAAAACGTAGACTTTCGTATTAATTTCCGCAAGGCATGTGGATCTGCGTCCTTCTTTCTTCTTCTAATCCATTCACCGAATCATCGTAAGATGATCATGTAACGCGAAAAATGTTTCAACGGCATGTTTTAAGTAAGAAGACCGAACGAAAGTCGTTTTTATCGGTTCTTACTTTTCAAGAAATTACAATTATCGTCCGTAAAAGAATTCGAATTCACGAAATCAAAGACGAATGTCAACGTGATCAACGGTCATCTGTAGAGTGAAATATACCGTATAATCGTGAGAAACCGAGTAAGCCCGAACGAAGACGAGGTTAGACGAAAAGTACCGATCTATAGGAACCCAGATCCGAGCACACAAAGAACATGTTGCGCTACATTTTAACCCTTTGCGCTTTCGAAACATTTTTTTTATCTATGCACGATTCATTTATTTCCCATTTATAACCTATGGTTTATATGTATTTCCTTATTATAATAACGAAACCAAAATTAAATAATATGTTAAGGGATTAATCTTGCCTTAACACTTTGATGGCTTTATATTTCACGAGAAGACTATTAGTATCTTCTTGGTTTGACTATCATAGCAACAGTCACGAATATAGACATTAATTATGAATGACTGTACTTTTTCTTAATTACCATTTTCGTAAGCTTTCTTTTGTAGATATGAAATTTTATCCAGACACGAACGACACAGCGTGACAGCATGAATACGCTTTATTAAATAAATTATATACAGATTCTCACATACAGACATTATCGCATCATCGAAATGCCATACTAAATAAAATATAAATTAGGATGTTAAGATCTTCGACTACAATAACATTGACTTCAGAGGCCTTTACTCTTGAATTAGCACATATAGTTCCATATACTCCCATACTTCTACATAATGGGGTTTGCAGCTGTATGGTGAACTCAATCGTTTACTTTGTGAAACAGAATAATTTGTAAAATATCGGTCTCTAGTATTTTCGTCGTCGGATATTATTCCAAATCAATATAAGGAAATGAAAAATAAAACGTTAGGGAATACTCGAACCTGTTTCTTAGTTAAATTTTAAAAAGCAACTATGATGAAACTTTACGTTTATTCAGAACGGTTTCATAATGCGGGTAAAATTCCAATTAGTTAATTACAAACCCCCAGCAAAAGAGTATTATCGTTTTGTTCTATGCAAGTGCCTAGGAGATATAAAAAAAAGGCTGTTAACATGTATGTATTGAATGTGAAATCTAAAAACGATTTCATGTTCCTGTTCGCACCGCTCCAATTCCTTCCGTTATGATGCCCCCGAATTTAGGGCACTTTTGTGTATCTGGTTACATAATAGATGTTATTACAATTATCACAGTCTGTGTATTTACAGTTTAAACGTTAACGCAACATCCTTCTTAAATTAATTTAGCAACGTTCTTATTTTTGTGTAGCGCTTTTCATAAGAACTTTACGAAAAGTGGGCTCCATCGCTGCACATGGACGGCAGAGCATTCGCGAGAAAAAAAAACAAGACTTTCTTCCAGTCAGACTATTAATCTGCACGGAAAGAACAAAGAAATAGAGGGGGAGGGAGAGGAGAAGAATACTTTAAAGGCATGCATATCGGAACTAATATTTCTATATCTACCGATAAAATTTGCGTATCGTATGAAATAATATCAATAACTTAACCGTTAGTTACAATCTTAGAATCGGACACGTCTTACTTTTATCTTGTATGTACACCTTAAGTATTTATACAACGTTACGTAGTAAAAATCTGAAACGTTAATCCGAGCTTCCGATTTAGAAACTCCACTTCTTCTTTATCGAACGTTTCCCCTTCTCTCGTCTGGCGTATCGCAAATTTTTTTTACTTTTTTCACACTTCAACTATCTCCGAAGGTTATCTTAATCGCCTAACAAAACGTCCGCGTCTCCTTTACGATATTGATCTCAATCGTGAAAAACAAAAATATGGAGAGAGAAAGAGAAAGAGAGAGAAAAAAAAAAAGAAAAAGTTACAATGACAAGGCAATGTATTTCTCATAGCAGAGTCTACGAAACTCCTCAACGATGAAGAATGAAATTCGAAAGAAATATATTCGAACGATCGGTTCGCGCGTTTTTTTGAACATTCCCGATACTGAAAATGTTAAATTAATCAATAATTGTTTCAACAGAACTTCTATCTAACTTGCATTCCACTCAGCCCATTCTGTCGTACTTAAACTTTCGTTCAAAGGACAATCCGATATCCTCTGATTCGTACAGTTCGGTGCTTCTTCCGAGCAGGGACTTAAAATTAAAATGGGGAATACCGGTATAGAAACCGGTATTCAGAAATACCGGTGATGTTTACGATTTTGAAATTTAATTATAATTTTCAAGATTCCTTTTAAGCGGAGGTCAAAACGTCGTTATTATACTTACTGGCAGTCTCATACCGAAACCGATATGCTACCGAGGTTGCTGTGCAATTATGATTCGCCTGATAGGTAAGTCCCTGCTTCTGAGACTTTGTTTCGTTTGTTCTCGGATCACACAAGCTTCTTCGTTTCGTCGTCGTAAAAATTAACGTCCTAGCATCTTCGTGATCCCTTTTGCCGGACTCTGCTCGGATCGAGAAGAGTTAAAGGGTGTTCTTCGACCAAGAGACACTATTTCCAATCGAATTTGGGCGTCGCGTGGATAAACGACCATCGACGTTCTGCTCCGCCTCGTGTGTGTGCTCTGTACATCCGAGACGAAATAACACCGAGACCATCCTCGTTTCTTTCGTTCCCGGATCACGCAACGAGCTTCTTCGTTTCGTCTTCGTAAAAATTAATGTCCTGGCGTCCTCGTTGCCAGACTCTGATCGTATCAGCAAGAGTTAAGAGACACTCTTTCGAATGAAATCTGGGCGTCGCGCGGAGAAACGACCATCGACGTTCTGCTCCGTCTCGTGTATACGCTGTACATACGAAACGAAAGAACGCATCCAGCATCCTCCTATCGCGCGAACCCGAGGAAATCGGTGAGCCTGTCGTTCCAATCGTGGAGCCAGTGGGTCGGCCCGTGGCTCGATTGCCTCTGCTTGCACGGATTTATATCCGACTCGAGCGGCATGTATTCTTCGCCCCTGATGCAGAAGTAACTTTTTATCGGGCTTCTGCACATGGGACACCGATCGAGCTTCCCGAAACAAGAGGCGCAGATGCACGTGTGCCTGCAAGGCAGCAGTGCGCGCGACAGAGGAAAATATTGGCAAACAACGCATAATTGTTCCCCCGCCGTGTTCCAAAGCGATCCCTCGGGATCCCCGGTGCCAGAAGCAACCAGGGCGCCTCTCGTCGAACCACCGTTGTTGTTGCACGGCTCTGCGAGCGCCAGAGCCGAGCCCAAACCCGAGGACACGTCGCCCTCGTCGTAGTTTGTCGAGTTTCCGGTCGCTAGGTACAGTTGCTGAAACAGAAATGGTTACTTCGATTAGATAGGCGACTAGTTTTTCACCGACACGACGGATTTTTCGTTCTCTGAGAGTTGCGGACGTTGATTTCATCATACGTTTCTAATTGCCGGCGAGAAATAGTTATTGCAACTGGTACAATGGAATTTTGGCTTTACTCGAGTATGTAGAATTATCAAAATAAAGGTACAGAATAAACGAGAACAGACAACTGCTGTAAGGCAATCAGAGATGCTCCAGAAAAACAGCCCAAGCTACTTTCATCCCACTCTACTAGTTGATGGCTACACCGTTATGAACGATTTCGTATTAATCAGCTGTAACTGTAACAACCAGTTTGGATAGCTGTATCAGTTTATTAGGTTCCTAGTACCGGTATACACAATACATATGAAATACTAATTAGCATAGTTATTAGTCGTTAAGGAAGACATATAAAAAAAAAGAAGAACTGAAAGGAAATTCACCTTAAGGCAGGACAACTGGCCGTTAGCTTGTTTCAGATACTGCGCCAGAATCGAGGTCGGTAACGTGCAGACGCTATCCTTGATGTGAACGACGTTCACCAGTGCCACCTTCGAAGAGAAAGGGTAATAAAGGTATTTGGGCTTTCACGGGCCGGGTTTTCTTACAGTCGATAGTCTTTGAGGCTTTCAGGTGCCAGCTATATCCTTTAAAAGTTTCTGATCAGAATGTCTACGGTCACGATATCAATATAATACAGATAAAACCGAAACGATAATCGCAATAAAGGATTACTACTGGTTTTCTTTAAAATACTAGTATCTCGTTGAGTGTCTATGAAGTACTGAAAATGTCGTTTTACTTTTAAGTTATTATTAGACTATAATTTTTTGAAAATTAAAATTTCCCATAAATGCATAAATATTTGCAGTCTGGTTATTATTCACTGGATATAGTAAGTAATGTTTGAAGGAAACTATGCAAGAAATGTATTCCACTAGTGCTGGGCGTGTAAATTATTAAAATATAAATAAAAATAGGTAAATTGCACATGGAACGAAATATAAATAATGTTTTGAATCGCAACGGGTTAAAGGGTACCCACGGTTTCATCGGGATGCGGGTCCCCGTTGTCTCTGCGCGTCAGGAAGATCACCAGAGGATAGCAAAGACGCGGAGGAGTCCCTAATTCCAATTCCGGCGCCGGAAGCGACAATCTCAGCGTCTCCTCCCCGTGGGGTTGTCGTCTGTATTTTCCGGGTCAAGGAACAGCCAGTAAACGTAATGATTTCGCGCTTCTCGAACGACGTAATTACAATCGACGCGTGCAAAAAAAATCATCGTTTCTCTTTATAAAGGATACGTTTGGGGCGGCGTGAGGTATTGCGCGTGGCCTTGAAGAAGAGTGCCGTTCAAGGACGCGTCTCTGAGGGTGCTCCAAGGCTTCCAAAGCGCCAGGTGAAGCTCTCTTATGCTGACACCCCAGATTGCTTGCAGAGAATACTCCACTTGACTCGACACCTCGCATTCAACCTCTGCAAAAAAGAAAACGAGAGAAATAGTATATCAGTTGTCTTTTTTACCACGGGTTCTCCACTTCCTCTCGCGAAACAAGGAACACATGCTTCTACATCAAGCCTATTCCGCAAATTTACTATATTTTTTTATTCTTAAAGTTGATGGAAATTTCCGGTCGAAAAAATATTCTATTTTATGGCTCGCGTTAGTAACCGCCATCTTTGCTTCGCGGATCTTCCTTTCTTTATCCCGGATATTCCGCAGAGCAAAGGCGCCGATAAACAAATTACGCTTTCAGGAAATCTTGCCCGTGCGTACGAGCATTGTACCGTGTAGGATCGTAATGCAACATCCTGTCGAATCATTGTTACGCAACCGTCGCGACCACCAGGGCAAAAGAGAAAAGACACGCAGGAACATTTTATTTTTTTTAGACTCGTGTCTCTGTTCGGTTGCACGAAATAAGCTCGATGACTGCAATTACCGTCTCTCCGCCTCCTACTTTCATTCTTACTCTCATAATGCGTAATTGCCAAAGAAACTGGACTATTCTGGACTTGTGGAAGCAAACAAATTCAGCACGTATCCCCCCTCCCCCGCCCCCGGCATTGTTACACTCTAAATAAAAGGAACGCAATCGAGAGCCTTCCGAATACGAGTTCTGCGATTCTACTTTCATCAACGCGTCGATGAGACACGTAACTTGAACAATTGTTTTCTAGATTTAACAGCGTTGAAACGAACTATTTACGAAAACTTGGGACTAATTCGACGTATCGCGCGTCGTGACGCAGAAACGACGAACGAAGAGTCTCACCGGTCTTAGTCACTCGACTTTTTAATTTGCTTCTATTACGATGTTTCTGTGAAATGTAAAGTTCACCGTAAGTATCGCAGTATACCGTGTGGTTCTTTTGCATAAGAGCCGTATGCAGATTAACGGCGTTCGCGTGACCATAACTGATCGGGATGGTAATTTATGTGTGTTTTTCATTATTACTTCTGTCGAAATTCCTTGTTGCGTTGTTGTGCCCGTCCGATGCTATGCAATGCAAAACGATCGAAAAGAAATTTCAAGTCTAAAATGATTTAGAACCGAGCGGAAAGAAGCGTTTCGGAATTAATGAGACGCACGCTAAAAATAGTTAAACTTGATCGATCGCGACCGTTCTTCCGTTAATTTCTTTGTAATTCAATTGACACGCTAATTATCTTACATTTTTTTCCTAATCGTTAATTCATCGACCGCTAGTCGATACACGATTAATGCGTTTGTCGCGAAACGTATTGACGAGGTCAGTGATCAAACTGGATTACCGACGGTGCCTTAATCCATTAATCCGGGAAAACGAGTCGACTCATCGTTTATTCAATGCATCTTCCGATCTTTTTTTCTCTTCTCTGCCGATTTGCATAATGATCCACCGGTGTCTTTAATTATAGCGGGGTATTTGTATCGGTATAAACAATGGCGTACTCGCGTTTGCTGCCGGGTATGACGCGTCGAGCGATCCCCATTTATTTTTAACCGTGGGTAGACAGGTGTTTTTTACGATCGAGAAATTACCCAGTCTATAGATTGACTGAAAGTCGATCATTATTTGCCGGTTAACAGCATTCCCTGCAACGGGAACGAGTTTCGTGTCCTCTTAACGCCTCGTTGCTCCAGAAAAAAAAAAGTTGAAACAATATTAGCGCGAGGGAGTGAAATTTGCGCAAACACGCCGAAGACATTTTTGCACCTACATACACCGGTGTGTACAGAGACATTGCGCGAGTGCAATTCCTTCGTGAAACGAGCCGCGTGATAACAAAGGACTATTTTTACATCGCGTCTCTCTTCGTACCATCGTGTCGGTTCGAGCCTGCACGTTCGCAACAATCGCACATAAATATTTATGCCGTTGTATCCACTCGAAATTGGCCGATCAACGTTCTCGTCGTTTTTTTTTTTCTTTCTTCGACCACGTCAAATAAATAATCAGCTCTCGGGCCCGTGATTTCGTCTCGTGATTTGGCAAACAATCCTCGCGCGGAATGGAATCTTGCCGGAAGGAGTGGCAAAATTGATCGGGATTTTATTTATGACCGAAAACACTACGCGTCCTTCGATTTAAAATTGTATCGGAATATCTTACATTGCGATCGTTAAGATTGTTCTAAAGTCTTTTAGATTCGATGTGCTTTGAATTTTCTCTATGCAAATTATGTACGAACGACGTTAACGATCCAGGAAATGGATGTATAAAATAGCCGTAAAAGTTTGTTAGAAGCGGTAATACGACTAATTTAATCGCAAGAACCACGAGTCTACTTAGCATTGTCGGACACGTACATAAAACGAAACAATTTAGAATACGTAATTTACCTATTTCCTTAGCGTCGTTCATTTCGAGCCATTCGGTCTTGTTGTTAAACCTCGGCCAGTTTTTGAGCCAAACGTTCGAAAATATTCCTAATTTCTAATTTCGAATTGTAAATCATGAATTACTCCGGGAATTATGATTACAAAATGATCGAGTTGCATAAAATGTATTTGCATCTACTCAAAAGGTCGAATAATGTCTCGTCGTTGGATAAAGAATGCGGCAACAGCTGGTTCAAAATGGCCGCGCATCCGCTGTTGGAAGGTTTAATGTTTGACGATGAGATAGAATGTCGAATCAGAGTTCGCGGAAACGAATCCGGGAAGGTCGATAACGCGAAAAGAAACCGTAAAGTGGGCCACTTGACCGAGCTAAAGACTCGGATCGTAAACCTTGTTATTACAAAGACGAGTTGTAAAACTGGGTAGAAGGACAGGCTTTAAGGACAGACAATGCACCGAAGGATTGTAAACGTTGACAAAAGAATAAGCGACCAGCGGTTCGAACAATTATTGCTCTCGTGGATTGCAGTGTAAACATACGGTTCAGAAAGTAGTACTGAAAACTGCAATAATGGAGATAATAAAAGCTTCGACTTTAGTGCCTTACGGTCGGCAAGTTACGTGGTTATCGTTTCCTTGTTCCCTTTTTCATTCATCTCGACACGACACGACCGAAAAGCTTCGAATTTTTTTAAACAAACGGCAAAGTTTAACAAATTGCGTTCTCTCTAATAGTAAAACAACTTTCGTTTATGAACTTTGTAAATTAGAATCGTTCCAAGGTATTAACAATTATAGTCACACCAAGGTTCCTACTGAAATCTTTGACAATGTCTGGAAATATTAATAATGGTCAAGGAGGAAGTAGCATCGACGGTGGCAGAATAAGCACAGTGGAAGCGAACAGCAGGAACATCCGGTAATGTTTTGGCAGACCGACAAGAAAATATTGAAAGAACGAAGCACGCAGTGACGCATAAATCAAACATCGATGGTCGAGGTATTGGAAAAGGCGCCGAAATAAAAGAGCCTAGTTCGAACGCTGCGTAGAAACACAATGGAGGACTAGCCGAGAGATCCGGCACTGTCGAGACTTAAACAAGCGCGCGCCATGACTCATTTTCAGAATCGATTTTCTCGACGAGAATGTCGGACACGACGAAAATTCTACTCTACGTTGGTCGCTCGGTTCTACCACTCAGATTTCGCGCGAGAAATAAAGAATTTTCCTAATCTTTTTAACTGTAAAAATAATTGCAAGTTTCGAGCGCCGGTCACCGGTGACCGTCAACGCGTGGAAGGCACAGCATCTCGCAAAGGGAGAAAATACAGCCTCGACTTGCCTACGTGACTGTCCAGGCGTAGAACAATCAAGGTCGACGCGAACGATCGGACACACCACGCCATTTATATCGATCTCCTGTCTCCTAGTTTTTTTCTCCTCCTTCCGCGGAATACGTGTCCCTGCTAACGAACGCGTGCAACGATCCAAGAATAAAAATAATTCCCGTTCACGGGTGTGCGTGACAAATGTACGAAAAATTGCTCTCCGTGGAGGTGTATCGTTTTCCTATTCGGCCGCCGGTCGATAAAGTATCGCGGGGTCGCGTGGGACCGATGTTTCTTATCCTCCGGTCAGCGGGGCCCCCAACGGGACCATAGATACGTTGCATTCTGGAATGAGAAACGATAGCGATTTAAACGATACAATATATCTCTATATGTTCTACGCAGAGTACAGTAGAGACGGAGAGACAAAAAGGGACGGAGTAAGAAACCTCGATAGTCGCTCGAGTGTGAGGACACGCGCTACCGGATCGACGAAACAAAGGAGAATGCATCGAACGCGATCGAATCGTCGTTTCGCGGATGAAACGTGACGCACACACACACGTTCCGCGTCAGCGATATCCGTGAGACGCGTCAGAAATCCAGAAAGACCGTACCAGCGAATCGAATCTCATCTCGCGAAGATTTATCGGAGCGCGTTTTCAAGGATGCTGTGCCTTTCTTTATCTTCGTACTCGAAGATATCGTCGGAACGGCGATACGTATCGACGCCTCAGCGCCGGTTGCCGTACTGCGTCTTTTCGTTTCCGAATATTAGCACCGTTTTACGTCGCGTCTGCACTCGTTGCGGCCAAGACGACTCGAACCTTCTTTCTGTTCGAGAAACGACCCAGTTAACCGGATAAATTCCAACGGCCACGGTTCGAGTACCCGATACGTCGTTTGTAGATAAGCATGCACGAATTGCGCTGCCACATCGAACGAGAAATCTGCGCGTATTGTTTTTGCAACAAGCGACTTATTCAACCCTAGGAAGCCGGATAATTTGCGGAATAAGAATTGTGTAATCACAAGTTATATAGCAGAAGGATATAGAGACATCTCGCCAAAAACGAACGAACTGACGCTCGACCCTATACATGTATCGCGTAGCATGTACGTACATGCTTGGCTCGTCGACTGTTTATCGGTTCCATTCATGGGAAGCACGTAACTTACGCTCTACGACGATTGCGTCCAAATGGAAAATACCCGACAGATTAACACGCTATGCGCGAGAAATGTATTAATACCGATACCGTTGACTGACGTCGTGAAGCAGGTATTACCACAGACGACGTATACGAGTAGATCTTACAT